TCCAAGTTATATCCTTAACTGTAACACCAGTCTGAATGTATAAGGTAGCATATATCCTTAACTGTAACTCCAGTATGAAGGTATAAGGTAGCATATATTCTGAACTCTAACACCAGGTCCAAGTTATATCCTTAACTGTAACACCAGTCTGAAGTTATAAGGTAGCATACTTCCTTAACTGTAACTCCAGTCTGAAGGTATAAGGTAACATATATCCTTAACTGTAACACCAGTCTGAAGGTATAAGGTAGCATATATCCTTAACTGTAACTCCAGTCTGAAGGTATAAGGTAGCATATATCCTTAAATGTAACACCAGTCTGAATGTATAAGGTAAAATATATCCTTAACTGTAACACCAATCTGAAGGTATAAGGTAGCATATATCCTTAACTGTAACCCCAGTCTGAAGGTATAAGGTACCATATATCCTTAACTGTTTATAAAGTAGCATATATCATTTCTTTCAATACCAATTCTGAGATATATATGTGATAGGGCTTCTTCAGGATCTTTATAATTGTTCACATTGTTGATATGGACCTGCATACTGCAAAGAATTTATCATGCTCCTCGTGCTCCTGAAATTTGCAGTGTTAAAGAGAGCACTTTCAAACATCTTAAGAATGACATTGTTTTGGAAATAGCTAATTGTGTAAATACAGACGAAATAAAATAACATGTATCTTGTATATCGTTTTAATAAAAATTTTAAAGATATTCAGTTCATCTTTAATTTACCAAAATAAAATAGGATGGATTTTTAACTTGAAGATGCTTGGATTGTGCAGTTGTTTGTTTCACTCAAGCAGTCAATTCATAAATAAATACATACTGATCACAGTAATTGATAGGCTTGTAGCCGTGTCTTTACAAGGAAAAATATCTATAAACAGGCCTCCCCAGGTGCTCTGCTAGATGCACATTTGGCGAGAAAAACACTTCAGGAATCCTTAGCCAATGTTCTGACAGTCTTGCATTGTGTGTTATAGAGTGGATAGCTGTGTACAGGAACACGGTGTGTATACACATTTGGCTTATAATAAAAATGGGTGGATTAACATAAGGGGCTTTTCTTTTCTCCATGTTATAAAGAGATATATACATTGGCACTGTTATGAATGCTATTGGATAAAAGATAAACATTGAATGACTTGGAACTCTTTTGTGTAAGGAGGGGTAATCGTCTCGTTTATCTATAAGGGTCACTAGCAGTTTTGAGTTGTTTACTCAATGCAATCAAACAAGCAAGTTGTTGGGAATTATTTTTAGCTTCATTTGAGATGGATTTGTTATAAAGGTGTGTTGCTATTGGTTATGATTGATAAAGTTGATGTTCTATGACCCAGGCATGGTTCAATAAGCATTTTTTTTTTTATCTTCAAAGTATGATTTCCATTTTCAATTATTTTTTTCGTTTTGTGAATATTTTAAATGTCTTGAAAAAGGATAATATTTCATCAAAGAACCTACCAATAATGGATGAAAAACAAGCATTGAAGAGCTCTCATTGATTGGAAGGACAGAAATCTTTGACCTCCATGTCATTTATATACAATGTTAGAATGTATACATGTATGTATTACCTACACTAGGGACTTAAATGTTAATTATAGATGAAGGCGTCTTAGCTCATCGCCTGTATGACAGACATACTTTTATTTTTAGCCCACCATCTAATAGATGGTGGGTTATTCAAATCACCCTGCATCCGTGGTCCATCGTCTGTCGTCCGTCCGTCCGCCCGTCCGTCCGTAAACAATTCTTGTTACCGCTACTTCTGGAAAAGTACTGGATGGATCTTTATCAAATTTCATTTGCAGGTTCCCCTTGGTCCCTAGTTGTGCATTGTACCTTTTTTGGACTGATTCAAAGTTTTTTTTGGAAGTAAAAGTTTGTTACTGCTATTTCCTGGAAAGTACTGGATGGATCTTTCTCAAATTTCATATGCAGTTTCCCCTTGGTCCCTAGTTGTGCATTGTACCTTTTTTGGACTGATTCGAATTCAAGATGGCAGACAGGTGGCCATCTTGGATTTTGAATGTAAAAGTTTGTTACTACTATTTCTTGGAAAGTACTGGATGGATCTTTCTCAAATTTCATATGCAGGTTCCCTTTGGTTCCAAGTTGTGCATTATACCTTTTTGGACTGATCTGAAATCAAGATGGCTGACAGGCAGCCATCTTGGATTTTGAGAGTAAAATCTTGTTACTGCTATATCTGAGGAAGTACTAGATGGATCCTTCTGATATTTCATAGATATTGGTTTCCCTTGGTCCCTAGTTGTGCATTGTACCTTTTTTGGACTGATTTGAAATCAAGGTGGCCCACAGGCAGCCATCTTGGATGTCGACAGTAATACAGCACAAGCATATTGTCCATTATCCACCTGTAACTGACTGCTGTCTAATAATACTTTGGGATCTTTTTCAAATGATATTTGCTAATAGGTGCTTAATAAAAATATCTTGTGCCATCATTGAGTACATTCAATGAAGACCAGTTCATGAACATTTACAACACCTGTAACAAACAAAAAAATATAAACAAATCTTCAAGAACTGAAAACAGATCCTCAAATGGTGGGCGCCAAGATCCCTCTTGTTTGATTATTTGACCAGCTAATCAGGTCACAGAGTATTGGCACTACAGCCATGGGACAGGTGACACAATAACCAACCACAAATGTTAGTACCATATGGATGTGGGTTAAAGTGAGGGTGGGGGCGGGGCGGGAAAGGGAGGAGAGAAATTATAGCACACAAGTGTAAAACAAAGGTGTTTGATACGGGTAAACAACATATATATAATATAATAATACATGATAGATATAGAAGTTTTAAGTTATATAAATCCTAAGTTGTAATACATGAGGAAAGGCTGGTGCTGTTAAGATCCTTGATAAGACACTTGTGTAAGACACAAGGAAAAAGCAAAGGTGTAATTAAGACACTTGTTAAAACACTTGTGTAAGACACAAGGAATGGGCACTTCATTCCTTAAAACACTTGTTAAGACACTTGTCTAAGACACTAGGTAAGGGTACTGGCCTAATTAAGACATCTCTAAAATCACTTGAATGTGTAGTTATCTTAGACACAGGGAAATGGCACTGCAGGTGTAATTTAAAGAAACTTGTTAACTTTCTAAGACTTTGGTAAGACTCAAGATGAAAGACACAAGATATATGACACAAGATATGTCATTGAGATGTAAGACATAGATGTTAGACACAAAGTTTAAGAAACAAGGTGTTAGATTTATTATGAGAAAGAAACAGATTAAGACACATATGTTAGACACCAGGTTTAAGAGACAAGGTGTAAGATTTATTATGAGAAAGAAACAGATTAAGACACATATGTTAGACACAAGATGTATAAGATTCAAATGTAAGACACATGTATCTATATATTAGACATATGAAACAGGCATGTGAGATGTGAGATTGATTGACAGATGTAAGATACGTAGGCAGATGTTTTAAACATATACATGTGTAAGACATACATTGCACTATAAGAGGAATCAACACTGAAATAAGAGACAGACATAAGGTAGGTATGTGGCACATACAGTAACTAAGAATTTATTTCTTATATATTGTACTATCATTTTTATTCTTTATGAAAAATTGACAAAGACACATTTATTATGGAAAAGTGAGGTATTAACCTGTGTTGGAAAATTAATTATGTTTAGTGTTCCGTGTTATGTTTTCCTGAAATAATGTTTGTACATCTACGCAACGTCAGGAACATTATGTTAAAATATTGATGTCACAGCAATGTTGTAGAGATGGCGTGACCGCCTCCTCCCCATACAGGCACTAGAACCAGGCAGATGTACTACCAATACTGGGCTACAGTGCCTCAGTACTGGAACGTAAAGACTACAAAGTCAAACTGCTTTCATATTCAGTTGAAAGCTATGACTGTTATGATGGTTGCTATAGGTTACCACCTCAAACAAAGCTACAGAAATTACAGTGAGACTACCTTTAATTACACAGGAAAAGCTGAGGGGTTAACACTTCCTGTAAGAGAATTCTCCTCTAACAGACAGGAGAAAGTCCAAATATACTGGTCAATGAGTTAAGCTAGTCCATGTGGGATCAGTTGAGATTGAATTTTAAATATATATTTATATGTACCTGGCTTAAAGGTTGTTTACGTCACTTGCAGTCTAATATTACAAAAAATCACATTTAGACATCTTTTGCATGTTCAATGGGTTTTTGTATTAATACATAAAATCAGTTTAAGAAATGAATATGTTTTACCTGGTGTTGTGAAGTGAGTGCAATAGACACTGATAAACTGAATTTGAGCATTTGGACAATGCTGTTGTTTAACGATGGAGTGTTAAATTAGACATGCAATTATTAATAAGTGTTAATAAAGGTTTGAAAATTATAATTATTTTTACGAGTGTTTAGGCAGCTATTTTGTATAACATTATTTTAAATTGAAGTGAAAATGTAATTTTTGATAATAATTAATTGTGCTGTACATAAAACAATACAGGCCTTGAATGATAAATGTAGAATAGTTTTGATATTTTATCATCAGAATTATAAGACTATTAATTGCCCAGGAAAGATTTTGTTTCTGAAAGTTGAACTTCAACAAAATAATTATTATTATATGTTTTAGCTTCAAGTTTTTGATAGAAATTCATAGATTTTTTACAGAAATATGGTTATTAAGATTTTGTAAGCTATACTAGTAAAAGCATCAGTGGAAATATTTGTCTATGCTCAGCTGTTGTTGAGTTTGTCAAGAAAATTGAAGAATTCAGTTAATTTGAAAACTGTCCAGTGTAGACATCATTGAATGTTTTGTTTGGCATACCTCTACATATTTATTTTAACATTTATCCTTACAAATTAAATTTTTTATACATTTATTTTTTTTTCAATGCAGCTAAAAAAAACAAATTTTAAGTGTTAATTTTGCAGATTTTTTTTAACTGTTTGGTATTTTTTTCTTGTCTTCAGTCCAGTATTTTCAGTAGATGGTATAAAGAAAATGTGAGTACTGTACTGGCACAATGTATTATTATAATTTTTTTATAACTCGGCTATTTCCATTTTACTAAATGCAAACTTGACCCACTTTCATTATCTTAATAGAATATCATCACCAGCATGTCATTGCTAATTTAAGAAACACCCGCCTTTTGTTTTGTAACAGTGTTAATCATGAGTGAAATCACATTGATATCAAATAATAACAAACACGATTTGGCATTTCTGGGTTAGGAATAGTTGCCATCGGTAACAGGAATGACATTTCACATTCATGTATGGTTTTGATTGGCAACAAGAATGACATTCTCCAATCATGCATGGTTGTCTTGGTGACAAGAATTACTTTTTCCAATCATGCATGGTTGCCATTGGCAACAAGAATGACATTCTCCAATCATGCATGGTTGTCATGGTGACAAGAATTACTTTTTCCAATCATGCATGGTTGCCATTGGTAACAAGAATGACATTCTCCAATCATGCATGGTTGCCATTGGTTACAAGAATGACATTCCACATTCATGCATGGTTGTCATTGGCAGAAGGAATCACATTCTCCAGTCAGTCTTGTCATTACAAAAGGTCAGCAGTTATATAAATTGGCCCCTGGGCTTATTGCATGCAGGATAATTGTTGTTATTCCTTTTACTTTCACAAACGTTAACCAAACTTTTTACACCTTAATATTTTGAGAAAGCAGCGAGTTGTTGCTGACATAAGATTCACCTTTGTGTCATTTGAAGGATATATATGTACAAGCAATTAACCTTTGAATACTAAAAGAGCTAGACAATTTTATTTTTATTTGTGAAAATAATTGATCTAATTCATGATCCTTCAATAAAAAAGAATATTAAACATTTATGAAAGTATGACCTCTCCTTAAATGAAAATAAAATATGATATTTAATGGTTACAATTTTATAGTCATCAATATATAATCACACCTGTTTGCAGTAACCTCCCCTCTTTTTTTTAAAGACATCTCCCCTTTTGCATGGCTACAGAATGTCTTGGTTTTTTCATTATAGCATAATTTCCCATATCTCCCAGAATGCATTGTGGCACCCATATAACACCTCTGTAAATGGCTCATGCCAATTCAAGATGGTTTGAAAACTTCTTTTTGTCAAATAATAACGTATTTCATTATTTTTGTTATTTGTATTATTATTTTGAAAATAGATGTTGGTTCATCTGGAAAATGACTACATCAGTCTATATATGGTTATAACCATTATGGATTATATTGCAGACAAATAAATTTTGAGTAAACAATCACCTACCATCATGTTTACATTTTGTACTTTCATGTTCCTTGAGATCATATATTGTGATATCAGTGATAATTGGTTTTAATTTGGCTACAATACCTATATACACATATAATTTGTAACTTCCCAAATAGTCCAGAGGATGATGTTTTAATGCTGGTCAATGACATAGAGAGCAGTCTACAGCTGTATCCTTCATTGATGTTGTCAAGGATACCACCATAGTTTTGCATGATGTCAAACTTTGACCCTTACCATGAGGTCAACTATTAGTAGTCTGTGAGCCATTTACTGAGGTGTATTATGGTTGTTAAGGAATGACAACTCTGGTAATGATTGCGTAATCTCCTCACTTTGTTGTCTGAGGTATGCTGGGTAATTTACCCAGTCTGTGTGCTTTGTACCAGATAAAACTTTCACCAAATTCATGCATTTTTTAATTTTGTAATTTTCACATTTTCTTAATTTTACGATTTTTGCATTTTGTTTATATTTGTAGTATATTTTGGTATCCGGACTATCAGTCTGTCAGTGTGTAGTATATTTTGGTATCCGGACTATCAGTCTGTCAGTGTGTAGTATATTTTGGTATCCGGACTATCAGTCTGTCAGTGTGTAGTATATTTTGGTATCCGGACTATCAGTCTGTCAGTGTGTAGTATATTTTGGTATCCGGACTATCAGTCTGTCAGTGTGTAGTATATTTTGGTATCCGGACTATCAGTCTGTCAGTGTGTAGTATATTTTGGTATCCGGACTATCAGTCTGTCAGTGTGTAGTATATTTTGGTATCCCGACTATCAGTCTGTCAGTGTGTAGTATATTTTGGTATCCCGACTATCAGTCTGTCAGTGTGTAGTATATTTTGGGACTATCAGTCTGTCAGTGTGTAGTATATTTTGGTATCCGGACTATCACTCTGTCAGTGTGTAGTATATTTTGGTATCCGGACTATCAGTCTGTCAGTGTGTAGTATATTTTGGTATCCCGACTATCAGTCTGTCAGTGTGTAGTATATTTTGGTATCCGGACTATCAGTCTGTCAGTGTGTAGTATATTTTGGTATCCGGACTATCAGTCTGTCAGTGTGTAGTATATTTTGGTATCCGGACTATCAGTCTGTCAGTGTGTAGTATATTTTGGTATCCGGACTATCAGTCTGTCAGTGTGTAGTATATTTTGGTATCCGGACTATCAGTCTGTCAGTGTGTAGTATATTTTGGTATCCGGACTATCAGTCTGTCAGTGTGTAGTATATTTTGGTATCCGGACTATCAGTCTGTCAGTGTGTAGTATATTTTGGTATCCGGACTATCAGTCTGTCAGTGTGTAGTATATTTTGGTATCCGGACTATCAGTCTGTCAGTGTGTAATATATTTTGGTATCCGGACTATCAGTCTGTCAGTGTGTAGTATATTTTGGTATCCGGACTATCAGTCTGTCAGTGTGTAGTATATTTTGGTATCCGGACTATCAGTCTGTCAGTGTGTAGTATTTTCTCTTTCTATTTTGATGAAATTTTGTATGCAATCTGATGAATCATCCATTGTCTTGGATCATAACTTGTTAAGTTTGTTGTCATGAAGAATAAAAAAATATTCAACATGCTTTTTTTAATTGAACATTTGTAAAAAATGCTTCAAATGCTAATTCAGCTAGACTTCACATTTTGCTCCAATTATTACAAAGTTTAGAGAGTAGTCGTAGATGTTTTATAGACATTTCACTCAAAAAATTTGCTCTAAAACATTTCTTGCTGATCATTACTTTTATAAATTTGTGGTTTTATTTCTTACTTCATATAAACTTAACACAAATATTTATAATCAGCAACTGTACATTATTTTGCAGAGAAATTATGATTATTCAATATTTAAAAGGCACAGGTGTATCTGTTTCCAGTATAAAACAGCTGTTATTGATTTCCAAAGTATATCTCCCACTGATTCAGGCAAGATTGATATAGCTGTGCAATCTTTTTTAAAATGTTTTTTTCTTGATCCTTTAGAGCGATAAAGTAGTTCAAAATGAATATTTATCACCAGCCTCGAGTTGCGATATGATTACTCATTCAGCAGGGACTTAATGACCTCAGGTGAACATCCAAGGTTATCTTTTTGAGGCAGTTTGTGTTCCTCAAGAAGCCGAGATAACAGGCGGTCTTGTGCTATTGTGGTTGTGTCCTTGGGCATAAAATTTAACTTCATTTGTTCTGGAAGGCAATGTTAAGGGCCTCCCATATTATGCTCACTGAGGTAGCCACCAGCACTGCAAATTGTCCCTGGCTGTTGACAGGATGATAAACCCAGCCAAATCACCTGCCTTTAATTACATTACCCACAAAGGTGACTCTGTCAGAGTAAGCAGGAACAGGGTTAGTTAATCATCATTCTTGAGGGATTAGGTTCACAGGTGTGATGAAATGGTGTGTACTGTAACCACCTTGTTGGGGCACAGTTGATCAATGTATAATTTCCATAAGAATTAATACCAAAACTTCTCGTGTATTGATTTCAAAAATCTATTATAGCATGTAGTCTACTATTTTCACTGCAATCAAAGCTGATTCTTATACTTGCAATCACTTTCAACAATTTGAATAGTTAGATTCCATAATTCACACTAGGTGTAGTTAAGCATTTAATTAAACAAACCAAATATGTACTGTGGTGGTGTTTTGTAATACAGAGACAGAATAATCATGTCCCCTTCATTGATTGATATCAATTTTTGTTTTTTAAACAGAACTTCACACATCAAAGGAATAGCAGATATGATGATATTAAACCACGATTCAACGAAACAGGCGAACCAGGAGTCCGAATATAGTATGTTATTCACTGAAATTGAATTTCTTTTTTAAGTAAAACCAATTTTCATGACATCATACTTACCATAACTTTAGTATGCAAAAACAGTACCTGGACCAATTTTTGTAGCCCAAAAACAAAAGATTAAAAAATCCTGCCTTCCCTTCAGTACTGTGAGCCATTATGAGAGAGGGCAGCAAGGCTGAGAAGGAAAGGGGAGGAAAGTTTGGGACTCCATAAAGTTATAAAGTCACAAGCAAAGCAACAGAAACAATGAGGAAACAATGTATACCATGCTACAAAAAGGTAGAAAACAAGCCGACAAAAAGCGAAGAGCCGACTGTGAAACTGTAATGGCGGACCACACAGCAAACCACTCCGACAGTCGTGGAGGATAAAAATTACCAAAATATAAATAAATAAAACAGTCAAAAATACTTGTAAGCAAATGGCAGATGGGCAATAATGATTCCAATTGAACAAAAACAAGCCCCAGGAACGATCTTAGTGGCTAAAAAACAAAGATAGCACAACACTCATCTGTCAGCCATCAGCGTGTGTCATAATGGAAAGAGGAAGGGAGATTTTTTAATCTTTTTCTGGGGGATAAAAAAGATGGATGCAGGTACTTTATTTACATGCTAAAGTTATGGTAATTATTACTGAAATAAAATTATTATTATAGTCAAACCTGTCTGTAAAGATCATACAAAGGAAGTGACTGCGAAAGCTTAGTCGATTAGAGAGTTGGCCTGCCTATGTAGCCTCCGATGAAGATTGGAGATGCATGGTTCAGCACTCCCAACCCCTGTCTATATTTCTCAGGAAAATAAGAAACACGACACTCTGTGTTGTAGTGATTGTGTCCTTAAGCACTTTAACTAAATTGTTCTGGGTGGCTTGTGATGGGCCTCCTGTATGTTGTTCAGTGAATTAGCCACCAAATACTACAAGGAACCCCTGGCTGTTCATGGGTCAATAAATCTAATAAACGTTGACTCAAAGAAGCAGAGAAAAGTTACTGTAAACGCCATTTCTATTTATTATTATTCATGGAAGAAAACTGCAAAAGCAAGAAACCTTGAAAATTGAATTTTTGGAGACGGCAATAATCTGTTATATGACTTTCTTGAAAAATAAATATTTTGGTAAAACCGCAAATATTGGTAATAAAAAAAATATCAGTCATCTTTTGAAAATAAAATGTTGCACATGCTAATGTCATAGATGTCAAAAGAAAAAATATGAATTTTTCTTTGTGTTTTTCTTAGTGTACACAAAAATGATCAGCCAAACGTGAAAACAGTTTTGGTCCTTCTGAAGCAAAAACGCCTCGAACATCTGAATTATGCCTTAGAAGACATCACCAAAGAGCTGTATCAGGACAGCAAGTACCCTGTGAGATTGTGAGTATATAGTGGTTCTAAGTGAGTATAGCAAATTGCAAGTGAGACATTGAGTATAACAAGTTCTTAGTGGGATAGTGAGTATAGCAAGTTCCAAGTGGGATAGTGAGTATAGCAAGTTCCAAGTGGGATAGGGAGTATAGCAAGTTCCTAGTGGTATATTAATTGTAACAAGTTCCTAGTGGTATATCCATTGTAACAAGTTCCTAGTGGTATATCCATTGTAACAAGTTCCTAGTGGTATATCCATTGTAACAAGTTCCTAGTGGTATATTAATTGTAACAAGTTCCTAGTGGTATATTAATTGTAACAAGTAATATTAATAGTGATTGTGAGCTAGCTTATTCATGGGAGATACTTAAGTGATTGGTAACGAGTTTTTACTGTTATATGGAGTGGAGCAAAATTAAGTGTTGACTTTTGAGCGTAGCAAGGCTCAAAAGTCAAATTTTGAAACTTTAAATTAACTCTCTGCAATATTTCATTTCAGTGTGTACAACATAAAAGGTGAACAAGTAACAAAACCCAGCGATTTCCAACATGAGGAATTCTATGTAGCTGTCCCACCCACACAAATATTCAAAAAGTGTGCCTATGGCTGTCGGACAAGGGATCTTCCCAACTTTACAATCAATCCCTTCGTCGGAGTTGGGTAAGTATCTGTTTAGATGTTAGCGTAGGTAAACGGAGAAGACTGGAAACATGTAAAGCTGTTACTGTTAATTCTCCATCAGTGACAAAATAACAGGAACCATCAAAATAGGGATTTCAAATATCTGACCACTAACTGACCAGAGTAAATTTCAACTTATTTCCCTTTTTTATCCTGGATTGAAGATCAGAGAGGGATATAAGAATGCTGCTGTTCATCCATTATTCTGTCAATCTGCCATTCTGCCAACTTGTCAATCTGCCATTCTGTCAATCTGTCAGTCTGCCATTCTGTTATTCTGTCTGTCTGCATCAACATTTCTGGACAATCAACTGAGTTTCATTGAGTCTGATCATACTCAAACTTCTTATGCTGCTTGCTTGTGATTGCTTTGGAGATTAAAAGGGTCAAGGTTACTGACTGGTCACATGATGTCTCGCTTCCAATCACAGTCGGTCACATGATGTCTCCCTTCCAATCACAGTTGTGCATTCCTTTCTGCAAAATCATTGCACTGCATTTTATGTGTTAAAATTAGACATGTTGTGACTCTATGTGCTAAGGGTAAACAATATTGTACAGACTTATAACCAGGCTTGAAGAAGTCTGACAATCCTGTTTTGCCTCCATAGCCTTTTAATTTTTCAAAAAATTCCCACGAAGTAATTTAAACAAAAATCATGGATATGAAAAACGAGGCTGCCCAGGTTTTCGCTTGTCAATGCAATATTGGATCAGTATCACTTACAACAGTCCCACTTAATTAGATCAATCTTGATGTATCATACAGTATTTGTCCTGTAGTAAACCCAGGGGTCAGTGCATGTATCATACAGTATCTGTCTTGTAGTAAACCCAAGGGTCAGTTCATGTATCATACAGTATCTGTCTTGTAGTAAACCCAGGGGTCAGTGCATGTATCATACAGTATCTGTCTTGTAGTAAACCCAAGGGTCAGTTCATGTATCATACAGTATCTGTCTTGTAGTAAACCCAGGGGTCAGTGCATGTATCATACAGTATCTGTCTTGTAGTAAACCCAGGGGTCAGTGCATGTATCATACAGTATCTGTCTTGTAGTAAACCCAGGGGTCAGTGCATGTATCATACAGTATCTGTCTTGTAGTAAACCCAAGGGTCAGTTCATGTATCATACAGTATCTGTCTTGTAGTAAACCCAGGGGTCAGTGCATGTATCATACAGTATCTGTCTTGTAGTAAACCCAGGGGTCAGTTCATGTATCACAAACTGAGTTGGCTAACTTTTTATAAACACTTGTTTATAAATCTTGTGAATATCACTAGGTGGGCTTATTGAGAAGCATGGACGTAATGCTGGTTATCTACATGTTGTGCATTACTCAGTTGTGTGAATGTATAATAGATTGGTTATTACATCTATAACATTTACATTCTGTTACAACACCAATATCAACTGCTTAATATCCAAAGAGTTTTTTTACAATAATTTTTCTTTTTAAGTGATTCCATTAAATCTTCACTTCAGATTTAAATCTATTTCCATTTCATTTTCCCATGTAGAAATAATCCCGTTTTATTCCTCTGAGTTAATGTAATCCCCAGTTCATATCCTTATAAAATTGAATCTATATCCTATCTAAAATAAAAAATTGCTTCATTGACTGAAAGCATTCTTATTTGTTTCTTTCATTTGAAATTATAAAAGTTTGTTGATATTTGATCTGATTCATAACTATCTCTTACCCCCAGCCTCCCCTTTTTTTGGTGTTTTGAAAGTCGCACCAAGCACAATTTGTTTGAAATGATTCACATATATCCACAGTTTGTAACCATTAATGCTGAAAACAAAGGTTTGTTAACTCAAAGTCCAGTTACTACAACAGAAAATTTCCGACCTTAATGATCTTGCTTTTTTTTTGTCAATTTTTGGATGTTTGAGTACTTGCTATTCAATGATTGTAATTCAGCTGTTGTTGCAAAAGAAAAGAAAATACAATGTAATGGATTAATTATAGAATTGTAATATGCATTCTCAAAAGTAATTTTTTTTAATTTCTTCATTCTCAATTTTTTTTTAATACAAATTGCAAACAGCAGAAATCATATTGTTTATCAAATGTTTAACTTATACTACTGTAATAAATGGACTCTTTCTCACAATACCCCTCATCTTAGAAACCGTCCAAGTCATCTTCGTCAAACTGAGTAACTACTAGCCTCATTTTGATATTCGATGATCGGTTTCTTGTTTACAGGATTCCACATACCGCTTACCTCTGGCAGGACCCAAACAGGTAAAAAACGACATAGGTGCTAGTCATTTTTCACGGCAGGGAGAAAGATTTTTTGTTTTAATTTTAGCAAACAACTAGATGTGCTCTAAGCTACATAGGTAGGCTGTTGTCATGGTAACTTAATATATGTCTTAAGAAAAGACTGTCCACGATGTGATGAATCCTCTGGATACACTGACACTGGTTTAGGGTGCTCACTTACCTTTTGAGTACTAGTAACTTTAATAAACAGGCGTAGTTTCAGTAGATATCAATATTATAGTTACAAGCGCGTTGTCAAACAGTGCCCATGAAAGTAAATAACCAGTTCAGTGATTTAGCGCATGGTTCAATGATTTTTAAGGAATAATCATATGTTTCAGTGATTTTATGGAATTTGTAGAAATTTGAAGTAATATTTTGGCCAAAAACAAAAAAAAAATGGTATATAGATCAAGAAATGAAAATACCAAATTATACATTAAGAATATTTTTATATTTATCCTAAGGTTTATTATTGTATTACTACTATAGTGCTGAATACAGCAAACGCCAAGTTTACTGCATACTGCACACTACAGGGATGGGCATATGATTGTATGTAAACTTTGATAATCCTATGATAGCTACATAAAAGGGAATAAGACAGTTTACAGAAAAAAAATGAAAAATGCATGGCTTTGTTATTAGAAATGAAGGTGCATGGTGACATAGATAACAGGTGCATGGTACAAATGTTGAGTCACAAAACAGCTCAACTATACAGCTATATAATGATAGATAGTTAGAATTTGGAAATGTATTGTAGTTAGAATTTTTACGACAAGACTACCTGTCAAATTAGACGAAGCATACATCAATAACTCTGGTTTCTTGTTGAAATGAAACACAACATTTAATTTAAAGAAAATTATGAAGTCATCAATATTCGTTTTTATTTTCAAGTATTTTCATATGATTATTAGCTAAGTGTGTTCACACACTTGTCAGCTATTTAGAAACATGAAATAGATTTCAAAAAAATTTTAAAGTTCAAATTAGAATTTTAAAAAGTAGAAGAAAATTTACAGCATATACCATGATTTATAGCCAAACATACCGTATATATAATATCAATAATTTGCTTCTAACTTGTGTGTTAATTGTCACTAATGTTTGATGACTTTTTAGTTTTGGAGTAATTCATGAAAATTCAGTGCACTTTATTTGGAATCTGAAAGAGTAATAACAATAATTGAGGTCTCTTTGGTGGCGTTACTACTGCATTTATGGTACATAGTTATTATATTTGTTTACAGCTATTACACATTGCATGTGACCTGCTGTTCATTAGTCATGTTTCCTCATAATGATGCTTAATTCAATCTTGTTCATTAACATGCTTTGATCATTGTTTTTGTTTTGCTTTGATGTGAAGCCAATTAGTTGTAAACAATCGTCAGAATTAGAATCGAAAAGTTGCTTATAATTACGATATTGACAGGTACAACACATACACGTATGCAGTTTTACATTTGATGGATGTAATTGACGTGCCATTGATGAGTTCAAAGCTACAATTATAAAACATGTATTGCAGTTTTTAAAAGTACTTTTATATTTCTGTTTTTAGTAAACAATTGAAGTATTTTAACCTTTCCATCTCTAATCTAATCATTACATGTGCAGGATGTATGACTTTCCACTTACCAATTTTTCATTTTCTTTAGAAAGCATGAGTGTTGGTTTACAAAATGAAAATAAGTTTGACTTACTGATGACATAGTAATAATGGCATGAAATTGAGGACCAGCATTCAATACTATTTAAGAAAACATAAATATAGATCAATTCTTGGAAAAGGGGAGTAACTGGAAAAATACACCAACCCGAAGGGCCATGTGAGCTTATGCCATGGTACGGCCTCCGTCGTCAGTCCATCGCCTGTCCATCCGGTGTCAACTTTACACTTAAAACGTCTTCTTCTCAGTAATGGAAAGACCCTGGGTACTGATATTAAGTCTGCAACATGATGGGTGGAGGGCTACCAAGTTCGTTTAAATGAATGACCTTGACCCACTTTCAAGGTCACGAAGGTCATATTTATGAAAATCTTCAAATTACTTCTTCTTAGTAACTGAAAGGCTGAGGGTATTGATATAAGGTCTGCCGTATGCTGTGATGAAGGGCTTCCAAGTCTGTTTAAATGAGTGACCTTGACCTACTTTTAAGGTCACAGAAGTAAAATGTGTTAAAAAATCTTCAAACAACTACTTTTCAGGGAAGGCCAATGATAATGATATTGGGCCTTAAGCATACTTGGAAAAAGGAGTACCAAGATTGTTCAAATGAATGACTTTGACCCACTTTCAAGGTCACATCAGTCAAACGTGTTAAAATCTTGAAAGAATTGTTCTCAGTAACCAACAGGATCAGGATACTGATGTTTTCCACAGGCTGGAAAGGAAATGACCTTGACATATGTTCAATGTGACAGGGTCAAATTTATCAAAACATTTAAACAATTTCTCATGAACTTAAGGGCTAGAGGAATTGTATTTAGCTGGTATATTCCTAGGATAAAACCTAACAACATTTGGAAAAAGAAAGAACCTTGACATATGTTTAATGTCACAAGGGTCAAATTTGTGAAAACATTTAAAGGACTTCTTCTGATGAACTAAAAAGCCTAGAGGCATGATATTTGTCCAGTTATGTTCCAGGATGAAGCCTGACATAGATTGTGAAAAGAAATGACCTTCATTATGTTCAAGGTCACAGGGGTCAAATTTGTTAAATGTTTCGCACCACTTCATCTGACCAAAGGTTGCAGAAGCACAGTGTTTGGGTGATAAATTTTTCAGGATGTTGACAGACATTTATGAAAAGAAATGACCTTGACCCATATCATATGTCACAGGGATCAAATTTTTTGAAGCCAATAAAAGGATTTCTTCTTGTAAACCAAAAGCCTTTATTTGGTGGAAAGCTGGTTCTGGGTCAAAGCCTAACAAATTTTGAGAAAAAAAGATCGGGCATTTACATATAATCCAGGTCATAGCTGTCACTGTTTAGAGGTGAGTGTTAGTAGCCCCTTGTTGTTTGAACTTGTTGAAATTGATTAGATGTGCCCACTTTGAATGTCAATGGTGTACATTTCAATATACTTGTGATGTTAACACCAATTCTATTTTTGATGAATATTGAATACCAGTTGAGCTATGCAGGCCAATTGTGCCACTGTAAGATATGTTCGTTTTATTTGTTTTTTATTACAGTCAATGAATTAGCTAAATACTGTATTGCATGCTGCACTGTAGGCCTATATATCAACTTTAGAAATATCTGACATAATTTTTAAATAAACTAGATTTGCATGTTTTTTTAATTCTGTAGATATGTTCAGTATTTTGTAGGTTTAGATCATCTCAGATTTCAAATCTGGATTATAAAATATTTAGAACTTTTCCAAAGCAACAAATAACCAAGGTAAAGAAAACTGCTGTCCTGATAATTCTTAAGACTAATACTTAAAATAGTTAGATGTATTATAAAACATTCAGATGTCTCCTAAGCTTTAAATTTATAATGTAATAAATTTCAATCTGGACCAAGTTTTGATATACATAAATGTACACCTGTGTTTAATATTGGACATTTCAATCTGCAGGTCAATAATACAACTATTGTGTTGTTGGTTCAAAAATGCTTTTATTAACAAAATATTGATTTTCATTGTGCCTAAAATCTTGCAGAACAGAATTTTATTGAAAGATCTAACATTCACTAGGTTATGTTAGTGAAAAAGGCAGTAAATTTGATGATATTTAGTCCAGACCAAAATTTTAATCAGTGCTTTTACTTAGAGAAATACAGTAGGAACTCTGAATTCAGGCATGTCCCACAGGAAAAGGTTTGGCCAGGGCTGGGATATCTGAATCTCAAATATCGCAAAAAATGTTCAAAAAAGTTTAATTTGAAATATATTTATCAATTATTTTGTTTTCTTCTTCTTTTTTTATATATAAAAAGAATGAACCTATGTAGTATAATTTCTGAAGCATATTGTGACAGATTTTTTGTTTGATAAAAGTCTTAGTATGTCGTTTTGGTGTTATGAATATAGAGCATGTTATATTGGAAAGTTCAGTGGACATTTTAATGAAATATTAACCCAATATGTTTACCTTTATTCATTTTTTGTCATATGAGATATTAAGTTTGTCTGCTTGAAAGGTTTAAAGACCGTAAAAACAGACATAAATCTAATTTAAATAACATTATTGCTAGATGGTAACATTATGAAGTGATACTAAAAATATCAAACATAACACACAATAGTTATGGTATAGTCCCATGGTATTATGATATATTTGTTATGTATCGTTGCCATGCATTGTTATATTGAAATGTGCGTTTGCATTGTATTTCAATTAACAAAACCTAATGACTAAATTAATACACTGGACATGGTATGATTCATTTGGTAACTTGATAACTTAAATACATTGTATGTACATGTAACAAATACGTTGTGTCTGATATGTAATGTATGACACATACATGTGAAACATTGTATGTTGAACTAATACATTTTTTCTGGTATATTGTATTGAATACATTGTATGTATAACTGATACATTGTGCCAATGATATATTTTTTTTTACAGTGGTGTTAAAACTGCCTTCGCCTATTTCAGCTGTATTGTTTGTTCTGCTTTATGGTACTTCATGGTTGACTGTATATATATGTATAATGTATGAAGTTTAAACCTGGTGTTGGATTGTAAATGTGATGCAATGTGTTTAAATTCCTGCTGTAAATGTTTATATTGTATTGTTTTTTTCTCCCGAACAGCTCTAGACCCACCACCTGGACAAGGTAACCCTTGCAAACACAATTGTGTGGTGTGTCACTTACCCAGCATGCTTTATGTGATTTCCCAGCATGCATTGCTAAACCCAGCATGCTTCACTTACCCAGCATGCAGCAAATAATTGCCCAGCATGCTTCAGTATCAAGTATACTGAGTAACCCCACAGACTTTATTTTACCCAGCATGCTTCACTATTGAGTATACTTAGTTACCCAGCATGCTTTACTTTTGGGTATTCTCCATTACTCAGCATACTTTGCTTAGCCAGTGACTACTTTAGCAGCATAGAACATTGGAATTCCTTGTTTTTCCATTGACTTGCCCAGTTTAACTCGTTTCCTTTTTCACTGTGAAACTTCCTTTTTTTGGTCTGAAAGCATGAAAAACTGTTGTATTTCTGTCTACCTGTGTGGAGTTTTGGATAACGTAAATGGACTGTAAAGATTCTTGTTAGATGAACTTCACCACCTGGACTCTTGTTTATATTGATATCCTGAGTATTCAACCCTACACCCTCTCACACTTTAATGCCCCACCACACACCTCCATATCTCACCATACTTTTGCAGCCCGCTAACCAGCACCGTTGTGATTTACTGAAAAAAGAACATTATATAAATGTCTGAATGGATATTCTCTACTTGAGAGTCTGTCTCATTGGTTTAAGTAAATTTACTCTAAGAAAGCACTGTATTTAGTTCCCATTGATACAGAGTGTACTCAGCATGTTTATAGGTTGTTGTATAGCAATGGACGTTCTCAGGATATAGATACAAAGTCCTCTTATTATGTCCTTTATAGTCAGTGTAAGAACACCATTCAATATATTGTGTACAGAGGCAGTCTGTGGAGGTCCTAACACATAGTAATGTCTTGCATGTCAGTGTATATGTGTGTTCAATAATTTAGTCTTTGATATTGAAGAAAACATGAAATATTGAGGTTGAGGTATACTGATTAATAACCATTGGCAGGGTTTGTGTTGGTATCATAAAATAATTTCATTCAAAAACAAATTATATATCGGAAGAATTTCATTTTTTAAGATGTAGTTTTGGAAGGTATAGAGCTCTGGATATCGTGGTAAAGTTGTTTTTCTGAAGAAGCTGAAAAACTGGCTGGTCTAGTTTGTTGTGTTTGTGTCTTGGCGAATGACACTTTATCCTAATTGCTCTGGTTAGCCTGTGAATGACCTCCAGTATGTTGTTCAGAGAGGTAGCCACCAGTAACGTATATTATAAGTCCCCACCTCAAAATGGCCCTGGCTAACAAAACAAACAACTGAACAGAAACACAGCACTTTCTTTGTTTCTAAATGGTGTTTATAGGCCCCTGTCCCTAAAGACTGGATATCATTTAAATCATGGTCAGAAATTAAAGTATTTGGTAACTTCAGAAGGTTCTAATAATATCCACATGTTGAAGCATGTTTTTATGTTTTTGTGATGTTACTTACTAAGCTAGGACAAAGGAATTCAATTTTTTCTTTTTATTTAAACATTTTTCTTTTGTGAATTTTCAATGAGTCCTTATATCAGACAAAAATTGTAAATGCTGTTTGCATAAATTTTTTAAAAAATATTTTGTCTCTCACTTCATTGTCAGGAATAGCAATGATTCAAAACAGCTGATTTTGATAAAGAAAATAATGAGTAGGTTTTCTTCGGATGTACATCAAAAGTGATCTCTCGAAGGTCAGTTGATCTGTCAATGTTTGGGGATTTGTCAAATATCTGTTGATCTTTCAAAGATGAGATGGTCTGTTGAATGTCAAGAAGATGATCTGTCAAAGGTCCTGTGATCTGTCAAAGGTCCTGTGATCTGTCAAAGGTCAGGTGATTTGTCAGAGGTCAGGTGATCTGTCAAAGGTCAGGTGATCTGTCAAAGGTCAGGTGATTTGTCAAAGGTCAGATGATCTGTCATATGTCTGGTGATCTGTCAAATGTCTGGTGATCTGTTTAATGGCCAGGTGATCTGTCAAAGGTTCTGTGATCTGTCAACGGCCAAGTTGTTCTGTCATGTGTCAGGTGATCTGTCAAATGTCTGGAGATTTGTCACATGTCAGGTGATCTGTCAAATGTCTGGAGATTTGTCACATGTCAGGTGATCTATCAAATGTTGGGTGATCTGTCGTATGTCTGGTGATCTGTTGAATGTCTAGAGATCTGTCAATTGACAGATGATCTGTCAAAGGTCAGGTGATCTGTCAACTGTCTGGTGATCTGTCAAAGCTTGATCTTGATGTAATAATTATGAATAAGATTGACTTATATGTTAATGATCAGAGGGCTATATATAGATATCAGTATCTCGGTCATCCTGTAAGGTGTTAGATAAAACCAACATTAGGTGAGAATCTGAGGTGTGTGGTTGGATCCTTACCTAGGACAGGTAATGTTTCTCAGGTGAGAATCTGAGGTGTGTGGTTGGAACCTTACCTAGGACAGGTAATGTTTCTCAGGTGAGAATCTGAGGTGTGTGGTTGGATCCTTACCTAGGACAGGTAATGTTTCTCAGGTGAGAATCTGAGGTTTGTGGTTGGAACCTTACCTAGGACAGGTAATGTTTCTCAGGTGAGAACCTGAGGTGTGTGGTTGGAACCTTACCTAGGACAGGTAATGTTTCTCAGGTGAGAATCTGAGGTGTGTGGTTGGATCCTTACCTAGGACAGGTAATGTTTCTCAGGTGAGAATCTGAGGTGTGTGGTTGGAACCTTACCTAGGACAGGTAATGTTTCTCAGGTGAGAACCTGAGGTGTGTGGTTGGATCCTTACCTAGGACAGTTAATGTTTCACAGAAAGTGTGATCATAGCTGTCCTTTGCTGTCATAATTACCTTGATTCCTATGTATAACATGAGGATGGGCCTCTTGCATGATGTTCAGTGAAGTAACCACCAGGAGACCCTGACTATTTTTCTAGTGGTGATTAACCCAGAAAACAAACCAATTTAAAAGTAGACAAGCAAACTAGTCAACAGTTGTGACTGGAGGACAAATTACTGATTTGCTACATGTACAAGTTAACAAGCACTAAATTAAGTATTAGTTTTTTCAGAGCATGGTGTAGATTTGTTGTTGTTTATAACATGAAGATTTGTCAATAACAACAATGAGTTTGACTTTTATAGCAGTTTGTTTATTATGCATGTAACAATATTGCCTGTCCTGAACTAAAATTCAATGATAACAGCATAAATTGTTGTGAACACAATAGAGAGTTGCTGTATTTTTTGGTCTGAATATATGTGTATCTATATACAGCAAAAGTTTGTGATAAAAGATGATTGTCACATAAAAACCTGACCTGTTGTTGGTCATGATCCTGACCACTTGACCACTTCTAAAATGAAAATGTTGTTTACAAAATAATTCATAAACACTTCATTCGATGAAATCAATGTTATAATTCAGTGATGGAGTGTTGTTTAACACCTAATCTATGATTGGTGGTCATCAGTTAAGGTTAAAAGGGCAAAGGTCACACCTCACTGCTTAAAATTTTCATCATATATTGGTAGTCATCACTCAAGGTTAAAGGATAAAGGTCACACCTTACCAATGCATACTTTCATGTATTCTGATCAGCCTTAATACTAATAAATGTTTTGTTGTGCATGTGTATGGTTGTATTTGTTGTAGTGATGATGCCAATGGTTTGAATAAAGCATTTTTGTGAGCCGAGGATGCCTCAGTTTTCTGTAGCATCTTTCTAAGCTATGGTGCTAATATTCAGTGTAGTATATTTTAGTGAAGTGTGGTGCCTTAGTGATCTGTGCATTGCATATTAGGCAGTTATGATGCCACACCGATTTGGTAATAGATTTTTGTATATTTCAACATGTAATGACTCCATTATTCTGAAATGTATATCTTAACAAGCTGTGATGCCAGTTTACTAAGAAGTATTTTTTATGTAGATGTTTTGTTAGTATCCTGTGAAGTGTATTTCAGTGAGCTATGATGCCACTATCAGTGAGCTATGATGCCAATATCAGTGAGGTGTGATGTCAGTGTTCTATGAAGTATATATCAGTGAGCTGTGATGTCAGTGTTCTGTGAAGTATATATCAGTGAGGTGTGATGCCAGTGTTCTGTGAAGAATATATCAGTGAGCTGTGATGTCAGTGTTCTGTGAAGTATGTAAGTGAGCTGTGATGTCAGTGTTCTATGAAGTATATATTAGTGAGCTGTGATGTCAGTGTTCTGTGAAGTATATATCAGTGAGATGTGATGTTGGTGTTCTGTGAAGTATATATCAGTGAGGTGTGATGTCAGTGTACTGTGAAGTATATATCAGTGAGGTGTGATGTCAGTGTTCTGTGAAGTATGTAAGTGAGGTGTGATGTCAGTGTTCTATGAAGTATATATCAGTGAGCTGTGTTGTCAGTGTTCTATGAAGTATATATCAGTGAGGTGTGATGTCAGTGTTCTGTGAAGTATATATCAGTGAGGTGTGATGTCAGTGTTCTGTGAAGTATGTAAGTGAGGTGTGATGTCAGTGTTCTGTGAAGTATGTAAGTGAGGTGTGATGTCAGTGTTCTGTGAAGTATGTAAGTGAGGTGTGATGTCAGTGTTCTGTGAAGTATATATCAGTGAGGTGTGATGTCAGTGTTCTGTGAAGTATATATTAGTGAGATGTGATGTCAGTGTTCTGTGAAGTATGTAAGTGAGGTGTGATGTCAGTGTTCTGTGAAGTATGTAAGTGAGGTGTGATGTCAGTGTTCTGTGAAGTATGTAAGTGAGGTGTGATGTCAGTGTTCTGTGAAGTATGTAAGTGAGGTGTGATGTCAGTGTTCTGTGAAGTAAGTAAGTGAGGTGTGATGTCAGTGTATTGTGAAGTATGTCAGTGAGGTGTGATGTCAGTGTTCTGTGAAGTATGTAAGTGAGGTGTGATGTCAGTGTTCTGTGAAGTATGTAAGTGAGCTATGATGCTAGGGAACTGTGATATCAGTGTCCTTTATATAATACTTAAGTGATCTACACATTTGCCACAGTATTCTGTATATATGTTACTGACCTATGTTGACACTGTTTTGTGATGTAATACATGTTGTACCAGCACCTTGTTTACTTGTAGATGGTTTGGGGTTTACGTCTAAATTATCATAATCAGTTTCAGTTGAGATCTTCACTTAAACTTCCCAAACATGGTTAGAAAAATCTTAGCAAATTTTTTTCACAAAATATTCTTTTACTATATTGTAATGTGAATTAGGAAAATATTGTATGAATTTGTTTTCTAATTTATATATCTTACTACGAATGACTGATTTAACCATATACATACATTAACTTTGAAAAAATGTATGATTGGGTTCTTTAATTTACTAAAAAGTTATGGTACTTTTTTTCTCTGTGACATTTTACCTTGTCAGAACTGGTGTGCTAAATCTCTATGGGTTTTCCATTCCTGTTTAAACAGTAGGCACAACCATGTTCCACCAATCAGCAAACCGTCTCCTAACCAATCAGTCGCCAGCCATCCAGAGACCAGTCTCAGGTAGGTCATGTGGTCATCATCTTCTCATAGTACTGATGGATCCTCTTATATATGCTCAGTAATTTAAAGAATAAAAAGATGTTTTCCTCTCTGTCCATTTTGATATTTCTTCAGGCCATTTTAATTTTCCTTAGTTGCCTCCTAGGTTTCAGGATTATGGCCCTAGCATTACTGATGATACCTAGGATGACAAACAGGTGTATGATTCAGTGAAATTCATTGTTAGTCTGAAGTGCATCTAACTGTAAACATGTTATCAATGGTGTTAATATCTCATGTATCTTTTGTCTATTTAAAAGTTTAATGAACTGAGGAAATTTAAATACTGATATTTTCTTCATAACTTCAATCAAAACTTTGTCACACAAATTACAAGTCACATCAGATGGGAAACATGACATTATGATGACAAATTTTGCTATTACAAAGTATTGACTTAGATGGTGAATCTTCATAGTATTAAGTTATGATATCATTGACTTTAAAATTTGTTAATTTGTGTGTTATTGAAATTAACAAATTTTGCAAATGTTTCCATCTAGACGGCGAAAAATACATCAAACCCAGGAAGACGTCCACCAGAAAGCTATAAAACATCAACGCACACCGGAGAAGAGAGTTCAGCAGGTCGATTATGACCAAGGTCAGTTGAATGTTTTTGTCTGATACAGACTTTTGATTGCTTGTTTTGTTGTAGTCAGGGTCAAATTGATACACTGTAAAGGTATGGTAATTAAGGGGTTCTGTTTCTTGCTATTTTCAAGAATTGAATAAAACTGTGAAAAATATTTACACTTAAATCAAAATTACAAAAAGAAAACAATAATTTGTATCATGACTTTAATCAAAATGATTAAATGTATCCCTTTTGTAATTAAAACTTTTGGTAAAATTATGAAAATTTGCTCTTTCAAAAATCACATTTATTACGGTAGATGTGATATGTTATTACAAAGATACATAAATAAATCAGACAGAGTCATGGAGGAACTTAGTTAAATGTCAAGGTCATCTGCAGGTGTCAAGTTCAAGTATATAGGTCAAGGTCAGGTGAGAATATGTGCAGTACAGCAGTGGGGATGATGAATATTGCAATTTCTAGTAGACGCTTAATATTTCCTGGAAGCCTTTTATTGAATTCTTTCATTATGCTGATACAAACTGGAAACAGTATTATCTAGAAGAAATTTATAAAACATAGGCTATACTGAAATCTATACACAACTGTAAATGGAGCAAAATGCAATGTGTTACCGATGATGACACCTCTCTTCTGATTGACCCGGTAAAAATTCCTGAGTTCAAGTGGACTTCATTTCTACAGGTGTGTTTTAGTGCCTAGACTAACACAAAGCTAAGAGAAGGTGAAGCAAGTGTTGGGATATTTTGTTGTAGTTACTTTCATACAGTGTAAATCCAGTAGTAGTATATCCCTAGTATTTCATTTGGTAATTTAAATTTCAGAATTGGGAACGACAACAGATCAGACTGTTCAGAATATGTTGATTTTCCTCTTTCAAGGAATGATATTCTACGTTGATTTGTTTCAGATAACTCTAATGTTTTCCGAGCCAAGAAAGAGAACAAGTCGACAAAGGGTGCAAAAGAGGTCAAGGAATCTAGGGAGACAAAGACTGACCTCCCGATTGATCAGGTCAAGGCAGAGGAAGTGGAGGTAAGACCAGTATTTACTGAAGAAGAAGATAAATATTTTTGTTTTACATCAAAGAAATAATCATCTCACAGACTTTCTATGACCTTTTTTTCTCTTTCATTTAAGTCTACATAAGCTGGTAGATTATATTTGTCAGTTTGGTTCTGTTCTCCATTTCCTCTAACTTGGCCTCTTATGTTACATGCTGGCTATCTCCTTTGATGTTTGACCTTGTAGGTCACATGATGACTCTGCCCTCTAGCTTGACCTCTTGTGTCACATGACCACTCTGCCCTCTACCTTGACCTCTTGTGTCACATGATGACTGCCCTCTAACTTGACCTTTTGTGTCACATGATGACTCTGCCCTCTAACTTGACCTCTTGTGTCACATGATGACTCTGCCCTCTGATTTGACCTCTTGGGTCACATGATGGCCTGACCTTTAACCTCAACTTTTGTATTACATGATGACTGTGTCCTCAACATGGCCTCTTCTGTAAGAGATATTGCTTTTCTGCTAACTTGACTTTTTCTTTTTCTAATCAATTGGACTTTCCTCATCTTACTTTGCCCACTTACAGGAAGAGTTACTTCCCCCTGCTCATCATCACCTGACTCCTTTAGAATTAAACCGTCGCCCTTCTGATGAAGATCAGGATTATGCTAAGGTCAGAGGTCAAAATCTATTTCTATTTTTTTGTAAGCACATTGGTTGCATAGCTGTTGGACTTTGAGTTGCAAATCCTAAACTTGCCTTTTTTCTAGATCATTAAATTAATTCTGTATGTAAGTATATGTGTATGTTCTTAGTTAAGAATGTACAGGTAGTTTAGGGAAAAAAACCAAAAGAAAAATCAAAACATTCTTACATATATAAACATCACTTTTGAATAGCCTATGGAAAAATCAGTTACAATTGACTGTGGGTAAAATCAGTCATGATTGGCTGTAGGTAAAATCAGTCTTGATTGGCTGTAGGTAAAATCAGTCTTGATTGGCTGTAGGTAAAATCAGTCTTGATTGGCTGTAGGTAAAATCAGTCATGATTGACTGTAGGTAAAATCAGTCACGATTGGCTGTAGGTAAAATCAGTCACGATTGGCTGTAGGTAAAATCAGTCATGATTGGCTGTAGGTAAAATCAGTCTTGATTGGCTGTAGGTAAAATCAGTCAAGATTGGCTGTAGGTAAAATCAGTTACAATTGACTGTGGGTAAAATCAGTCACGATTGGCTGTAGGTAAAATCAGTCACGACTGGTTATAGGTAAAATCAGTTACAATTGACTGTGGGTAAAATCAGTCTTGATTGGCTGTAGGTAAAATCAGTCATGATTGGCTGTAGGTAAAATCAGTTATGATTGGCTGTAGGTAAAATCAGTCACGATTGACTGTAGGTAAAATCAGTCTTGATTGGCTGTAGGTAAAATCAGTTATGATCAGCTGTAGGTAAGATAAGTTATTATTAACATAGTTAAAATCAGTTTCCATGCTGGCAAAGTTTTGTTAATACAGGAAGTTTTTGGGGTCAATTTTTCCACGTTTTCGATTTTCAGTCCCAATGAAAAATGTAATAAAATATTTTTCATTATGGTTTATAATTTTTGTCTGTACCCCTGTCTACCTGATAGATATTGATTATATATTTCTTTTCATTACAGGAAGATTATTATGGCTATGACAAGGTAAGATAACTCTGTAATTTCCACAAGCGTGATGAATCATACCCCTATTTTGATAGTTTTTATATCAAATGAATTACAATGAAATTGAATCAATATCTACATCTGAAAATGTGGTGACTTGTATGTATGTAACACTGTTTTATATCAAGGTTCACTTTTAAAACTCCAGGATATACATAACTACATGTATTTGTGAATTTTAGATGTTTGTCAAAACTTGCTTCTTAAATGTGTGAATGGCTTGTTTTGCTGGTCGTGCTGTGGTTGAGAGCTGACTCATTGTCTACCACCCTTTTCACATGCAATATACAACCTAATGCTTTTTAGTAATTTTTTTTTCTGAGTCAGGACAATAGGGATTGTGGGGAAAATGAGCCTCCAATGTAGGAACAAGGTCATGAGATAAAGTTATATGTCAAGCTTGTTACAGCTGACTTGTAAAATTGTTCTTCATTAGTCTTGTTAGCATGTTATGATAGTCATAACACAAATAATACAGTAACGGATAATTCTGCATGGCAGTTTCAATTGCTGAATGACAAATCTAATATATGATAGTCATGTAAACTTCTTCTTGCCCAAATTCTAGAACTCATTTAACCTAAAGTGGGTTTTAGGCATAGCTGCTTATTACCCGAGAAAATCCTGTCACACTCTCAGCATGTTCAATAGTCAAAAGTCACAAAATACCATAGATTGAATTGGCCATTTATTATAACAACATCTGATTGTAGCTTTACAATTAAGTACCTGTTCATAACACATTGCCAAACATTTACTGTGCTGTAAATCAAGGTAAAACAAACACACCTGAATATTGTAGAGGAGAGGGTATCATAATGCAGAGTGTGATGTACAGGCTAACCCAATGTTCTCAGGTTTCTGACATCACAATCGTGCATCCCCTTCCAAATGCAAATGTGCTGAAATACATGTGGGTAAGGATTCCCTGACAGAATCGTAGTCATACAACATTGATTTCTTTTCTCTTTTATAATGTATTGATATTAATTAAAGGTACCTTCCATAGCTGTCATAGGTATGCCCCAGATTCTGTAATAGTCGTATACACCTACAATTTACTGTGTATGTGAAAAGGGTTAGATGTACACATACTGTCAGCTCTGTTATCTCTTTTCTGGAAGTTTTTTTTTCTTTCCATTTTGTTTTATGAATTTGTGCATCTCAGTGTGGTAGACAGATAATGTTTTAGTTTATATCATGAATACAAAATGAGTTTAGCAGAAATATTATCCTATGTAAGAAGAAATCTTGACAATTTGATAATGAAAATATGTCTTTATTTTACTTATTTTATTTGAAATATTCTGAACAAAAATAAAATAAAAACTGAAATTCAGGCAGAGCAAAGTACCAATTTCAATTTTACAGAATATTTTACATTAAAAAAAAAAAGAAAAGAAAATGAAATTTTTGAGAATTATTCTCATGAAGGGAAAAGTTTGTGAAGGTAAAATGATATCAGGGACAATATAAATGTGTGATGATTGCAAACACAAGAGTTAAGCATAAGCACTTTTACTTCTTAATCTTCAGATGCTTAACAACAGTAACAGTACACATATACATGTAAAAGTGACTGTTGTGTCGCTGCATGTGTAATATGAGTGTGTAATTTTGACTATATACAGCGAATTTTTATCAACACTAAGTTTGTAACAGTATCTGAAAACAAGTGTCAGACCTGACAACAGCCATGTCTTCCTGGATACAGGTATTTGATAGTTGCTAGATACAGGTGAATGATACAGGTGTTTTTATACTGGTAGTTGCTGGATACAGGTATTGGTTTCTGGACACAGGCATTTCATGGTTATTTGGTACAGGTTAAATTATACAGGTATTTTACAAATGTAGTCACTGGATTAACATATTTGTGCTTGGAAACAGGAATTTCTTTCTGGATACAGATATTTCCCAGTTGTTGGATGCAGATGAATGATACAGGTGTTTTATTAGTGGTAGTCACTGGATACAGGTTATTGTACCTTGTCTTGAAAAAAACCAATAGTAGTTATTTATACAGGTATAAGTCACAGGATACAGGTATTTGTACCTGAATACAGGCAGGTGTCTGTAATTGTGTACTTATGGTTCCAGGATGACAGGAGGTCGCCGAGAGGACATCCATACACCAAGGTAGGAATGGTAGTATGCATGCCACCATTCCTGTAACCCTTAGTTACAGCATTCTGTAAACAGAGTTACAGGGATAATTGACATTACCTGAAGTACTGACAACTGAGTGGTATTAATGAGATCACTCGTCACATTATTTCTCTCATGGTGGAGATTTGAGCGAGTGATTGCATGAATGTCATGTGACCTTACATAATCTGATATTAGTGCATGAGGATAAGTTCGGAATTCATACCCATGTGTCCTCGTTGTTCGAAGCCTGAATCACTTATGTTATTATCTTGGTAACCTGGATGCCATGTATTGATTCATTTAAATGCCCAATCTGGCACATCTTAGTCTATATATATATATTCTTTTAAAATCATCAGATATTTGAAAATTTTGAAATTTATCAAATTATGGAGGTTATGCAATATCTTCTCATCTACATTTTGACATTCAACAAAATTGGCATCACTGATGGTTCAAGGTGAAGATAAAATAGTTGTATAATTCAATCTAAATTTCTATTGAAATGTAAATAACACTTGTGTGTCTTATGTGCTTGTAGTCATTACTGGAAGTAGGTATAACTGTTCAGGAATACTTTAAATTTTACAAACATACCATAATTTTTTTTTCATTTTCATGCTTTGAACAAAGAGGTCCTGAGATATTGTTTATACTTTGTAGGTAGTAGGTATCCTTTACATACACCTTACAAATTACAGTATATTTTGAAGACGCAAAACAGCTCACCTGAGTTATTATTTTTATTTCAGTACTACTGCTATCAATGACTATTGAAATCTTTCTTTACTCTAACTCTTCTGGAACACCTGGTCTTATTATCCTTGTACTTTTTCTGAAGTCTCCGTATAAATCTTTCTTTTATTCATATTTTGCCCAAGTTTGATTGAATTTGAGTTTGTATTAAGATTATGTTGAAATTTTTATTCTTTAAAGTCTAAATACTTTTCTCTCAGTACTGTATAGGATGCTATCTTTGGTATGATCTTGAAAGTAAAATGGTATAGAACTTAAGCTGTTTGTTTTTGTAGGTACGTTATGTCTATACTCTATAATACATTTATCAGTTTCTTTAGTTAGAAGTCACTTTTATCCTTTAGCTCCTTTTCCCCCCAAATTTCTTTCCTTTTAAACAATTAAACAAATTTCTTTTCAATACTGCATGATTAGTTTTTAAACACTACAGTGTTTACTAATATTTGGTAAAAGTAGAATTAATAAAAAAAAGAGATGGACTGTATAACTGGTGTTTTTACAATGACGTATGGGATTGAGTGTGAAACATACACACACACACACACACACACACACAAACATTGAGATCAACTTGAGAAATATATAACCCATTTTGACACTACACACTTCACCTGTCAATTGTAGTACATGCACTACATGTTAGGGTTTTTCAAACATTGGGAAAGTATCACACTCAGTCAGTAGTTGAGTCTAATATTATGAAATTACTAACAGTACAGTTGGTGAATAGCTTTAACAAACATCATGTTTACCTTAAAACCTTGTTCAGCTTTTCTATTGCTTGTTAGTATTATTTTTTCTGTGTTGCTATTTCCTATGTTAAACATTATTAGCTGTCATTTCCCTAGTTGTTATGGCTACAAAGGATGATTGGTAGTGTCATATTTTACATAGTGCTCTATATACAGTAACAAGGGAGATAAGCCACTGGGAAACATAATTAATTTATCATTTTTCCAAGATACAGAGCTTAACAGTATCATGGTTCCAACAAATTGACAGGGATTTGAAATTTTTAAATCTTTAATTATATTCTCATAATTTGATTTGGAAAAAAAATTAATAAATATGTTTTGTTAGATAATAAATATATGTAGTATAAACATTTCAGAACACTTTTACACAAAAACAGGTGCTAATCACATTGTGTTTATTTTAAACGTGGATGCATGATCACAAGGCATATCATGGTTATTTCAGTATTCAAATTCTTGATGGTTTTGTTGTAGATTTTTAATAATTCTTTTATTACAACACAGGAGAGATCAGAACGTGACTTGAATCCTTACAAAGTGTTAGACCCAATCAAGAAAGATCAGCGTTCATCTACACCAGTAAAAGATGATGATGATGATGATGATGAGGAAAGGAAAAGGAAAGAAGATGAGGTAGAGGAAGCTAGCTGATCCTTCTGTTTGCACTAACTCTTCATCCATCCTTGTTTCTATGACAACCAACTGTTTTGTTAATAACATCATGAACTTTATTTATAAGTAATTAATACATCATATTAATACCAACATAGGTTTCTGTCACTAATAGCTGTCGCATCATGAGAAATTAATTAAATGTGATTAAAATCACAGAAATTCTTTTCTTATCTTTTGTTTATTTACTTGTTGCTTTGGTAAAGATCACTCCCCAAGTAGTTTCTATAAAAAATGTAGGAATATAAATAAAATACCGCCAAACCTGACCAGCTTTGTGAGCTGTAAATTTGACAGGTTCCATGTCACACAAGGTTTGGTTCCAACAAGTGTACTTAGCAAATCAATAAATGTATTATTTGAATTTCATGGGAAAAAAATTTTAGTTGATGAGCTGAAATTCAATTTGATTACACTATATTCTTGCTTACTGGTATCTTTATTTCATTTAACTTTTTTTTATAATTGGACAACTTTGCAGTATTTGAAAAAATGGAAGATAAAATGAGAGATAAGTTTAAGTAAAACTATTACAGGAGTAATCTTTGACCAGGCTTTACCTCTGCTTGCTCTGTGTGTCTCTTTGTAGAAATCTTCTCTCTGCATGTTCTGTGTGTATCTCCCTGTAGAGATCTTCTCTCTGCATGCTCTGTGTATGTCTCCCTGTAGAGATCTTCTTTCTGCATGTTCTGTGTGTGTCTCCCTGTAGAGATCTTCTTTCTACATGTTCTGTGTGTGTCTCCCTGTAGAAATCTTCTCATTGTTTTCTGTTTTGCAAAAAAACTGGATTATTTTTTAATTATTCTGCTCTCATGTTTTTGTTGCAATTTTGCTTTTGTTTTTGTGTTTTTTGTTGGCTTTGTTGTTACTTTATTTCATATTTTTTTATACCACTTGCTAGGATGTGAAACCTTGATAAAGGGAGGTAATTCAACCTTTTTATTAAACATTGACATTTTCTATTTTTTAAATGCTACACAAAAAAATTAGGGAGGGGTAGGGATTGATAGTATCCATTTTTTAATGATAGGCAATCTTTTCTCTCTTTACTTTGAAAGATTTACTGGTCTTTATTTTGAGATACATATTAGATGTATAGTTAATACCTGATTTTTATTTCAGTTCATGATAAATAAAATGTTAAACTACCTTTTCCCAATTACCATACCTGTATTTATCAAAAAATATATCCAGAAACTAGGTATATGGACTACTTGCAAGACAATGAAAAATAGTTTTTTGGCATTTTCTGCAGAATTGAAATAAAAATGACATTTATTACCAAATAACCAAAAGCACTGGTTGTTTTGGATCTGTAAAGTGAAATTATTAACCATATGAATTATCACAAAAAAAAATTGAAGAAACTTTTTTTGTTATTGTACATGAAATCTGAAATGAAAATTCTTAAAACAAGTATTTGTAACTATGAGATAACCATTATATAGGGATATTTCCTGATTTCTTTGTTTAAAGAGCTTAGTGTTACATGGGAAAAAAAGATTCAGATTTTAAAATCGACATTGTGTTGAATTTCATATTTTTTACCAGGAATATACCAGGTCTCAGCTTAAAAACTTTCCAATGATAATTAAACCTTTTTATGGAACAGAATGGAAATTTTGATAAATGAGATGTATCAGGTATATTTCAATCTTGTAAATTTTTTGTTTTCCCTTGCCAATTTATTTTGGCATTTTGTTTTGTTGTTTGGTCTTTATTTGATATTTTGAGAAACATCTTTGTTCAATGATTTATCATAATTTTTCATTATTTTTATCCATTTTTTGTTATGTCCTATTCTTGATCTTTAAAATTTGTCAGTTTACTATCACATTTTCTGCTGTGTGGGGGATATAAAGTAAATCCTCAACCAAATTTCTAATCATTTCGTGTTCACACAAATTCTCACTGATCTTTTTTCTATTGTTGAAGGAACAAATTTCATCCTCTTTGATGTATTTGAAGCAAAAATGCCGCTTCCACATTATATTTTCCTTTCTTTTGGATCACCTGCTGTTTTCATTTCTTCACTTGGAGCTTCCTAGACAGATCACAGACTTCTTTTCAATGTTTGGAGCATTCACAAGCAGTCACTATGTTCCTTTCTTTACTTGGAATGTTCTGGACCAAAAGCTACATTCCTCTCTAAACTTGGAGCTTCCTTTGACCAATCAGCATCTTTTTTTTCAGTACTTTGAGCTTCATGAATCAATCACAAACTTCCATCTTCTATTCTGACAGTCTCTAAGTAATCATCATCTTTCTCTATGTACTTCTCCCTTTCCAAAACTAGTTACCTTCAAGTTGTTGGATCATCTTGTAACTAATTGCTTTAATTTCTTCAGTTCTGAAGGTATACGTCTTTCTATTGTCTTTGTTTAATATTTTTTTTTTTTAAATGTTTTTTAATGCATAATTCAATATTTTTTCATATATAAACAGGAAATTTCACCCATTATAGACATCTGTTAATTTGCTATTCAGTAACAACCTTCATTTTTATTTATGTATTTTTTTTTATTCATTTATTGAAAAGCAGCTATAAATAGGAATAAAACAGTGAACATCAGTATCATGCATGATTTATGTAACTAGATATCTAGATTTTTAAACTTAAATTTACGGAAATTTCTAGAGATCTGTTTTAAGCTAAATGAAAATCAGATTAATTCAAAATAATCTTTTATCAAATTTAAGCCAGAAAATGTTTTTCTTTATTATATGCGTTATGTAACAGCACAATGAACCAGTAGTTTACCTGCTAATGTGTATGTGATATGTCACAGTGCCATACTGACCACCAAACTAGTACTTACCCTTATATATGTACTAATTACCGCACTAATATATCTATGATATCTTGCATCACCATTCCTTACCTACCTGCAGCATGATTTGAACATATTAACACACTTTGTCTAAGATTATGTTTAATGTGAATAAGTTGAATAATTTTTGGTAAAGAAATTTATATATTTGTTACACTATCACATATACTGTCCTATCAAAATGAAATTGATAATTTTTAATTTTTATTACAATTTTTGATAATGTAATGATGTAAATTAAGCAGTATTTTGTAATATCAACGTAAATACAATTTTCCAATGATGTCTTCACTTTTCCTTATTAAACCATCTTCCTCATCCCTCAGTTTCTTCATTATCAACTCTGTCTATCATCACCAGCCCAGGTATTTTATCACTTTCCCTGTAGGTCAACCATCTCTATCAAAACCGAGGATTTCTTGATACACCACCTCATTTATAATACTCCCCACCACTCCCTCAATAAATCTGATCTCAATAAGTCTCACCTCAATAATACCACCTAATCAATAAGTCCCACCTCAATAATACCCTCCACCTACTCAATAAGTCTCACCTCAATAATACTCACCACCTACTCAATAAGTCCCACCTCAATAATACCCTCCACCTACTCAATAAGTCCCACCTCAATAATACCCACCACCTACTCAATAAGTCCCACCTCAATAATACCTACCACCTACTCAATAAGTCCCACCTCAATAATACTCACCACCTACTCAATAAGTCCCACCTCAATAATACTCACCACCTACTCAATAAGTCCCACCTCAATAATACTCACCACCTACTCAATAAGTCTCACCTCAATAATACCCACCACCTACTCAATAAGTCCCACCTCAATAATACCCTCCACCTACTCAATAAGTCCCACCTCAATAATACCCTCCACCTACTCAATAAGTCCCACCTCAATAATACTCACCACCTACTCAATAAGTCTCACCTCAATAATACTCACCACCTACTCAATAAGTCCCACCTCAATAATACTCACCACCTACTCAATAAGTCCCACCTCAATAATACCTACCACCTACTCAATAAGTCCACCTCAATAATACCCACCACCTACTCAATAAGTCCCACCTCAATAATACCTACCACCTACTCAATAAGTCTCACCTCAATAATACCCACCACCTACTCAATAAGTCCCACCTCAATAATACCTACCACCTACTCAATAAGTCCCACCTCAATAATACCCACCACCTACTCAATAAGTCTCACTCAATAAGTCCCACCTCAATAATACCCACCACCTACTCAATAAGTCCCACCTCAATAATACCTACCACCTACTCAATAAGTCTCACCTCAATAAAACCCACCCAATCCAATTAGAGCCCCTTCTCCAATTGAGTTATTCCCTTGACCTTTGTATGCCTTATCAACCCTTTAAGAAGCCCTCTTCTATCCCTCCTCTTGTCCTTTCCACCCATACACTGCCATGCATTGAGGCACTTGCTTCACTGTACAAAGTACTGTAACATCTATTACCGCTGCTTGCGGATTTTCACAGGCTGCCACTAAGATCCAGGCAAGTTTCCGAGGTCACCAGGCCCGTCAGGAAATCGCTGACATGAAGATAGCTGGGGATGCCAAAAAGACAGAGAATACCACCACTCAGAGAGAAGACACAAAGGATTCCCTTGACAAAGATGCTGAAAACAAAGCTGCAGCGAAAATCCAGGCTGGTTTCCGTGGTTACCAGACTCGTCAGGAGTTAAAAGCAAAAGGTCATAAGGTACGTCCTCCAATTGCAGCTAATGCTGACTCAGGTGAGGATAAAAAGGTATCAAAAGAGAAAGAGGATGAAGCTGCAACAAAGATCCAGGCCAGTTTCCGTGGTTACCAGGCTAGGAAGGAAGTCAAACAAATACAGGAGGAGAAAAAGAAAAACGAGGCTGCGACCGTGATCCAAGCTAATTTCAAAGGTTACAAGGTCAGGAAGGAGCAAAAGGAACAAAGAGAAGGAGGACAGAAAAAAGAAAAAGAGAGCACCCAGAAAAAAGAAAAAGAGAGCACCCAGAAAAAAGAAAAAGAGAGCACCCAGAAAAAAGCAGATAAAAAACCACTAGATAAAGATGAGGCTGCAACCAAGATTCAAGCTAGCTTTAGAGGCTACCAGACACGAAAGCAATTCAAGCAAGAAAAAGAACAGGTACGTTAGGAGTCATAAAAAAAAGACTTGTGAAGAATGCCTATTCTCAATGGACGTGTCTTATTGGAGTCAATTTTTACCACCAAATTGAAAGTGAAATTTTTTTGTACTTAAATTTGAATTTAATCGATGTTTATATGACTTTGAAATCTTTAAAAACCTTAATAATTCTTAAAATTATTTTATTTAAAACGTTTTCAAACATCAAAGTTTGGAAAATTGGATTGAATTGACCATTTAAGCAATGTCCAATTGAGATAAGGCTGTTGTAGGTTGGATTGTAAAAATGAAAAAAGCAAAGTCCTAATCATATGAATGAGAAAAAAGGTACAAAAACATACAGATATCTCGTCTATAGTGCCCTGAAATAGGACAACATCGTTGTTTTAAGGTGTTAGGGATGTAATTAAAACACAAATAAAACATGAATAATTGAGATGTTTTGTATCTGTGAAAAGTTTATAAGTTTCTGTTCACAGGATTAAAAATTATAGATTTATGTATTGCCGTACCCTCATACCCTTAATTTTACTCCAAAACCTAAGAGAGTAGACTATTAAAGAGTGACATTTTCTCAAATGTAAATTGCATTCACAGAATTTTTTTTTCTAAACATCCTTATATCTTTTACTAAGGTAATTGGGACAAATTGTTCCATTGTCCCTTTTTCTGTCTGGAATGGCTAGTGACTTGTATGTCTGTCTTACATCAGGATTAACAGTCATCTACACCCCTCTATTGTACACCAAAGATACACCAGTGAAAAACAGTGGTAAATATTAGGATTTGGAATGAAAGTTGTTAATTACACCCCAAATACATTAAGTGCCATGAGTTTGGTTTCAAAAGTTCAAAATTGTTAATTTTCTAACCTGAAGATAATATAAAGTGGGAGCTGGCAGGGATGGCACGGCACTTGATGCCCCCATTGCATGATCATATAAGGCAACTAATTTGGGATCTGACGATTTATTTTATACGTTTACATATGTCTCCCTTAACGCTGTCTCACTTAGGTCTATATAAGTAGTGTATTTGCTCCAGTTAGGTTCAGGTTCTCTCATCTGCTTGAGACATACAAGAGTCTCTAAAAATGGTAGTTACTTCCTCTGCTGAAGAATATGTAAGAGTAACGATTAGTTTGCCCGTTGTCTGTATAATATGACTCAGGTGTCCTGATTTGGGAGGGAGCAGGGGCATGACTTCAGCATTATACTAGCACTATAAAATCAGGCTTCAATTCTGCGCTATCAACTATCATATATGCACATCACATGCACTTTTATCTTACCTTGCTTACATGAGATGACCATAGCTGTTGACAGGATATAATCACCCCTCCCTCCCCAAACCCCTCCTCCCCCTCACCCCAAACCCCTCCTCCCCCCAAAACCCCTCCTCCCCCTCACCCCAAACCCCTTCCCCCCCAAACCCCTCTTCCCCCTCACCCCAAACCCCTCCCCCCTTTCCCTCAAACCCCTCCAATTCACTGTCTGCCAGGTGTGTTAACAAACACAAAACAAGGAAAAAAGAAATTACAGAATTTTAAACTTTAATGATTGGCATGAACGTTATCAAATCTATGATTAACTTGCTTTTTTCATTTCTCTTTAGATGTAAAATTTGTGTTAATTATCCTAGCATGGCTGGTTAATGTGTGTGTGTGAATGCATTAGATGCCAATTTTGCTGCCATGGTAACACTAACAGTCAAGGTCACTCGCATACACAAATTTCATTGAAAAATCAATGTTAGCGATTATAAGATATCACCAATTTGTAAAACCTGAAAGAAAATTTTATGAAATATATTCTAACTGATTATCATATGCTCTTCTCGTATGTAAGGGGTCAAAGGTTGTATATTGAGTTGTCGTCAGGGGTCAGAGTTCACATCAGGGGTCATATGCCAGGTGATTGACATAACATCTCAGAAAATTAGTGTCAAAAGTAAATCTCTTCTTGTGGAAGTCAGGATAATGATTCTTATATTGGTCCACTAGTCAGTTTTACTGTGTTAGAAGCTAGTGATAGATATATACATAGCATTCACTTGAAACAATACAATAACCAGTCTCACTTGGAAGGAAAATCCAGTTACACAGTCAGTTGGTTTCAAAAATAAAATTTCAGATCAGGAGTATGTATAAGCCTTTTTATGTAAATCTTAGAAATCAATGTTAGAGTTTGTTGCAAATGTGCTGTCTTCAAAAACATTGTTAATGATATAGATCAAAGGTTAGGAATGTTGTAAGAAGCATCTATAAATTGTACAACCATGGAATTAGGGATTTCCTGATTTACTGATTTTGAAAAATTGATTGTCAATTTATTATTTCAAAACATTAAACTAAATTTTCATGTGAAATTTACGGCCAATAGACTTGCTTATTGTCATCCTTTTGAGATGAAACACGGATACTGATAAAGATGGCAAGAAGGCCTCTAGGATTTTAACATCATCAAGAAGGGTTATAAGAATATCAAAAGTTAAATGGAAAAAATTGCAATGAAAAGTTAAATTTATTACAGCTGAAATTATACTATACCTTGTATTCACATTTCTATATGTTCAGCAAACTGCACAAATTTCTCAAACTGAAACCTGATACAATTTTTGTATAATTAATTTTGAATATGGCCTTGACTTATGTGTTACTGTGACAACGTGTTGGATGTGTTTGTGATACGGGTGTGAGATTAATGTTATTTGCTATTGATCACTTGGGTGATACATATACAATTTTAATAAAACATTGATATGCTGTGTAAGGTGTGACTCTCATGATAAGCTCTGTGTGGTGAATGACAGTAATGTAATCAGAAAAGTGCCAGACTTGTGGCTGAAATGTGATGTTTGATGTGCTGTATATAAACTGTTTTACATTAATGTATTGTGCAGATTGGTAACTGCTGTATGTACACAGTATTTATCTTGCAATAAGCCCAGGAGTTAAAAACACTACACTATACATACTTCTGACTTAAAGTCCAGGGGTGGGACTTTTAACAATACCCCAGAGGTTCAACACACTACACTATACATACTTCTGACTTAAAGTCCAGGGGTGGGACTTTTTACAGTACCCCAGGGGTTCAACACACTACACTATACATACCTCTGACTTAAAGTCCAGGGGTGGGACTTTTTACAGTACCCCAGGGGTTCAACACACTACACTATACATACCTCTGACTTAAAGTCCAGGGGTGGGACTTTTTACAGTACCCCAGGGGTTCAACACACTACACTATACATACTTCTGACTTAAAGTCCAGGGGTGGGACTTTTTACAGTACCCCAGGGGTTCAACACACTACACTATACATACTTCTGACTTAAAGTCCAGGGGTGGGGACATTTTACAGTACCCCAGGGGTTCAACACACTACACTATACATACCTCTGACTTAACGTCCAGGGGTTGGGACTTATTACACTACCCCAGGGGTTAAAAACACTACACTATACATACTTCTGACTTAAAGTCCAGGGGTGGGGACTTATTACAGTACCCCAGGGGTTAAAAACACTACACTATACATACTTCTGACTTAAAGTCCAGGGGTACCCCAGGGGACTTTTTAGTACCCCAGGGGTTAACACACTACACTATACATACTTCTGACTTAAAGTCCAGGGGTGGGACTTTTTATAGTACCCCAGGGGTTCAACACACTACACTATACATACTTCTGACTTAAAGTCCAGGGGTGGGACTTTTTACAGTACCCCAGGGGTTCAACACACTACACTATACATACCTCTGACTTAAAGTCCAGGGGTGGGACTTTTTACAGTACCCCAGGGGTTCAACACACTACACTATACATACCTCTGACTTAAAGTCCAGGGGTGGGACTTTTTACAGTACCCCAGGGGTTCAACACACTACACTATACATACTTCTGACTTAAAGTCCAGGGGTGGGGACTTTTTACAGTACCCCAGGGGTTCAACACACTACACTATACATACCTCTGACTTAACGTCCAGGGGTGGGGACTTATTACAGTACCCCAGGGGTTAAAAACACTACACTATACATACTTCTGACTTAAAGTCCAGGGGTGGGGACTTATTACAGTACCCCAGGGGTTAAAAACACTACACTATACATACTTCTGACTTAAAGTCCAGGGGTGGGACTTTTTACAGTACCCCAGGGGTTCAACACTACACTATACATACCTCTGACTTAAAGTCCAGGGGTGGGACTTTTTATAGTACCCCAGGGGTTCAACACACTACACTATACATACTTCTGACTTAAAGTCCAGGGGTGGGGACTTATTACAGTACCCCAGGGGTTCAACACACTACACTATACATACTTCTGACTTAAAGTCCAGGGGTGGGGACTTATTACAGTACCCCAGGGGTTAAAAACACTACACTATACATACTTCTGACTTAAAGTCCAGGAGTGGGGAGTTATTACAGTACCCCAGGGGTTAAAAATAATACACTATACATACTTCTGACTTAAAGTCCAGGGGTGGGACTTTTTACAGTACCCCAGGGGTTAAAAACACTACACTATACATACTTCTGACTTAAAGTCCAGGGTCGGGGACTTATTACAGTACCCCAGGGGGCCAACATATAACCACTGACTTAAAGTCAGGGTAGGCTTATTACAGTACCCCAGGGGTTAAAAACACTACACTATACATACTTCTACCCCAGGGGTTAAAAACACTACACTTAAAGTCCAGGGGTGGGACTTTTTACAGTACCCCAGGGGTTAAACACACTACACTATACATACTTCTGACTTAAAGTCCAGGGGTGGGGACTTATTACAGTACCCCAGGGGTTAAAAACACTGCACTATACATACTTCTGACTTAAAGTCCAGGGGTAGGGACTTATTACAGTACCCCAGGGGTTAAAAACACTACACTATACATACTTCTGACTTAAAGTCCAGGGGTGGGTTTATAAAAATAGGACAATAAAATAACAGTGGGTGGTTATTGACTGAACATTACATAGGTATTGTTGGGCCTGATAAAAGGCATGGGCTTTTTGTCTGATAAGTACTGTAATACAAAAGCTTGGGCAGTGTGTGGCAAGTTGCATTGTGATGTGTTGCATTGTGCATGCTGAAATACTTGTAAACAGACATTGATGGGGTTACCGTGGATACACATGATTTGTCTGGGAGGAGAGTGATGAAATATTTATAGCAAGGCAATAAATTCTCAATTGATATATTAAAAATGGAAAGATAAGATTTTAAAAAATGTGCTTTGAGCAGTATAACATTGCTGCATGATGCTAGATAAAAGCTCATTGACAGAGATAATGTTGCTTTTAACTGCCGTTAATTGCTTTTTCCAATTTTTAGTGGTTTCACACTTTGTTTAAATTGATATATTATCTTTTCATATTCTTTAATTCTTCAATAATTTTGAACTTCTTCCATCTGCTATGATTACCATAAATATAGTAAGGAAATTATAGCTATATGATTGACACTTTCTTTTTAATTACTCTGATTTATAACTTAATTAGTCAATGGTTAATTTCTGTTAAATATGTGCCTTGAGACATTTAGGAATAAAGTGTGATTTCAATAAATAAAAGATATGATAATAAGAAGATGAAGATTTTAGAAATCTAAATTTTTTATTTCTAAATCTGAATGTCTTGTAAATATGTCAAGTCTCTGGGTTGTCCGGGTCCAAATTACATGTAGTTTGATGGTACGTGGTATTACTCCATATGTCTGTCTGTTCATGATAAAGATGTCTGTCTGCTCATGATAAAGAATGATGGTGTTTATATAGATATTGACTTTGCCACAAATAACTATTGTTGTATGATGTTGCATGTTTGTATATCATGTTCATTAAAACTTATCTACCTGAAATATATTTCAGAAATGATGAGATAATTAATCCAGTACAGGTAACTCTCTGTCCTTAGAACCCTCTCTGTTGTGACAAATCACAGTCATCCAGTTGGATCATAAATGTTATATCATGCTACTGTGTTTCTTCTGCAATGAGCCCAGAGGGTGGCGATTGGGGGTGGGGTTGGTTGTTATTATATCCATCATATCTCAAAGTTAAAGTTAGAGAAGTGGACAGGTTTCTCATGGGACAAAAAACAATGTTTGATAATTATACTGAAAAAAGTGTTAACACGTAGATTTGTATGGACCTATCCCCAGACATTTGGTGCCTTATAACTATATGATTATTAAACTTAATTAAATGTTTTAAATGTAAATTAAATGTAAATAAGAATTCTGATTTTAAATTGTTTGGGGTCATAAATGATATTGCATTTTATCTTTATCTTTAATTAAATTTCTTAAGAATGTTAAAATGTGGGTGAAGAAACTGCCAAGGAACAAAAATATCATAAAATGAAAATCCGTTTAAAAAAAAAAAAAAAAAAAGGTGAAAAATTAAGTAATTAAATATTGTGGAGAATTAAATTCATTGCAAAAAGTAAGTTGTATATATCCTGCAGTTAGTTTAAGTGGCAAACATACAAATTCTGGATCAAAGGGATGGGCTTATCAGTGGATATCATAAAAATATATGTATGATTGTCAAGGAACAACAAATAGGTGTGAACTTATGAACAGGTGTAGGTAGTATGTGATATTACAGACAATAGATATGGGTGGGCTTATGAACAGGTGTAGGCAGGATGTGATATTACAGACAATAGATATGGGTGGGCTTATGAACAGGTGTGGGCAGTATGTGATATTACAGACAATAGATATGGGTGGGCTTATGAACAGGTGTGGGCAGTATGTGATATTACAGACAATAGATATGGGTGGGCTTATGAACAGGTGTAGACAGTATGTGACATTACAGACAATGTATATGGGTGGGCAGTATGTGATATTACGGACAATAGATATGGGTGGGTTTATGAACTGGTGTGGGCAGTATTTGATATTACAGACAATAGATATAGGTGGGCTTATGAACAGGTGTGGGCAGTATGTGATATTACAGACAATAGATATGGGTGGGCTTATGAACAGGTGTGGGCAGTATGTGATATTACAGACAATATATATGGGTGGGCAGTATGTGATATTACATAGCAACAATAGATAAGAGTAGGCTTATATCCAAATAGCTAGTGGGGGTGGAGGTGTTGTGTTAACATTGAAAATATCCCATTGCTAGGTATGATAGAAATGATGGAATCCTCTGGCTGGCTATGATACAAAGTAAGAGCATCACAATACCCTGCAGCTTGTAGATCGCTATACTTATACATTCTGGTCACATGACCTTGGTCATCCAATCACATTGCTGTATACTTTATATATATTTACATATACATTTTTGTTGGTTGGGAAATCTAAACTTGATTTTTTTCTGTGTCAACTTTTCACAAATGAAATGTGTCCTACAAAGTATGAGTTCAAACAGTCAATTTTTGTGAAATTTGCTTTTAATATATTATTATTGGTTTTTTTTTTTGTTTTTGGAAGAAACAAAGACAATGATATCTATTTTCTCACATTAAGGAAGACAATGCATTTACAATAATCAATAGAATTATATAAAGAAATTAAAAATGTGATATGTCAGATGTGAACAGTAATTCATTTATAGTTGAAACATAATTTCTTATGTATACCCTTTCATTAGGATTTTGGTCACAACCACAAGTAGTTTACAAATATAGAGTTACCTCCCCCTTTCCTCCGTCAGAGTTATGACTTTGACATAGTTATCTCCCTTCTTCAGCTTTCTAAATTTCTTCTCGTCGTAATTTAGAATATCAGATAAAACTGATCTGGTTTGATAAATGATTCAAAAAGATTAAATTTTTATTGTAAAATGCAGCTCTTGAGACAAAAATGAAAATGAGATTTTATGATTAAAGAAACTTTGTACGTGTACATATGGCAAATTATATGAAAACGTTATTATTCATGTAGTGCATACTGTGGCTAGAAAAACTTCACAATTTGTAGATATCTGTTAAAATTATTAAAGTTTATCTTTATAAACATGCCATCTATTGTTTTCTCATAATAAAGAATTCAGCAACACAGATAAAATCTTTACACTCTTCCAAGCTCGGGAGAGGGTTGCATGCATTGACAGTCCGTAGTATGCTTTGCAGATAAGACTGGTAGTACAATTAGTTTTATTTAATAAACATTTATGTTGATATCATTATGAGTGTATTAACAGCATTAATATTCTAACAGAAATGAAAACAATTTTATAGAGATTCTGTTATGAATTCACAACTTCTTTTTAATTTTTGTTATTTATGAGATTTTAATTGTCTGGGCACTGGAAAAAGAAAAACACCCTTTACTCCACCATCTCTTCTCATATATAACAGATATCAAGGATTGTAGTCCATATTCAGGTTTGTATGGGGAAAGGTTCATATCCTGAACATTTAAAATGTATCCTGTTGATTATACCACGTAAGGAGATGTATACCAGAATGATTTCTCAGTGCTCCAGATCTTGTCCAAATCCAATGCAGTTGAGCATCTTTGTATTATTTTCTTCATTCCAAATTTTGTGCACAGATATATGTCCCTTTGTTGACAAAAAACTTCTACCATTGTTTTGACATTAACTCATAAACTTGAGGGCTAATAAATTCAATGAAGTTGTCATGAATATCAAAACTGTTATACAAATGTACTTGAGTTGGTAGATTTCTGATGTCTTAGTGTTGTCATTGGTTACTAGAACTTGGACTTTGATTGGTCAGAAGGATTTGACCAGAAAATCTATAAAATTTTACCAGTTTCCTTAATTTATAAATTGTCATTGTAACTATAAACATATAGGAATCACTTAGGTCTAATTGAACATTTGATTTGAGGGGTATAGAGAGTTGTGCATATATGTCTTCCTTTAAAATAAGATAACCTCCATTTTCAAATGGATATGTACCTTTCATTGGTTGTTTGGGATCTGACAGGGGAATTGGTAATTCTTGGAATTTCTACTTTTTCTCATCAATTTTTTAAAAATTTTGGTTCAACAAACAATTTTTAAGCAAATGATTTATCAACATGATGAAAGTCTACAATTTTTCACTTTTAATGAGTAAAAAGATGAAAGGTTGTATTTACAGTTATAACTTTACTTTTGTGAGTATTTTTGGTGGTCAACAAGGCTGTGTTTTAATTCTGATTTCTTTTTGGTAAAACCAAAGTGCCCAGACTTATGAAATTTCATTGTACATAATTTCTGCGACATTATTTCTGAAAATAATTCCAGCATCGAAGGCTTCATTCTTTAAATATCAACTGATTTCATGGTAAATAAAATGGCTTTTTTCAATTGCAGGTTTTGACATTACTGCATAATGATTAATGCTTTTTAACACAAACTCTTTTTTTTTTCAGGATTGTTTTTATTCAATCTTATTACGTTTAAAAAATATTGTAATTAAAATATTATCAAAGTAATTTCATTATAAAATTATTTTTTATCTAAACTAGTTTCAAATTATGTTGTTTTTCCAATTAATTGAAAGTTAATTGTAGATAAATATGTTATTATTACATGTATCAAGTTTGTAATTTTATTGATAGCGTCATTCATATTGTTCATATCTGCTTTAAATGTAACAAATTTGAAACATTTTAAAAACTTTAAAAATTTTATTTTAACTTAACGAAAAATTTACAAGCATTATGAAAAAATTTATATATGTGCATTTGGTTTATCATGGTGATATAAAGTTATGTTCTATTGAATATAAAGCTGGCAATGATATTAAGATTTTTCTACCTTTCCTCCTTAAAGCCACCTAACGTAATATTTGATTGGTTACCTATTTCAGGGAGCAGGAATAGCAAGCCAGGGTAGCGAGACTGTCATCTCTACTCCGCCCCACTCCTCAGAAGCCCCCGGAATTAACAGCCGTGCATAATACAGACGGACAGACTGACCAACGTATTGTTCTGACCTTTGGCCAGTTATCCCATGACTGACCAGAAATTCCTCCTAATGAATTCAATGTTTGACAGACCTCATTAACATAATTTATTCCCGTTACCCTAATAACTATATTTATGTTGACATTAACTCGTTGGTAATGTGATTAATCCATTCCTTTCTAACAGTTTCCTTCGTTACCTGACATGCATCCCGTTCCACTTTAATAATTTTGTGCGTTGCTGTGGAAACCCACCTTTTTTTTTTCCTGTTTGTTGACGGCTTGATTAATTACCCTGGTTTCAATTCCTGAACCATGAAAATCTTACTTGTGTGGCACCTATTCCTGATAACATAACTCATGATTAACCATTTGAATGTCATATGAAAGTGTTTGATAAACTTTTCATTGAAAGATAATTTGATGAAAATCAAAGTTACTGAAATGATCTACCCCATCCTCAACCCCCTTCCATGGCTGCTAGCCTGTCAGTTTGCTTTGCTGTGAACATTGTGTGTGATAAGAGGCAATTTTTTGTTTCCATAGTGACCGGATGATGTTGTGATCACTTGATTGTCTTCATGCTGTGAAGTCATCATAACCATGGCAACTTACAAAGGGGGACAACTCCAGCTGCTACCACACGACAATATTCCATTGTATTTCTTTTATGTCTAAGTCATATTTCTCTAGTTCAGGAAATTATTATATTAATTCTCAGCTTCAAGATCCTATTAGTGACAGAAAGTAAATACTTTTCTTTTAAGCGTGAAGGCTGTTGATCAGCTTTATGTTCTTCAGTTGAAATGAAGCAAAGAAAGTGATGCTTATCCCTTGGGCCATCAAAATGGCAGAATTAAATTTTAAAAAGCAATAACGAATGAAATCGAGATGGTATCAATAAACTGCAAAGTTGAAACATCAAAAACTATTTCTTGAGAGTTCTACAAGACTCAGAAAATAGACTGTATGTGACATGAAACTTTTAATAGAATATTGGTCAAGAGGTGTAAAGATATTTCCTGAAGTGGAGAATGAATTTCTAACCCATGTTTGTATTTATACTAATAAATTTTAACCCTAACCATATTCCTGCATACATTCCTGAAGTAGTGTTAGCTCATTAGGGTTGGACTAGCATCCTAGGAGCAGTATCTCGCCGCGTGTTAATTTTCAAGCTTATGATCTATATTGTCATACTGCGATGAAAAATTCCTATTTAATTGTGTACATATATAATCAATGTAATTTAATTTGTTTGATATATTTACCATGTCTACTGAAATTGTGAAAAGCAATTTGATTAGATATATATATAAAATGTTTATTTTTTAAAAGGCAGTGTTTATTTGATGTGAAAGTTATATAAACCTCAAGTAAATTCAAGTGAAAATGTTTATGTTAAAGGCAATTTGACTATACTTATAGATATATATCTTAAATTGATCCAGTTGCTTTACACAAAACTTTGAATCAAATTCATCATGTATCTTGACCTTTGCAATATATGTTTATATAAGATAATGTTTGTGATATTGTAATAAATTGATGTCAATCATTATTGCATGTTTTTTCCTGAAAAGTGAAAGGAGACTTTATTAATATAGTGTTACCGTCATTCTGCTTAATAACCTGAAATGGAAAAAAATGACAAAATTTTCAAATTATGTACTGAAGGGTGTTTTTCTCAGTATCAACATCTTAGTCTCAAAAGTGTTTGTTTACAGCATGTTCTCAGTATCAACATCTTGGTCTCAAAAGTGTTTGTTTACAGTATGTTCTCAGTATCAAAATCTTAGTCTCAGTGGAATTATATTTGGTAAGTATCTTTATTGCAAGGCCATCAGGGTCATGTTTGGAATTGTTTTTTTTAAATGATTCTAGAGAAGTTGGGAGGAAAATGAAGTTGAAAGACTAAGTTTGAAAAAATGTTAAGAATTTTGAGTGCATTTCTGATGGGAAAGAGAAAGGATTTTCTATAAGTAGTAAGTGTAAAATGTCAAGTCTTCCCATCACAAGACAATAGTATTGTTTTAATGCCATTGATTCTAGCTGTTAGAAATATGAAATTGCTTCTCCAGAGTTTTGAAGTAATTTCTGCCTTGAAAGAAAAACATATGGTTGGACAGTTTGCTCTTTTCATGTGTAATTGTAACTTGAAAAGAAATTACCCATTTTTAAGAACCTGTTATGTATTTTACAAGGGAAGAAAAAGCAGGCCACACTTCCATAGGGTGAAGGCAGCCTACAACCCGCAGCCTCCAACTCATACCCTCAGGGTATGGGCTACCTTTAAATCCTGAGGGTATGGAGGCAGCCTCCACATCACATCCTTGGAATGGAAGATTTCACATTACAAGGGTATGGAGGCAGCCGCCACATCACATTGCTTAATCAGGAGTTTGCAGGCTATATTTTGGGTATGGGGGCAATCTTTACCCCTCTAAAATCAAGCATAGACTCTGCATCGCTAAGGTAGGGTCAGCTATATTTTCGGAGCAGGATAGCCTCACATCTCCATGGTAGATGAAACTTATCAACAGCATTCCCAGGCTAGAAGCAACATTTGAAATAGCTGTCAAAATAACGGTGTGTAAGCCTTTGTAAAATCTCTGATGCATTGTGGGAAGTGTCTTACATCAGCCACACTGTGAAGATGTATCAATGGACAAAGATGTTCACTATTTAACAAACTTGCATCATCCACACCCACTGAAAGTATTCTTTTTGAGGGCGATCCAAAAGGAATATTTATCCACAACTAAAATCAGACCCCTTATCAAATCTTAACTTAGAGGCTAGCTGCTACATGTTTACTTGTTCTGTCAGCTTCATTGCATACTTTAGCAACTTTCAGCTTGAAAAACAGGCTCCTGAAAGAGTCTTATCCTAAATCATTGTGAAAAAAAGTTATCTGAAAGTTATTTCACCTGCTTCAACGAGAAATATGAAGCTTTGGGAAAATGTATCCAGAAAGATATTTTTCAACCATATATATTTAATTCATGTGGCATTTAGTAATAGCTACAGTTTGTGGCCTTTGGGCCTTGTGATATGTAAATACATAGATTTATAGGAAAACAATGTTAGAATTGTTAGTGTTTTATAAGTAACCCAGAGTGTCTTAATATTTCATATGTAGTCATCTGTCTCAATGTGTGATAAGTGGACATTTTTCTTTTAATAACAAGTAGTTACATTCTCATGTAAATATGAAATCATGTACTGACATTTTGATATTTGCTTGTTTTGATTGGCAGGTTGTTGATTAATTTGTCATTTGATTGGCTCTTGAACCAACCCGTTACTTTTGGATGACAATTAGACAATCATGAATGTCTATTGATATGAAGCAAGTCCCATTGATGTTATTTATTCTCATAATACAATGGACTGTAACATAGAATGTTTGTTGAATTCCCTAGAATAGATGAATTCTGTCCATTATCTGGGAGATTTTACAATTATTATAGCAATATAGCTATACTGAGATAATCAACATTCCTCCAACTACAAAGAATTGTAAATAGAATTTTGCATTTTAAAATTTTATCTTGTATAATAATTCCGTCCATTTTATCTAGAAATTTTGAATTTATTCCAAGGGAGATAATTATGCTTACACCAACTTGTTTTTGTTCTAAAACCTTTTCTTCTTTTTTTTCTGAAATCTCTGAAAACCCATAAAAAGTTAATAAATGAGCTGGGATTTTAGGAGAAAATAAACATTCTTCACCTTGTTACAAAAAAGTTCGGAACTTCAGTTAATTCTCTACTGTCTGGTTACTTAGGAGGAGAAATGTATCCACTGGAAAGTATTGCGAGTTCAAATTAATTATTGAATGAAGCCTTGCAGCTTTCATGAAAAACATGTAAAAACATTGGACATTTACATAATAAGTCTATATCTATTCCTGTATTCTGATAAAACCATGCAAAATAAAGTTGCAAAGTAATTTTGCTATCTGTTAAAAAGCAGTCTTAGTTAGTCTGACAGAGATGAATTATCGCATTGGTAGATCCCCTATTTAGCTACATAGGACAAAAACTTTTTAACTTAAAAGAGTATAGTAGATCATTTTTATGACATTTTAATATCATTTCAATTGATTTACATATATAAATATTAATTCTTTTGAAACAAGACCATATTTTTCATTATATATGCATTAACTTTAAATATCTATAATGTATTGCAGATATTTGATCTCTAAGTTACTTGAGGAAGCATAACCATGCTTTTATGAATTTAGATATAAAGAGATAACACACATATATGAGATAAATAGATTTGAAATTATTGTACTAGGATTTTTGTCAAGGATGAAATTTGTACTAAAGGAAATAAAATCTGCACAAAATTATGTACAAATTATTTTTACTTTGTAAGAAGCATTTTATTAAATTTCAAGGTCATTTCCTGGAATTGATATTTTTTTAAACAAAAGAATTTTTTCAGATTCTGTTTGGTCATTTACATAACTATGGTTTTTCAAAATAAGATCTTAGGGTTTGAACTTTTTGTTTGTAACAGTTTTGTGATGTTCTTTGTTTTTGTAATGTATAATAGTAATTGATTTCAGGAATGTAGTTAGATATAGCCATTCAAATATATATATATATGACATTTATACACATTGTATGGTTCTGTTCTGAAATTCTGGAAATGAATAAATGAGGCGAGATATTTTCTGGTTTGTTTTTTCTATCAATATTTGTACATTTGATAAAGCATTTTAAATCTGGATAATCCAGAAATGTTTTTGAAGAGTTATATAAGTATTCATAAAGTTACATATTATATTTAAATTTGCATTGACAATACTCTGTCACCGTCATCAAATCACAAGAATACAATACCACAGGATATAAAATATTGATAAGGATGGCAATCAGTTTTCGATCAGTCATTCAGGCTGTACTTTCATATGATATATATATATAAATTATGTAAATATATATGTATAGCATTCCAAATTTCTTTAGAAATTTCATGTTGGTCATTTGATTGTTTTTGGAGATTTTTTTAAGTCTTTAGGCAGAAAACTAAATTACACAATTTTGAATTAAAATTCTTATGGCCAAACATGATTAAAATCAGTCAGTTAGCCTGAAATTGATATTGAAAATGCAACAGTGTTTATGAAGTACAGAACATGACAATACATCATTCTGACCCTTTAGCTGACCTACTAAAGAACACAGTTGATCATTCTGACCCTTCAACTGACCCTCTAAAGAACACTACATCATTCTGACCCTTTAGTTGATCATTCTGACCCTCTAAAGAACACTACATCATTCTGACCCTTCAGCTGACCTACTAAAGAACAAAGTATTCTGACACTTCAGCTGACCTACTAAAGAACACAGTAGATCATTCTGACCCTTCAGCTGACATACTAAAGAACACAGTAGATCATTCTGACCCTTCAGCTGACCCTCTAAAGAACACTACATCATTCTGACCCTTTAGTTGATCATTCTGACCCTCTAAAGAACACTACATCATTCTGACCCTTCAGCTGACCTACTAAAGAACACAGTAGATCATTCTGACCCTCTAAAGAACACATCACTCTGACCCTTCAGCTGACCTACTAAAGAACAAAGTAGATCATTCTGACCCTTCAGCTGACCTACTAAAGAACAAAGTAGATCATTCTGACCCTTCAGCTGACCTACTAAAGAACACAGTAGATCATTCTGACCCTTCAGCTGACCTACTAAAGAACACAGTATTCTGAACCTTCAGCTGACCTACTAAAGAACAAAGTAGATCATTCTGACCCTTCAGCTGACCTACTAAAGAACAAAGTAGATCATTCTGACCCTTCAGCTGATCTACTAAAGAACACAGTAGATGGTAATTTTATGACAGTGTCTTTCGTCCTTAAATCGTTGCATTAAAATGTTTTTTTATGTTGTGTATAGTTATTATTTGGAAGTGCTAATTTTCCAATAAGTGATAATATGCTGAAGTTTGTTAGCACCAAATAAAGTATACAGTAAATTTAAAGAACAACAAAGGTAGAATTTGTCACTACTGATCTGTTTTATTATCTTGCACACACAGAGTAACTCTGTATTATATTGTTCACGCATGAAAACTGTAGAAAATTGTACAACCATTCTAAATGCAACCAAAATGCTTCACCATCAAATTTATATCAAAGTTCTTTTAAATTACTTTTCTTCTGAGATATTAACATGCCAGAGAAAGAATTTAATAAGATTTCAACCTTTGGCACATTGTGGTTTTCTCCTCACTGTAGAACTGGGGAACATACAGCACCGCCAGGTCAGTGTTAGCACACAGGGGGAAATTAACGGCAACAAAAAATACATATTAAATAGACAAATGTGGGGAATGACTGTTTGAAGTGACGAATGATCTACACTCGCCCCACAAAAATGTTCTTAGATTGCAAAGCTGCCTAGTCTGCATCCAATGATTGTATTAGATAATTCCATGACTATGTCAAGTGTCATCAGTTCATCTTCTTTTCCAAGTCTGTACGGATGGCCTCCAGGAAGTCCATTGTGTTAAGGTAGTGTTCTGGCTTCACACTAAAACAAAGGGACAGAAATTTAGTCATTTAATCAATCCTAACAAGGGCACACAACTCTAGTCTCCAAAGCCTTACAAGGGCACACAACTCTAGTCCCCTAAGCCTGACAAGGGCACACAGCTCTAGTCTCTTAAGCCTAACAAGGGCACACAACTCTAGTCTCCAAAGCCTTACAAGGGCACACAACTCTAGTCCCCTAAGCCTGACAAGGGCACACAACTCTAGTCTCTTAAGCCTAACAAGGGCACACAACTCTAGTCTCCTAAGCCTTACAAGGGCACACAACTCTAGTCCCCTAAGCCTGACAAGGGCACACAACTCTAGTCTCCTAAGCCTGACAAGGGCACACAACTCTAGTCTCCTAAGCCTGACAAGGGCACACAAGTCTTGTTGTACGGTACAAAGGGACAAAGCTCTAGTTTTCTAAGTAGGACAAGAGCAAACACCTTGAGTTGTGCAGTAGGAAGGGACATAAATCTATTCCCCTTAACCTGACAAGGGCGCATCTCATATTGCACAGTGCAAAGGGAAGTAACTCTACTCGTCTTAGCCTGACAAGGGCACTCAACACTTATCTTTGCGTGCTGTGCTAATATTGCCCTATCAACAAAACCAGGATTGACTTTTTAAGGTATAGCCTCCTGCAGTCCATAAATACTGAATTATCTTACAAAGTGTACCCTCTTTGAGCCCGGAAATGTCAAATTACATTACACATAAAGGTCACAGGAAGGCATTTTATTCAGTCAATTATGTATATCCAATATTCCATGTAAAATACCTTCCCTCCTGCCCCGAGATGGTGAAGCTACTTGCTACATCTCTAAACCAACAAACTCTCACTTAATGTTAACTCACTTTTTGATTCCATATATACAGCCAGCAAGATCTTTTGTCATACTTCCAGAGTCAACAGTGTCTACACAGGCCTTCTCCAGGGTGGTGGCAAATCTGCAATACAAAGTACAATTTTTGGAATAAACAACACAACACAGGACTTGTATGCACACTTTTATACATTTAACATATTGGCAAACAGGTATGAGCCAAATATAATGGTGATTGCAAACCAGATAATGTTTTGACATTCTTCAGGCCTTTGTGGATATCATAACTCCAGCCTTACAGTCACAGAAAGTGACCCATGGCTTGGTTGGCATTCAAATGGAAATGGTGAAAACAAATCATACTTCAAAGATTGTCACATACAAAAATTTACACTTTTACAACATTTCATAAAATATTACTTTCATGCATTATTCCTCAATAAAGAGTTTACAAAAGTTGAATTTTCATATTTTTCTTTTTCATCTAATAAGAAGTTAAAACCAGCTGCAGAAATACCCAATACTGGCATCCCAAGTTAACAATGCTGAATCAAAACCAACCTGACAAGCTCTGGGTTTCCATCAAGCTTTCCACGGTGTTCAAGACCACGAGTCCAGGCATAGATGCTGGCTACAGGATTTGTACTAGTGGGGTTACCCTACAATAAAACAATCCGTCAACCATATCAGAACCAAAAAGCCAACCAATATATGTTATTGGTCAGTTGTTTATTATTTCAAATTGTCCAATTGTCACGTTGATCAATTTCTCATGTTTTAAATCAAACCACACAAATCTTCTGAAACTTTTCAATTGGTTTCTTCAAATCACCAAATACAGAAGAGCTGAGAGTCTTACTCTTTCTAAAATGACTTGAAAAGAAGCAACATTTTTTTAACCACGCTTTCATCTTAAAAATTTTTTATCTATGTTCGAAATGTCAGTCATTAAAGCAACATTGAAAAAACATAATGGAAAGTACTTGTACTACAGGAAACAAAATATGCACAAAATTTTGTATGAATCGTTTTTTATTTTCTCCCCATTTTTGCCCCTCCTCTTGAGACCTTTCTACCAGGATGTTCAAGGGAGATAACCCAGATACAAACTGAGAATTCCTACCTTCTGGTGTTCTCTGTAATGGCGGGTGACAGTTCCATGGGCAGCCTCAGATTCAATGGTTTTACCATCAGGACACACCAATACACTAGTCATCAGTCCAAGGGAACCGTAACCTAAGGATGAGAATCACACCCATATAATTCCAGATTTATGTATTGTCGGTATTCAAAGTCTGTATAATTACTGATTTTACAAGACACTAGTGTACCAGTACGACACCTCAACCAGAACAAGACAATGGTGTACCTGTCTAACATACCTGAACAAGAACAAGACAATGGTGTATGTGTCTAACATACCTGAACAAGAACAAGACAATGGTGTATGTGTCTAACATACCTGAACAAGAACAAGACAATGGTGTATGTGTCTAACATACCTGAACAAGAACAAGACAATGGTGTATGTGTCTAACATACCTGAACCAGAACCAGCCCTGTATTACACCCTTGAATCCTTGATGAAATGACATAGTGCATGCTTGGTAGTAAGGACACATTTTTGTCATGTAAGACAAGCTACACTCTGCTCTATATACTTACCTTAAGATTTAACCAAGCAATAAGAAAAAATTGTGGAGATGGAAAAATTAGTCAACCAGCCAACTTACCTTGGGCAACAATATCTGACTGCACATCTCCGTCGTAGTTTTTGCATGCCCAAACAAAGCCACCGCTGGACTTGAGAGCCTGAGCCACCATATCATCAATTAATCTGTGTTCGTACCAGATTCCCAACTTGTCAAACTCTGCCTTGTAGTCACTGTAAAAATATATCATCATTTGGATCTAATCAGAACAACTCTGAGTATTAATGATATTCTGTGAAACTAAGAGATTAAATTAAATAAATCTGTGGTATATGAAATTACATAAATTTCAGCATTGGATTGATAAAGGGAGACAACTCAATTCAAGCACTATAAACATATTTTTGTCTTTTTAACTACACATACAATTCTCATTTTACATCCTGTTTGAATATAATGTCCTGTCAGGGAGAATAAATATGAATACAAGTAGAAAACTTACCTCTGGAAAATGCTCTCAAAGATGTCCTTGAAGCGTCCATCATAACGTTTGAGAATGGTGTTTTTGGTGGACATGTACAGTGGCCATTTTTTATTGATGGCATACTGAAAGCTTGAATGGGCAAAGCCAGTGATGGACTCGTCTGTGTTGTACATGCCCATCATACAACCACCCCCTTTTGTGAAGGTAAACACCTCTGTTCTTTCTTCTTTTCCACCTTCTGGAGTGAACACAATTTCGCATTTGCCGTTTCCCTTGATGACCATATCTGTAGCTTTGTACTGGTCTCCGAAAGCATGACGTCCAATGACGATGGGTTGTGTCCAGCCAGGCACTAGACGTGGGATCTTCTCGCAGAGAATAGGTTCACGGAACACAGTGCCATTGAGAATGTTCCTGATTGTTCCATTGGGCGACAACCACATCTTCTTTAGCTTAAATTCTGTAATACAAAAATGTAGATATTAATACAGTGGTGACATTGAGGTCACACAGTTCAACAAAAAGTAACCATGACAACAAATTCTTTATCTATTATTCCAATTACCATGGATAATGAGTTCATGCTGTAACCCAACTTTCCTGTGCGATTTACTTATTGAAATTTTTTTTTTGAAATCAAAACAAAATTTGTAAAGTCATTTACCACATAATGAGACAATGAATTTCAATCGTTTTTACTGGATAACACCAATGTTACTTTCAGCTGGTGAACAAAATGGTTTAAAGCTGGAAATGTGTGTTTGTTCACAGTTTATAAGTAGGGTAACAGGTGTTCGGGTGGCCTAGTGGTAATGCACTCTCCTTTCACCTAGCCGTCCGGGGTTCGACTCCTTGAACAGACGTGAAAAGGTAAGGGTAACATGCCCGACCATGTGGGTTTTCCACAGGTACTCTTGTTTCCTCCCACAATAAGACCCCTCACGTGCTTACATCCCGGCCAACAAGAGATTAGTACAAGTTAAAATAACTTGTTTTGCAACTGTTGTAAATCAATAAAGTTTATAGTATATATTAACAGTATTCCATCCTTGTGGAATTACAGGTAGTCAGGGTGTTACAGGAGGGTGACTACTGTAGTCAATATTGTTAAAGTTAGATAGAAAAATGGAATATACTCAGGTGCACAAACAGGTGTGATGAATTAAGTCTTGGATCATCCCCCTCCCTTTCCATGCAGTCAAATACTTTTCAATGTAACTTGGGAAATTTGTATATATATATATATCTACCTATTTTCTTCTCATAGGAATATTGACTTTTGTTTTGTCATATTGATGTAAAATCTGCAATGAACATGTTTATCCCCTTGATCTGTATTGACTGAGGACCATATGGAAAGGAAAATCTGCAAAATCAATATATCACCTTCAACACAGCTATTCCTACCTTACATTACCAGCAGCCTGTTACCTACATATGCTGCTGGAAAACAATTATATTTTTGTAAAAATTGTAATGATGTTTAAGAATTCTTAATTTTGGAAAAATAACTCTTTTGCAAGGGATGAAGAGCCTGGTTTTGGCTGGAGTCCTTGACAAAAGGTCACTGTAAAATTGCACAAAAAAATTGAATTGAAAGCCACATCCAGGGCTTTTTCCCCAGCAGATTTGTGGCTGATTATGTGCCCCTTATCCCAATGCCAAAACTATCATTTTCCCAATCCAACTGTGACAGAGGTCATTATTATTTCACTGTCTCTGCTAAGATTTGAACCCAAAACCTCTGGCTTACTAATCTGATGCTCTACCTAAAGCTAAAGAGAAGTTCCCTCTAGCGCAGCAGCTTATTGTGGCTAGTATTTTACCAGGGTTACACAAACATTACGATTCCTAAAAATAATAACCATTCATCTCACGAACAAATCTGGACAACGCTAACATGTCATTTTGGTCCTAGGTTCAGATGATTTTTTTACTTGATTCAGCAAAACTGAATGATTCAATTTAATTTTCTTTGTCTTTTTTATTTTTTTTTCTCCAATTTGAGAATGTCTCACTATTTCCTCTCAAATTTAAGGCCATGTGCCTAATTCGGGAAAAAAAAAACAAAAAAAAGCTCTTTAGTCTGAAAACTTTGAAATTAGAGAGCCAGATTAGAGAGGATCAAGGTGAAAAGGTGTCAGATTAGGGAGGGTTCAAGTCCACGGTTAAACGGTGTCTCACTAAAAGAACACAGTTACACGAATTGGAGGGATGCTGAAAGAGATTATTTTACCTTCTACTCGTTCCTCATCAGGGGTGATGGTGGCACATTTCACACCTACGTTGTACTTCTGTATGGCAAGAGCCGAGTCAATAGTGACCTGGTCATCTGTTTGGTCTCTGTATGGCAAACCAAGGTCGTAGTACTTCAGGTCAACATCCAGGTATGGGAGAATCAGCTGTAACAAATCAACCAATTACCACCTCCGGTCATATTGCTGGAGAAATTGTCATTGAATATAAAAAAATATACCCTATATTCATCTGGTCTACTTTGACCTCTTGTTGTTCAATAGAAGTGTTAACAAATGTTACTTCTCTGTCCTGTAATAAGCCCAACCAGATACAATGCTGTTCAGTAGAATTACTAACAAATGTTATTTCTATGTCCTTGAATAAGCCAATCCCTTCAAATTTAAGGTTGACTTGGTAATGTTGAGGCTTATCACAGGATGAATAACGTATGACATCAAATCTTTACTAATGAGTAAGCGGTATTATTTACCTGTATTTACCTTTACAAGGTATAACGGTTCAAAATCTTTTGAGGGCTAATAATGGGCCCAAATTCTAATCAAAATTATTTGATATTTAAACCAAATTCTCAAAATTTGTAATTTACTTCTGAAAATTTCCTCCCATTTCACTAATTTTCTTTCCAAAATGAAGCAAAAATGTCCCCATCCCACATCGATGAAAAAAGGACTGGATCGTGGTCTAAATGATAACATCAAGAGCTACTCTAAGACCTCCCAAGTCTCACCACAAACCTAATCTGACCCCTAACATTTTTGAGTCTAACCTAATTTATTTTTTGACAATTTTCAATAAAGAATTTGCAAATTAAACTTCTTTTTTTAACATATCTGATATCCTTGGTAAAAACTATTCAATCAAAAGATTGTCTGCATAATCAGACATGAATGTCCAGCTCCAGAATTAATGTAACCTTTGACCTTTAACCTTGACCAATGATCAACTCAAGAACTTTATACTATGATACTGCTGTTGGGAAATATTCACCAAATCTGTGAAACATATGCCATTCCACCGCTATACCCCTTCAATAATAGGGCAGGGGCAAAAGAAATCTGAAATTCCGTGGTCGACCGTCCCTACTTGTTCTTAGTGTTAGTGAAATTACATATAATATCATTAATGTATGCCTTAATGAAACAGGAAATGCTTATTGTCACTATCTTGGCCTATTCCATTCCTTTAAACAAATTTATAGGTGTCCCACTGGGTGCCATTTAAGGTAAAATTGGTATCATCTTTTTCATGGCAAAAGAAGAATATCGTAAGTAGCACAATCTATTTATTTGGATGTACATATGTATATTTGTATGTAAGACAGGGTATCAATTTTCTTTGTTACAAAACAAATGGGATTCATACTGTATTAAGTTTAAACTTCAACAGGATTTGATTTTGCCCCACTGATTATTCTTAGACTACAATATCATTTTTAGAAACAATGATAGAAGAAAGCTTTTCCATAGCAACGCTAAGATTTGCATTAAACTTTCTATGGTTTAAACTTCTGAAATTCACATTTGAGCTTTTTGAGTCTTTTGGGGGCCAACTCCAAATTAAAATTTCCTATTGAAGCCAAATTCCCAAAATTTTCTATTTATTGTTGAAAATTTCCTTTCCAATTCATCAATTTTCTTCCCAGATGAGGTTTGATACCCTATTCCAACCAAACCAGTGAAAAAGAAATCATGGACATATATACATACAACCAAGATATATACTACAGACAAAGGCAGAGTCCTATATAATTTTCCTTCAGTCTGTTTCCAGGCCTAGTTCAGTTGTAATATGACATTAAATGGGGGAAACCTGTAAGGTACCCCAGATAAATCCATAGATTTACAAAAACATGTGAACTTTGATCTTTCTTTATTCTCCAACAAAGCCACTTATCTCCTCTAATCTCCAGCAGATCCAATACACATTTAGGTACAGGAGGGGTTCATGTCCCTACATGTTTTAAATCATAACCACACCATGTTTAATTCTACAGAATAAAATTGAACTTTGGACTTAAATGACTTGTTCTTGTTAAAAAAATATGCTCACCATTTATTATTGATAGTTTAGACAATGAAGTGTATTGATACCAGTAGGTCAATACTAATAGGTGTCTATACTGATCATAAAACATATTCATGATTGTAACTCTTTTACAGACACAATACAGTAGTAGGTGACCTTCAATCAATATAAGACCATATGTGAGTACTTGTGCTGGCAATATCTCAACAACATGTCACTGAATCTGCAAGCCAGCAGATTTTAAACACAGGTAAAATACATTACTGAGATGAAATTCACAGTTCAATGGAAATTAGAACTTTCTTTTTAATAAAGATTTAAACAAATGTTTGAATTCAAAACTTTTTTGTCTTTAAGTTTTCTAAAAGTAGACAAGTTCAATTACAATCAATAAATTAAAAAATCAATCCATGAAATTCATCATGGCCTACTGGAATATCAGATGTGGTGGGGATGGGGGTTTGGAGAGCAGGGATAGGGAAAGAGTGAGTTAGGGAGTTTAACTAGATTTAAAGGCAAGGATAATTTAGAGGCAGAGTCTCTTTGTAGGAACTGGTGACTACCTCACTGAACAACATAGGGGAGGCTTGATACATGCCGTCCAGAGCAAATAAGGTTATAATGTCTTGAAAGATGACAGAACCACATTTGTACAGAAAAATTGGTTTCTCAGATTCCTGGGAAAAGCAAACCACTACAGGTTAGGGATTATCAAACCACCCAAGGTTACTTAGATCGGTGCTGTAACCAAGTAAACTATCACAGCTTCAAGGTTTGTAGGCAAACACTATCCCCACCCCTTACCCCTGTACATTACATACTGTCCAAAACCTGTATGCTAACTTGCCAAGCCATCTGACCACATCCAAAACTAATTATGTCAGTTACAACTGTAATCCACAATATGTTGTGTGCATTTCATCTAGATCGTACATTGTATATATGCTAATGTCACATCTTTCCTTGTAACATAGACCAGACTCAGATTGCTCAAGGCTATATACAGGTAAATATATGGAGCTTTGATGGATGGTTAGTATTCTGTATCACTCAATATAATACATATCACAAAATACAGCCCCATCAGAATACGAGTACAACACACTGCTGTCTTATAATGTACATTATTCATACATGAACATGTATTATAAAGTATACACACAAGTGTCTTCTAAACTGAAGCTGTCCTTCCTTGGCAATTCAATGGCAAAGTAATTCAGTTTCATGTTAGAAAAAATGATTTCCTGAAAATCTTGGTACAAATAATTCAGAAAAAAAAATCACAGCTGTTAAGTCTACATTGTAACCAAAATAAGTGAGAATCTTAATTGTTTTGTCAATTTTGTTGACATCAATGTAAAAACACCAAAAACTAGTCAGTTACCTGTCACTGCAAAATTTCCTTATTGAAAAACTTGGCCCTTAAAAAGCCAACTCATTAAATCAGTTTTAAAATTTGTTAGTAATGATAAAATGTACAAAGGATGGCTTTCAAACTAGGTGAGGGTAAATATATCAAACTGTAAGGAAAGGTTTTCATTACATTTTTACCAGTGAAATTATCAATTCCTTAAAAGGTTATATCATCACTAGTGACAACACTTCCTGTTGTAGTTCTGACAAAACCAAAGCAGTGCTTTCCAGTCACTGAATTGAAATTCATCAATTTTTGTTTGGATGCAAATGAAGCAAAGGTTGAACCATTTAATATTCTCTATTTAGTATGAATATGTATATAGAAATTGTCTGGTAGTAATAACATGCATTTCTAATAGAATCAAATTGTCCTTCCATATTACGGTAAAGACAGAATTAAAACTGACCGTGTCCTTAATCTTCTCCCATATAATCCTGGTCATCTCATCTCCGTCCAGTTCCACAACAGGATTGGCTACCTTGATCCTCTGGCCCTGAGCGCCATCTATAAATTAAACAAAATTAAATGCTTTGATGGTGATGTTTTCTCCAGCAACATGTTTAGTCTTTTGTCAAAATTAAACTGAAAATGCCCCTGCCAATCAGTAATGAAGATGAACACAGGGTTTTCCATAATTTTGTTAGTAGTAGGCTGTGTAGTGAAAGTAGGAGGCTGGCCTGCCGTGTACGTGTAGTCGTGTACAGAATATTATTACGGAACTGGATTGGTGTAGGCGGCCAAATGATCAAAGTAGCCGGTCAAATTGGCCGGCAACCGGCTCTTATGGAAAACCCTGTGAACATCTATTACTTTGAATTAATCATAAAAATAACAATTAGGTTTATTGGACAAAGTAATCATGACCTCACTATCAAATATCCAGAGACAGTACTCATATCAAGTATGTCATCCTGGTAAATACTAGCTGCAATATACCGCTTGGCTAGAGAAAACTTCTCCTTAACTTGATCAGCTGGGCATTAGACTTTGAAGCAAGGCGTTACAGGTTGGAATGCTAGCAGAGGAAATGATATAAATGATGACTTCTGTTACAAATAGAACAGAAAATTGGAACTCTATGTAAAGCCCACCCCTGACCGAGTCAGAATTTGCCTAAACTTAATGTACAACACATAATGCACAGTCTATACACTCTCCTCCTAATCAAAAATATGAAGAGATTTTTTTTGTTTTTACATGAAGCAATTAAAAAAAATGCAAGTAAATTTTAGATGGGAATCAAAACTGTTTCTCATTTCTTGGCTGGTATTGTGCAGATCAATACTATTAATAATTACTTAACCACATATTCTATCTAATGGATACATTTTATGTGTATTTTTTTTATTTTTCATCCACAATTTTCTCTGTGTTCTGACAAGTTACCTCCTTCTCCTCAGATTACTTCCTGATATTTTTCATAATCTGTATTTCTCTGCATTTTTTCATCTTATGACAAAAAATACCAAAGTAGCAGTCAAAATAATCCCATCTACTTTTCCCCCCATTTTCTTCAATATTTTTTCCCACATTTAAAAACAAAAAAATCTTCATATATTTAAAAAAATATTTTATCAATGGAGTCCTTTTCAAAATAATTGGGGTCAGTCCTATATATTTTGAATATATTTTGAATGGCATCTCAGAAAATAACTGGGCTTATAATTTTCAGTTGTGACAGGTTCAACACAAACTTTTACTTAAAAAATTCTTAATGAAACAATACTATTGAATTGATTGGTTGCTTGCAGGAAACAAGGTTTGTTTGTATACCATGAACACAAATAATCCTGCCCACAGAACTGTACCTAGTATCAAGATTGTTAAAAAAAATAAAACCGCTCTTATCAACAGTTTCCAATAAAACTGCTATAAATACAAATAAAAAAAATCAATTTTTTTTAAATATTAAAGATCTTAGTGTTGGTACTTCATGCTTTTCAGTTATTTATCATAGTTTTCCTGTAGTATATATGACAATTTGGTCAAAGCTAGATTGAAACTAAATGTTTCTGAAGGGCCTCAAATAAGATAAGATTTCACAAATGTTATGAATATTTAATAATTTCATCAAAATTATTAAATTTACTTATAAAACTTTAAACTTTCTTTCTCAATACATTAAAAAGAACCAAAAATACTGCACGTTAGTATTTGATGTCAGAATAATGACTTGTCAAAACTCATCTGAAAAAATGCCTATGTGACCATAATTGTGATGTGGATATTGCCATTTTCTTGCTTTTTATGTTAATTACTGAAATTAATTTTCAGTATACTATTTTTCTAAAATCGCTCACAATGTGATAAATCAACCTTTAGTGAATTTCACAACGAATTAAAGCATTGTTAGTTTGTCCCCAAACCAACTGTTAAAGTTTTAAAGTAAAATTTAAATTGTGCTGATATGACTAAGTATTTTACACAAAGATCCATGACAGAATTTAGTTTGTTATAATCATAAAGGAAGTGTCATCAATTTTATCTTCAATACTATCACTAAAAATCACATGCATATTGTGGGGCCAGAAAAAAACACAATGGGTCCTCAATTTATATCAATAAGTTTTAATGCATTTCAAATTGTTTTCTTAGACAATGTTTTAGTGTGATACAAGTTAAATCAAATTGTAAAAATAGTTGGAAAATTAGTTATAAATATATAATGTCAAATTGGAAAGTGGAGACTGTCCGTACTTTGAGCTATATCTAGAATAGAAACTAACATTTTCATTTTTGTAGTGTCTGTTTTTCAATACATACTCAACAAGTCGTTTTAGAATAAAAATAATACATTCAATAAAAATATTTTTTATTGAAACTGAAAGGCTATGCCAATAACTATTATTTCCTCCTACAAAATAACGAAATATGATTGACAATTCATCTCTGTGATAGAAACTAGTGAAAAATAAAATAAATATATGTATTCAGATGTTTTAAACCTATTAGAAGAGTGTGACAGTATTCTTTAAATTAGTTTTTATCAAATGAACTTGAAAACTCCTTGTCCGTAATTAGGGCACCTGTCAAGGTGTTACAGACATACCGGTCGATATTGATTAATTCCGCGCATATATGATGTTATCAAGACTGCAATACTTACATTGTCTCTTCTGAGAGACACTGACGGATGCAGGTGTCACAAGATTGTTCCATGCTCTACCTGCACGGCCGAGAGCACGTGTAACAGAGATTACTGGACTTGCCATTTTGCTCGCACTTGTTCCAGAGACCGGCAAATCTCACAGGAAGTGGAAAGGGAAGCATAAACTATTGTGAAGGGATAATCGGGAAAATATGTTCATTTAGTTATGAATTTAAATATTAGTGAGAGTTACATTAAATCAAGTGTGTACTATCAGTATATTATTATACATAATAATGAGTGAAATATGCGAAATTTTATGAATAACTTTGCAAATAAACAGCTAATAGTAGCTTTTGTTAAATCGCTTTACCTATGCTAGAATGGGCTAATCCACGGTTTCAAGTCACGTGAATTGAAGTAGATACTTGATTGGTTAACCACCAATTGCCTTCGCAGCAGCCATAAGACCGGCGAATTCTCGTACATGACTACAAAGTTCTTGAGTCAAATGTGGCTCTAAATTCTGTAAGTACGCGTTGCAAATCAGCGCAATGACCGATCCATTTTCTTGTGTACTGTGATGCAAAAATATTTTATTCGTTTTACTGTACTTTGTTCATAAATACAAAATTTACCCACGTCTGTGTAGATATGTTCGCAAATTGCAATTAGGGGTCATTTCGGCATTTGGTAATTTCAGTGACCTGTCAAGGTGACACATGTGTCCAGAGCAGACACGTGTTTCTGAGACCACAAGAACGCATACAATTGTGTATGCGATCTATCGGTCAATTCTGATACATTCACTTCCTTCAGCTTACAGACGTGTCTGCACGCACGTGCGATTGATGCTTTGCCAACATGAAGTTTTCAAAGATTTGTTTTCCATAAGCTTTATGTTGATAGCAATCAGTTATCGGATTTAACGATCATTTATTTCTTACATTAGATAAAAGTACTTTGCATCTGATTTTTTTCACATCCTCCAAAACAAAATAACTGGCAATGTTTTATGTGTCAAACTTTTCCTTAGCTGTCATAGTTAGTTTTGCCACATGTTGTTGTTACTGGTGATGTTATATGCCTATATTACATCATAAGGTCAAGAAATCTTGTAGGTATGCTTCAATAAGGCATTTCCTTGAGTTAAATATATATATATATATATAATAGGAAGGAGTAATGAAAAAACCCCTGCAACTGTGAGGAATTTAACTAGCGACATTTTGGTCTCCAGCCAGACACTCCACTGCTCAACTAACGCAGTAACGGGATATTCCACTAGCCAAGGCTATTAAGGTGACCTGTATTCTCAAATTCTGCATATAGTAAAAGGAACACAGTGTCATCAAACATGACATAACAGGATTAAAATTCATCTGACTATTTAAGAAAAATACTTTTAAAGTATGAAACTTTAATAACTTCTATTTTTGTTATGTTTCAGTGTAGTACTTTGCCAAGATGTTGTTCCAGGCCAGACAGGGCACTGCCCTATTCCTGAACCTGGGAGGAAATGTTCGCAAACTCTCTCTCCAATGTACACGAGGTTTTCGCCAGGCTGCAAAACAATATTGCCAGAAGGTCGAGGAGAAAACTATTGCAGGAACGCCATACAAAAACCTGACAATAGGTGTTCCCCGAGAACAGTTTCCCAATGAAAAGCGTGTGGCTCTTAGTCCAGCAGCTGTAGCTAACCTTACCAAAAAAGGTTTCAATGTTAATGTAGAAAAGGGAGCAGGACTTGAGGCAAAATTTTTAGACAGTGATTATGAAGCTTCAGGTGCAAAAATTACATCAGTCAATGATGCATTCAAGTCAGACATTGTTCTTAAGGTGCGAGCACCCGAGGTGAGCGAGATCCCAAATTTCAAAGACAACGCCACTCTGATTAGCTTTGTTTACCCAAAACAGAATGCTGATCTTGTACAGCAGCTTACATCAAAAAAGCTCAATGTGTTTGCTATGGACATGGTGCCCAGGATCTCTCGAGCACAGGTGTTTGACGCACTCAGTTCTATGGCAAACATTGCTGGATACAAAGCTGTGGTGGAAGCTGCCAACAACTTTGGTCGCTTCTTCACAGGTAAACATTGATTGAAAACTTGTAAATTATCAGTTCATAACAGGTTTATCCTCCTTTAACATGAAATTTATTCTTTGACTCCACCGGTTGTTGTATGTCAAAAATGGATGCAGTACTTCCAGCCTATATGGCTTATATTATAATATTATAGTTACTACGGCAGCGACTGTTTTATCAAGTTTCAAAGTAGCACTTTCAGAAAACATCAATACCCTTTAGTGAAAAAAAATATCAGCATTGTCATTAATTAATGCAACTTGTAATGTTATATTGCAAAAGGTACTCTTTAAACAGCTTTAGCAATTTTTAGTTAAAAAACTATAAACAGATTTGCATATATGATATAAAAAATTGTGGTGTTCTCCAACCTGATTAGAAGTTGCTGATAATTCAGCTGACTGTGTTATCATTTAGTAGTACAAACTTGTCACAGAAATCAGTCATATTCATAGACTACCTGGGATCTTGAAATAACAGCAAAAAAAAAAAAAAAACTGCATCCTTAATTTGGCTTCCAAAAAATAGCACCAAGTGCTTTTTATTGTTTATAGACTAAGGGAGATAACTTCTGAACATGGTGAGGGTTGTCTTTTTGCTATAAACTTGTATTATGGATACATTAATGACCTCTCATACAAAGGATTATTGTTTCTTCAACATTTTTTGAAAATGAAATATAAATTTGTTTGCTGACAATTGTGATATTTCATTAGGTCAGATCACTGCCGCTGGTAAAGTGCCACCTGCAAAAGTTTTCATCATTGGAGGAGGTGTAGCAGGTCTTGCTGCTGTAGGTACTGCCAAAAACATGGGTGCGATTGTGCGTGCCTATGATGTCCGACCAGCTGTGAAAGAACAGGTGGAGTCACTTGGAGGGGAATTTCTGGAGGTGTCTGTAAAGGTAAGTGGGAAATTTTAGGAATTCCTTGTCAATAAATAAATACCAAGTGTGAAATCCAGAACAATACACATATGTACACGCATCATTTTCATCTCCTTATTTTCTTTATAAAATACATTTTTCCACTTGGTTTATATATATATTTATTTTTGTTGTTGTTGTTGTTGGAATCTCGCAGTGATGAAAACATTTCTGTAATAAAGTTTTTGATTTCAAGCGCTGATGTTTGTAACTATGGTTACAGGAGTCAGGAGCAGGAGAGGGAGGTTATGCTAAAGACCTTAGCGAGATGTCCCAGGAGTTCCAAGATGCACAGAAGGCATTATATGCTAAGCAGTGCAAGGATGTGGACATTGTCATTACAACTGCCTTAGTGCCTGGTAAACGTGCCCCAGTCCTCATCACCAAGGTAAGCTCGTAGTCCTAATTAAAAAATTGAAACTGCAGATTAGTAAGCTAATATATGCTTTCACTCTTCTTGATAAGAAGATGCCTAGGGTCAAGATATTTTGCCATCAGCATCAATTATAAAATGCCAGTTCAAATGAATGACCCTTAGCAACAATGGTGTTCTGATATCAATTTGGTATGTTCTAACATCAATTTGTGTGTTTGTTCTGTCATTTTTCATTGTGTGTTTCTTCTGACAATTTTGTGAAATATTTGAATGTCCTTATTTGTCTGATAACAGGCAATGGTAGATTCAATGAAGCCTGGCTCTGTTGTGGTGGATCTTGCTGCAGAGGCTGGTGGTAACATTGAGACCATTAAGCCAGGAGAGCTCTACCGTTACAACGATGTCACACACATTGGATATTCAGACCTTCCTAGTCGCCTTCCCACACAGTCCAGCACACTTTATGCCAACAACATCTCTAAACTGCTCCTGTCATTTGGTACATCCTATTTATTTCTGGAATCCTACATTTAAGGACAAGTTATCGGTGTGTCACAATACTTCATTGTTGACATTCAAAGTATATCAACTAGGACTTTAAAATGTAGATAATAATGGCATTACTTTATTTATTCCTCCTACATTTTGTTGAGTGTTTCCTTTTCCATTTTCATCTTATCGTCGTACAGAATTAGTTTTTATCTCACCAGAAGTTCACTAAAATGTGAGAAATTGTTGGACTGATTCATAAATCTGATATGAAATGGAGACTCATGCAAATTCCAACAGTCTAAAAATTGGAATAAGATGTATATTTGAGTATTTTTTCACTTTCAAAATAAGTCTGATTGATGGTTTTAACTTGCTGTAGGGGAGAAGGACCACTTCAACATCAACCTAGAGGATGAAGTAGTGCGAGGATCTATTGTTATGCAAAATGTAAGTCTACTGCTAAATTTGAAAAATATCTCATACCAGCAAGGTTTTAAAAACCAGTAACTGATGACAATATCGCTCTTTGATATAACCTTACTAACTACTTCCATAAAATAATATACTTTTAATGAAATAGTCTAAAATAGATCAATTTAGACAATTGTGATAAACTCCAGCCTACTTCAGGTCTTCAGGCTTTGTTAGGGGTAACGCCTAAATTGAATTTAGACAGGAGACCATGGATAGACTATTGATAGAAAAAGAAATTTTGAAGTACTGAGGTCAAGTAGATGGGTTTTTGGAATAACCCCTTGAAGAATTTAGTTACCAGATGTAGCAAAATTTTTTGTGCTCCCCAAGCATAAAGTTGCTGCTTTGTCAGTCCTGTCATTTTCGTAGCATAACTTTGCCAACAGTCTTGCAAGGATCATGAAACTTGGTGTATACATAGATCATACTCCAGAGCATAACTTTGCTTGCATTAAACCTAGGGTAATGAAATATAGTGTATAATTTATACATTGATCATACGAAGAAGGTACGAATTGTACCAAATTCAGGGTCCAAAACCCATTAATAACAGAGTTATTGCTGTTTATTAGCTCACCTAGACCAAAGGAACCAGTGAGCTTAAAGGGATACCAGTGTGTCGTCTTTAAAGTTTTCCTAAAAATTTCCACTAGTCATGAATAAGTGAGCTGATTTTAATCAAATTCGGTCTGAAGCATCCTTGGGGGAAGAGGGGCTAATTTTGTGTATACAGTGCTATGGATCCCCTGAGGCCTGAGGGATGGGGCCCAGTAGGGAAAATCTTTTGATTTCTTTAAAATCTCTCTTGTCCTTTAGTAATTGCAGGATATTGTCCAAATTTCGTCTGAACAAGCTTGGGTTAAAGGAAAGTAGTTTTGTATAAACCCTTGGTCTCAGCCCCCCCTGGGGCTAGAGGAGTGGGTCCCAATAGAGAAAATCTATCTATTTCTTTAAAACCTATCTTGTTCTTCAGGAATTGCAGGATGTTATCCAAATTTGGTCTGAAGCATGCTTGGGTGAAGGGAAATGAGGTTTGTATAAGTGGAGGGTCCCGGCCCCCTGGGGCAGAAAGGATGGGGTCTAACAGGGAAAATAGTAAAATCAGTCTTGTTCATCAGTTATTGCAGAATAATGTCCAAAGTTGGTCTGAAGCATGCTTCAGTGAAGAGAAATCAGTTTGGTATAATGGTGGGTCCAACCTCCTTGGGGCCAGAGGAGGGGTTGGCCCAATTTTTTTGGGGGAAATAGAGCAAATCCTTTTAGATCCTACTCCTCATGTAAGAATGATTTGATTTTGCCCATATTTGGTCTGAATGATCCTTTGGTGAAGCGGAATCAGTTTTGTTGATAGTCCAATAGGGGAGATCAAACAAATTTTTTAAAATCCTGCTTCTCTAGGAATACACCACACCTATGAGAAAAATATTGGGAGTTTGATTTGTTAAGGAAAAGAAAGAGATGATATGTTGCTATTTTTCAGCCTGATCAAAATATCGACATGGTAATCACAGTAGCTAATTTGTAACATGGTTGTGCAGCAGTTTTTCCATGAACAGAATCTATCATTAATGAGTTTCTGATACTTTCAAGGAATGTGTAGAATTTGAATTCATCAGATTTGTCTGATCACCACCAGCTATTTCTGTGGTTTGTCCATCCATTTGCTAATTGCAAGATGAACGTTAAGGCTGTGGCCCTCTTGTTTACATCATACTTGAAAAAAATTAAAACATTGTGAACTCTTTTGTTTAGGGCAATATTTTACCACCAGCACCACCCCCGAAATTGGATGCTGTAGCCCCTAAGCCCACTGAGGCACCAGTCAAGGTTCAGCCCCCACCGCCACTAGACAAGAAAGCTCAAACAATGCGTGAGGCAGCAGTGTATTCAGCTGGACTTACTGGAGCCATAGGACTGGGAACATTGTCACCAAACCCAGCCTTTACCACTATGTTTACTACATTCAGTTTGGCAGGAATTGTTGGTAAGGCCATAGTTTTGGGGGCTGGAGGAGACGAGGCATATAATCCATGTCCATTTCATCCAATGCTGCAACCTATCTCATATCTTTGTCATCGCTCTGCTTCCATTCTTGTTTTGCTAAAATTTGAAACAAGTGTAAACTACAACAATTCAAATTTGGAATGGTGAGAAACAGAACTTGAAATATTTGTGTTTAGTTCAGTTTCTCATAAAGTAATAGTGCTATTTTGATTCCAATCCCAAAGTATAGTTACATGATGTAGTTGTGATGTTTGAAAGCCCAAACTACATAAATGAATTTTGTTTTTGATTTTCAGAATGCTATTTACTTCAGTTTTAGTTTATAGTCATAGTGCAACTAGTACTGGAAAAAATATCAGATTTTTATTCCCTCTTTTGGAAGAGTAATATTTTTGAGCTAAAACTGTCACATTTGAGTGAATATTGAGAATGCAGTAGTCCTTTGTTATACTGCCGCCTTTTCTACTGTGCCAATTTTTGCAGTATAATGGAGTTGGCAATACAACAGGGTTTCAGGATTTGTGTGCCATAGAATACACTCCTGTACAACGGAAACAGAGACGGAATATCCAAAAGTAGATTGATAATACATAATTTTTACTTTTTCCGTCATTATTTAATGAATTAAAGTTTTGAATTTCATAAAAAGAATTAAAGCATTTTAGTAAAATTCTATATCATTATTTACAAATGTACTTTACGGTGTGCAGATCATCAACAGATTTGTGTCTGACATTATACATGGTGTCGGGTTTTGATTAGGATCATGTTTAGTAAATTTAGCTTTCTACGTCCAATTTTGACCGTTCTGTGGGGACCATAAAATATTGAATGTTGAGTTCTACATGAACAGGAAGCAAACAGAAGATGCATCTTTTCTTAGAAATGAAAACTCTGACATTTTCACTTCATATGCAGTTCTGCCAGTTACCCCCCTTTGTCTGCAATCTTTAATCACTATCCATGTATCACAGGAAAGTTTTTAAGCTGTAATTTAAAAAATGAATTGACAAATCTTTCAGATAACAAGTTTATGTGACATGTTCATGTACAAATAAGCTTCATCACTATTGTGAATAATATATTGTCATTTATTTTGGCAAAGAGACGGATCTAAAGTAAAGTCGAGGTAGACAGATTCTTTCTTTGTCAGAATGCTTGAATTTCGTCAACAGTTATCATTTTTAATGAATTGTTGAAAGAGGCTATCAAATTTGGGTAAATTTTTACAGGCTTTGATTGAAGATCAGAAAAATTCTTTGTTTTATTTGGTATGGTAATGACTTATAAAATGAAAAATCAATGACCACAACATCCATTTTACACGAGACTGTTGATGAGGAATAATTCAACCATCATCTGCACAGGTGTATTATATACACATTACCCTCAACTGTATGATTGACAGCTCAGCCAAAAAGAAACGTAAAAAAAATTGAGAATATGGCTTGGGCATTTGGCATTAGAAAACATTTGAAAATGGTTTGTTGATGGTGGTATGCATTGTCGAGGTGGTATTAACAAGGATTTTTTTTTATAGGGGAAACACAGTGTGAACAATATAAATGCAATATATATATAGGATTAGCAACAAAATGGAGATTGTATACCATGGGTCTATTGTAAAAGAATTTTATTTTCATATTTTGTCTCACAAAGCATCATTAAGTAAACCAGTAAAAAAACTAAGCAACATATCTATGCTGGTATGCAATTATTTAATATTGGGTGGGAAGTCGTAAGTTTTTATTTTACAGTTTGCATGTTGTAAGTATGTGAGATATGGATGTTCTCTCTGAGGGTGTGAAATTTGGGTCAGAACAGAGGCTTCACACTGAACCTAAATTTTGTACTCACCAGTAGAATATCCATTTCTCCTGTTTGTTAAAACACAATGTTGATTGAGCAGTTGCAGTGGTTAATATAGTAAAATCTCTATGTGACAAACATGTATACAAACTTGAGCCACTTTTAGAAAGAACAGAAAAAAAGTGGTGTACCATAGTGAGCTTATGGTGTTTCTTGTCCTTGCGTGTTTCTGTACAAAATCATGGATTAGAATAATAGACCTTTTTTATTAATTTCTTACAATTCGTGTTCCAGGTTACCACACAGTGTGGGGAGTAACTCCAGCTCTTCATTCTCCTCTGATGTCCGTCACTAACGCTATCTCTGGTTCAACAGCAGTAGGTGGACTTCTCCTCATGGGTGGTGGATACTATCCTACCAATGCCATGGAGGGCTTTGCTGCTGCAGCTACCTTCCTTTCTGCCATCAACATTGGCGGAGGCTTTACTGTTACACAGAGAATGCTTGACATGTTCAAACGTCCAAGTAAGTTTAAGGTTTAAAAGATTGAGTTCAAATGCCAAAGTAATATAGGCCCAAATAGGCCTTGAAAAATTGAGTTCCCAAATCACTGATAAAAACCCTAAAGCTATGTTAAGATTTGCTATCAACATTGGTAATGGCTTCACTGTCACACAGAGAATGCTTGACATGTTCAAATGTCTAAACTAAGTAATTACTAAAGGCCTAGAAAAGCTTTTGAAAATTGAGTTGTCTCCCTTAGGCGCTAGCTGAAAACACCAATCCTGTAGTCTTTCTTTGAGGATTTTACGAGCTTGTTCTTAAGATTGATTTTAAAACAATTCGTTTGATCCAAAATATACTCCTATGTGATATTTCTGACTGGTTATGATTTGCACATTGCAGTATTCATCATTATATATGTCAATGGAATCAGTGTATATTTAATGGGTAGATATAATTGACTTGTCCTTCAGCATACTCTACTCTGTTTTACAGCTGACCCCACTGAGTATAACACCCTTTACGCCATACCGGGAGGAGCATTCCTTGGATCTTATGGTCTAGCTCTGAATATGGGAGAGTACCCAGATGTCCACCAGATGGTGTACCTGGCTTCTGGATTGTGCTGTGTTGGTGCCTTAACAGGGCTTGCTTCACAGAAAACTGCACGAGTGGGTGAGTGAACTCTCTTAAAAAAACTTGACAAGAGTCTCTGGACTACATATATCTTTTTATACATGTAGCTATATAGGCCTGTTTACAACAGGTGATGTATTTTTATAAAGATGTAATGAACAGAAAAGCTTATTAATAGATAGCACTGCTGAAATGTAATTTATTCTAGAAAAACCAACAAACAAATGCGAAATACTGGACACATGATTGCATGAATGTCAGTAAATGTCGTGGCTGCTATTTAAAACTTGTGCTCCCTTAGAATTTATTTTGAAAGACAATTCTCCTCACTTGCACAGACTACTACCTTAATAATCTATGTATCGGGTATCGAGTGGGAATGAGTAGAATGCCTTTTGGACATACCCTAATAACATATTGTATTTACACTTTAATTAGCCAACTCATTACTACAACCTTAGTGTCAGGAACTAGGCTGATTACAGGATGTTTGTGACTTGATATGTGATTGAATAAAGATATAAACTTAGGTCTTAATATGAAAATGATGTTATGGAAAAGAAGTGGCGTGAAAAATATAAATGTAAGTTTTTCATCACAAGAAAATATTAATATGATAGTAGGATATAAAAAAACAAGATTTATAATGTTCGTATAATTTGTTGAAATCACATGATCTGATGCTATCATGTGATCCATTTAGTCACATGATCAGCTATGATGATATTGATGGCCCTTGATCGAACCTTCACTTTGCCATCAGGTAATGCCCTTGGAATGATTGGCGTGGCTGGAGCACTTGGCGGTACACTGGGAATCCTCAAGCCAAACTATGAAAACTTTGCTCAGATGGCTGCCTGCATGGGATCAGGTGAGTTTTCTTGCAAGAAGGATATGTGAGGTTTTGGGCTGGTGAGATCATGCAAGAATTCGGCTAAAATGATCACTTCAAATTTAGGTTAGTGGGATCATGCAAAAGAATGGTGTTGACTGGGCTGTGCATTTTTCACTGGATTGGGATTGGCAATTTTGGCTCATTTCTGCAACTTCTGCAAAGAAGAATGTATTTGTGAAAGAAATTGACATGTGCATGATATATTATATAAAATTCCCATGTCATGCTCCATTCTAAGTATTTGTTGCTTCGAAACTGCTGATTATGGCACAACAGGACGTGTGTTGCATGTTGTTAGCTTGATAATGAAGGGTGTTGTATTGAAGTATGTCATATATGACAAGTTTTGATACATAGTAGAAACAATGTTTCTTTTGTGATTTACTAGGTGGACTGTTGGGAGCAGTTGCTGCTAAGCGTATGGAGGTGACAGACCTGCCTCAGGTAGTGGCCCTTTTCCACAGTTTGGTAGGTGTGGCTGCAGTCCTGACTTGCTACAGTAATTACATCCTGGAGCAGCCACACTTTGCCACAGATCCAGCAGCTGGAGTCATCAAGACTTTCATCTTTCTTGGAACTTTCATTGGTGGTGTCACCTTCACTGGAAGTCTGGTAGCCTTTGGCAAACTTCACGGTAGGTTTTGATGTTAACATTGAACGTTGTTTTTATGTCCCCTGTCATTCTATTGGGTAGGTATGTGACATATTATTGATCTTCTTTAAAGTTGTAATTTTCTGGGGCTGTAATTTTCATAATTTTTGTTGTTGAATTTTAAACACAAAATATAGTTTAAAGTTTAGTCAAGTGTAGATGATATATTTACTGTATCAACATATTGTATGCTCCATCTACACACTAATTTTGGGAGCAGTCCAAATGAGGCAAGAATATTGAAAACATACCATTTCTATTAAAAACTTCTATCATCACTATAAATATAATTTTCGCTAACTAGTGGAGGTAGGATTTTTGCAGAATGGGGAACCTTAAAGCCTATTTTGAAACACTTCATATTTCTGCTCTTTGATAGTGTGAAAATTCAATCCCACGAAATTTTCAAAATTCAGACCAGCAAAAGATAACTTTTACTTCATGGTAAACCTAATGTTCTCTTCTTGACAAAATTAATCTATTGGCGTCATTTCTCAATGTATTTTCATCAAACTTTTTGAGAAAATCAAACATTATTTTGAGAATACCTGTAGTGAGCTTGGGTTTCAAGGTCATCATTACTAATTATGGTAATCTTTAAAATGCTGTTACTTTTATGGTATGCAAGGAGGAGCAAAGGCATCCATGTTGTATCTGCACTTTAATTTATGAACAGATGTCAGAATGGTTTTATCCCTCTATTTCAGGTGTCTTGAAGTCAGATCCATTGCTTCTGCCAGGGAGGCATGTGATGAATGCCTCTATGATGGGTGTCAATGCAGCTGCTATGGGCCTCTTTCTGGCCAGTGGTGACCCAATGACCCATATGGGTGCACTTTGTACCACTACAGCTCTGTCCTCTGCCCTGGGTGTGACTCTCACTGCAGCAATTGGAGGTTTGTATAATGTATGGCCTTCGAAGCAGAGGTATTAAGAAAGACTGTAGGCTTATTAAGGAGAGAGTGCATAACACAGAATCACTAAATTACAAGCACTGTTTCAGCTGTTAAAATATTCAGCAGTTTACCATAGGCTTGATTTAAAACGGATATATTTTTATGCCCCCGCCATTTATGGCCGGGGGCATATAGCGTTGCCCATGTCCGTCCGTCCCGTCCCGTCGCATCCCAAATCAGTATATACCACCTAACAACTTCATTCGGAAGGCAATTTTCATGAAACTTCATACAAATATCAAGTATGGAAAGGCCTCATGCAGTGTTGAATTTCTCGGCATTCTAAAAAAAGATGGCCACCAGGGGGAAATAACTCAAAAAAGAGGAACATCATCTTATTTCTACATAATTTGGTACTTGTGGGTTTTAAGGCATAAGGAACTAATATACTCCCTCATTTTTTACAGAGAACAAAATTCAATTCATGTACATTAAATCAATAGTTGCATACAAATTAACAAAATCACTTTGTCTATTATTTAAGTATTCATGTCTTACAGACATTTTCTAGTTCTCAGAAGTTTTGAAATGGATATGTTTTCCTTACCAGTTATTTTTTTGTTGTACATGTTTGTGGTTTTATCAAAGCATGTTGGATCCTTTATTTTCCTTTGCGAAAGGCCATGGAACACATTTATACAGAATATAAAGCCATTTTTCTATTCTGTTCAGCTGACATGGGTTTTTAAGGAGAATAAAGCAGTTTTCCTATTTTATTGGTTCCAACAGGTTTTTATAGGCAATAAAAAAATTTTCAATTTTTGTTGTCGCTGAAATAGATTTTTATGGAGAATAAGGCAACTTTCAGTTTCTGTTGGCACCAACATGTTTTTATAGAAAACAAAGTAATTTTTCTTCCATGCTGACACATATTTCAACAGAGAATAAAACAATTTTCAATTTCTGTTGTTACTGAAATAGGTTTTTGTTGAGAATAAAACAACTTTCAGTTTCTGTTGGCACCGTCATGTTTTTATAGAAAACAAAGTAATTTTTCTGCCATGCTGACACACATTTAAGCAGATAATAAAGTAATTTTCCTTCTCTGTAGGTGCTGACATGCCGGTGGTCATTACTGTACTCAACAGCTACTCTGGCTGGGCATTGTGTGCTGAAGGCTTCATGTTGAACAATAACATCATGACCATTGTGGGTGCTATGATCGGATCTTCTGGAGCTATTCTCTCCTACATCATGTGTAAGGTGAGAAAAGATTGACATTCATATATAAAACAATGGAATATGTGACAATGTAAAACTGTTTTTTCTGTCTTGCTTATTCGAAAAACAGGGGGCTATGTTAGTCATGTCAGCATTGGTGTTGACTGCATCCTACCTTAAAATGTTTTCTGTTTTTTCAAGCAGCACTAGATCACAAATGTCAAAGATCGGTTGAACATCCAATAGTTCAAGTATTAATATGAATTATTAGGAATATGGAGCCTATAAGTTGTAAACTCCTATTTGGGTGAAATGTGCCATTAATAGGCAAGCTGTGCTGTTTTCAAACAGCTCTTTGATGATGTTTAGCTTTCATGATTTACAATTTTTCATTTTTGTCTCTTTGGGACTTCGTGTATTGCTTAACAGCAATGTTAAGGAAAAGTTAATCATCCTTGCAGGCCATGAACCGATCTCTGACCAGCGTCATTCTCGGTGGTTATGGTACCTTGGCAACCGGCGGAGGTAAACCCATGGAGATTACTGGTGAACACACTGAGATCAATGTGGATGCTGCTGCTGATCTCATTACACAATCCCGCAACATCATTATCACCCCAGGCTACGGACTCTGTGTTGCCAAGGCCCAGTACCCAATCGCCGAAATGGTCGAACTTCTCAAGAACAAAGGCATCGAATGTCGCTTTGGTGTCCACCCAGTGGCTGGTATGTTATATCATAAAGATGCTGTATTTATCCAAAAATAAGTTTTGGGTGCTAATATATTACATTGTATAAAACTATCAAAGATGAGCTGAGTACTATATAGCATTGGATGGCAATTTCACTCAACAGCAGTATAAACTGATAGCCATTACCAAATATTGGATTAATGCTGGGAAAAAAACATATTACTACTTCATTATAGGTTGTTGTGTGTGATTGATATCACTTTTGAGTATTATTAGACAGGTATGACTTGGATTATGGATAATGCCTGAGGTTAATTGCGATCTTGGAACTTTGAGGGCTGTGTGCTGGGCCATGTGAAATGTTTGTGAATCTGAATTGCAGGTCGTATGCCGGGTCAGCTGAACGTTTTGCTAGCTGAGGCTGGAGTACCTTACGATGTTGTTTTGGAAATGGACGAGATTAATGATGATTTCCCAGAAACAGATCTGGTCTTGGTGATTGGAGCTAACGACACCGTCAACTCGGCAGCAGAAGAAGATCCCAACTCCATCATTGCAGGCATGCCTGTCCTTCGCGTTTGGAACTCCAAAAATGTAAGTCATTTTGTGATATAATGTTCCTATTCGATGGTTGTGTAGCTCTTAATTTTAATGATTTTATACAACTTTACAAAGAAAAGTAAAAATTCGAAAATTTAGAACCCAGTCACATTTACTATGATGACTTGCGTTTTACAGATTGATTTAAGATAGTATTGCCTAGTTTGAGAATATCAGAGTGATTTAATACTTAACACAGATTTCTGAAAGAAATATTGACTTGTTGTATCACTTAAACTATGCGTTTAGAGTTAGACTTAGGATTCTTGAAGTTCCAGGCTAAATACATGGTCACAGCATTGCAAAAAATGTTTTTGAAGTTTGAAAATGAAGAAATGGATTGAGGATAGGGTGTGGAGAGGTGAAGCTTTGAATTAGAGTGATGTATGCCAGGGTTTCAGTATGTTTTGTGTAATGGGGTCCTTCTATATATTTTGAATGGAATTCCTAAAATTAATTAGGGTTCTTCATTTCTGTGCTTCAAAAGGCTATAGGCATGGTTTTCAGCTCATACTTTGTGAGTGTTAAGGGCGATAGACAGGTCCATTTATATATCTTAATGGCTTGTTAGGCTTGTGTTTATTTAAAGAATTAAAATTTTATTCACATCTGTATCATTACAGGTGATCGTCATGAAGAGGACCCTTGGAGTAGGTTATGCAGCTGTAGATAACCCAATCTTCTTCAAAGAGAACACTTCCATGTTGCTAGGCGATGCCAAGAAGACATGTGATGCTCTATTAGCCAAAGTCAGAACACATTATGAAGATTAACACTAATGAAATATTAGTGACTTGAAATTAACATTTTTGGTGTGGATTTGTTTCACAAATATTTCTTCTCATTTGAAATCATGTTAAGTTATCAGAGAAAATGAGATTTCTTTGTGTTTGAAAATGATTGTAAATTATCAGAGAAAAATTTGTGTGAACCAATTCTACAGATACATCGAACAGGAAAAAGTGCTTTCACCATCCGTTTTGAATGAGATATTTGGAGAAAATGTTCAGGAGTTCCACAAGAGACAGCTCATAATAATAGAATTTTCCAGTGAGTTATTAAAATGTAGCCTTCAAAGCTGTACTGGAGAGGACACTTCAGTATTATTATTATTATTCAGGTGATTTTGATGGCAGTTGCCTTCTAGTCCTTGTACCACATGACATTAACACACATTTTTGTACCTAATTTTAAACTGATTATTGGCCCTTTATCATTGCTTGCTCTATGAGGATTACAGAACAAATTGTGCTTTACAATCTGGAAATCGCCTTCAGGGCTCTGTTTTTCCAATTATTGTGATTTGAAAATTGTCTTTTGTATAGAAAAAAAATATTTCAAACTTTCAACCTGCTCTCATTGATTGAAGCTTTAGGTTTTAGTATTGGTACAGGCTAGCCCTGATATCTAAACAGTAAGACTGGACTACTACACTCTATGAAAAAGAAAAACATTAATGAATAAGATATCTAAGATATTATTTTTGCGATCATGAGTCAATGACGTGGTAATAATTAAGGAAAACTTGAAATAGACGACAGCTACATGTATATATTTTATTCCTGAATGTCTTTAGAAATTTGAAATAGAAAACCATTTCTCGCAACAAAAAGCCAAAATTACAGACAAATCTACAGGTAAGAATCTCTAGAAATGAACTTGACCCAAGTTTTCATAAATGCTGCTAAATCTAAGGTAATTCCTTAACTTTAGTCTTGTCCAATCTTTAGAGTTAGGAGTTGGGGAGAAATTTTGGTTGAAGATTGCTTCCTTGAATTCTGTAAATTTTATATGGAAATTTTTTTAAGATAAGAATTATTAAGAAACATTTGTTAAACTAGGGCCTTGTTTCACTACTTTGTCCCACAAGAGTCTAGAAGCTAAGACCTCTTAATGGCTGTCCAGTTATCAAGTTAAATCATTCTAGGAAGAATTATTGATTGTTAATCATGAATAAAGTTTGACAAGGGTTTTGAGTCCTGGACCGTTTTGAATTTGGTGTATTTATTGTCTGCTACTTCTGGTTGTTAGGTGCTGTGGGTTGAACCTCCAGTACCATGTGTGTCATACATATAGAGACCAATCTGGTGAAGTAAACTCATTTTATATACAAAATACTGTTTGTTGTGTATTTATTGCAAAAACAAGAAAGCATTAACATGTATACTAATCTTAAGTAGGGCTCTGCATGGAGATGGAGATGGAAGGTACCCAATAAAGTAACTTAAGTATTATGTCCAGTGAACAATTTCCAAAATTTGGATGAGTCCAGTTACAAAGAGTCAGTTTTGAGAGTTTTCAAAATGTAAGTGAATCCCACAGGAAAAGAATGAGTGCATCACTCAAATAGTCACCACTTATAATGTAATCACAGTGTCTGTCTGTCTGTCCATCTGTACTCGTCCTTGAAGATTATATCGAAGCCAAACTTGGTGATATGCACATGTGCAATTCCTTCTTAATAATGCAGAATTACTTGCTCTTGTGAGAAGGTATTAATTGTTTTATCAGTTTGCAAGAGAAGTTGCATCATCTTGTGACATTATGTCACCAACATATTGTAAAACAATCTATACCTTCTCACAAGAGCAGATAACTCGGCATCAGGAAGAAATATAATAGAGTTTAAAAAGTTCCTAAAATCATGATTATATTTTTAAAAATTGAGTGTATTTGACTTGAACCTTGGTACTTTGAAATCTCGCTAACAAGACCACGTTAACACTTGGAAAACATGGTCAGAACAACAAGTGTGAACAACTAGACTTCCCTCCTGGTCACTGAAGTCTACACAGACTTCCCTCATGGTCACTGAAGTCAACACAGACTTCCCTCATGGTCACTGAAGTCTAGACAGACTTCCCTCATGGCCACTGAAGTCTAGACGGACTTCCCTCATGGTCACTGAAGTCCAGGACTTTCCTCATGGTCACTGAAGTCTAGACGGACTTCCCTCATGGTCACTGAAGTCTAGACACTTCCCTCATGGTCACTGAAGTCTAGACAGACTACCCTCATGCTCACTGAAGTATAGACAGACTTCCCTCCTGATCACTGAAGTCTCCATAGACTTCCCTCCTGGTCACTGAAGTCTACACAGACTACCCTCCTGGTCACTGAAGTCTACACAGAATTCCCTCATGGTCACTGAAGTCTAGACAGACTTCCCTCATGGCCACCAAAGTCTAGACGGACTTCCCTCATGGTCACTGAAGTCCAGGACTTCCCTCATGGTCACTGAAGTCTAGACGGACTTCCCTCATGGTCACTGAAGTCTAGACACTTCCCTCATGGTCACTGAAGTCTACACAGACTACCCTCCTGGTCACTGAAGTCTACACAGACTTCCCTCCTGGTCACTGTAGTCTACACAGACTTCCTTCATGGCCACTGAAGTTTAGACAGACTTCCCTCATGGTCACTGAAGTGTAGACACACTTCCCTCATGACCACTGAATTCTAGACAGACTTCCCTCATGGCCACTGAAGTCTACACAAACTACCCTCCTGGTCACTGAAGTCTAGACAGACTACCCTCCTGGTCACTGTAGTCTACACAGACTTCCTTCATGGCCACTGAAGTTTAGACAGACTTCCCTCATGGTCACTGAAGTGTAGACACACTTCCCTCATGACCACTGAATTCTAGACAGACTTCCCTCATGGCCACTGAAGTCTACACAAACTACCCTCCTGGTCACTGAAGTCTAGACAGACTACCCTCATGCTCACTGAAGTATAGACAGACTTCCCTCCTGGTCACGGAAGTCTACACAGACATCCCTCCTAGTCACTGAAGTCTACACAGACTACCCTCCTGGTCACTGAAGTCTACACAGAATTCCCTCCTGGTCACTGAAGTCTACAGAGACTTCCTTCATGGCCACTGAAGTATAGACAGACTTCCCTCATGGCCACTAAAGTATACACAGACTTCCCTCATGACCACTGAAGTATAAACAGTCTTCTCTCATGGCCACTGAAGTATAAACAGACTTCTCTCATGACCACTGAAGTGTAGACAGACTTCCCTCATGACCACTGAAGTCTAGAAAGACTTCTCTCATGGCCACTGAATTATAGACAGACTTCCCTCATGACCACTGAAGTCTAAACAGACTTCTCTCATGACCACTGAAGTGTAGACAGACTTCCCTCATGACCACTGAAATCTAGACGGACTTCCCTCATGGCCACTGAAGTATAGACAGACTACCCTCATGGCCACTGAAGTATAGACAGACTACCCTCATGGCCACTGAAGTATAGACAGACTTCCCTCATGGCCACTAAAGTATACACAGACTTCTCTCATGGCCACTGAAGTATAAACAGACTTCTCTCATGACCACTGAAGTGTAGACAGACTTCCCTCATGACCACTGAAGTCTAGACAGACTTCCCTCATGACCACTGAAGTATAGACAGACTTCCCTCATGGCCACTGAAGTATAGACAGACTTCCCTCATGGCCACTGAAGTATAGACAGACTTCTCTCATGACCACTGAAGTGTAGACAGACTTCCCTCATGACCACTGAAGTCTAGAAAGACTTCTCTCATGGCCACTGAATTATAGACAGACTTCCCTCATGACCACTGAAGTCTAAACAGACTTCTCTCATGACCACTGAAGTGTAGACAGACTTCCCTCAAGGCCACTGAAGTCTAGACAGACTTCCCTCATGGCCACTGAAGTATAGACAGACTTCCCTCATGGCCACTGAAGTATAGACAGACTTCCCTCATGGCCACTGAAGAATCGACAGACTTCCCTCATGGCCACTGAAGTATAGACAGACTTTCCTCATGGCCACTGAAGTATAGACAGACTTTCCTCATGGCCACTGAAGTATAGACAGTCTTCTCTCATGGCCACTGAAGTGTAGACAGACTTCCCTCATGACCACTGAAGTATAAACAGTTATCTCTCATGGTCACTGAAGTATAGACAGACTTCTCTCATGGCCACTGAAGTCTAGACACTTCCTTCATGGTCACTGAAGTCTATTTACACCATTAATTAGTATGAAGACACCTAAATATAACTAATCTGACACCTGGCAGATGAATGTGTTGGAATACACACCATATAAATTTTTGACAGGTCAGTGGTCTGATTAGTGAGATGAACTTCAAGGTAAAACAGCTTTACATTGTAGTTGTCTTACTAGTGGGGTGGTCAGAATAGTGAAGTTGAGACCCCTGACATGCGCCTTATTCCGGCCAATACGATGATTGATATACATTGGAAAAACTTGTTTGGCAATTGTTGTAAAATAAAGTTTATTATATTGCTATATTATAATTATACTCATGAACACAGAATATTTCAACACGGCCAAAGAGTAAAGCATACATGTACAATAAAAAGACATAGAGGAATTATTTGGGACTGTAAGTGGCCTTGGTACCGATTTTATCACGAAGATCAAGTTTTTTTCTCATTTTGTGTTTCCAATGTAAATGATATGTTTTTTGGTTTCATGCTATGTGTTCAGCTATATCCTGTGTACGATGATAGACGGCATGGTCTTAATACCGAAAAGGCTGAAAGGAAATAGTCTTGAAACTGAGGGGACAGACAGGAAGTGGTCTTAATACTGTTAAGACGGAAAAAAAGTGGTCTTTATACTGAGGGGACTGAAATGAAGTGGTCTTTATACTGAGGGGACAGAAAGGAGGTGGTCTTAATACTGAGGGAACAGAAAGGAGGTGGTCTTAATACTGAGGGGACAGAAAGGAGGTGGTCTTAATATGATGGGACAGAAAGTTAATTGTCTTGGTACTGAGAGGACCTGAATCCTTGCAGAATAACTACAATAGACACATTTGGTAGGAAATTGGATTTAGAGAATTTTCACTAATTTTACTTGGTCATTGAATAAATGAAACATAAGTCAGTGATTTTAAAAGGCATATAGGTTTATGTTAATTAATAATGTTTATGGTATAAAAAACATAGTACATATTCCATATATGGCATGTGTACTACATAAACATACTTATTTTTGTAGTAATCTAATTTTAGCATTATGTTGCACTGAACGTATTCTGCTAAATTGTGCTAATTGCAGCCTCAATGTTTTCTGCTGCAATTATTGTGAGTACACTTATTCATCATTTCACTTATCCTTTAATATTTGGTTATGAGCTAAAATTGGAGTACAACAAAACAAGCATGTTTACAATAAAATATACATAAGTACGAGTGACGTAAGGAGTTCACTGCTAGCTACTGTTGATATAAACACCAATTTACACAGGCACTGTATAAATATAGACATCATCTTCACCTCAGCTTTCCTTCATTGTACTTGTAGACAATATACTGTACATATTTCAGTGTCAATGTCATTCTAACAATTCTCCTAATGAACATTATACACTAAAGTAGTGATAGTGCTAGTTGCAATATAACATTTATACAACATATACATTGTGTAGCAATTATGATATGCCAATCAATAATTGTGCTAATTTGTAAAAATAATAGTGATAATGTGCTAAAATTTGATTGTGCTAAATTATACAGGTTTAGAGTATCCTGAAATTGTTTGATTTTTAATGCTGGTATATCCAACTTAGGACGGTTGAATTTCCATGTATCAAGCTAGTAGGTGTAAACAAATATGTATATTTGTATATTTTGTGTAATATGGATTTCATTTCAAACTAAAAGGATATCTACATCTTATTCTTCATCAAAATGCTGTACACAGGGAACTTTTGAGTAATGAGCCAATTTATTAACAAACCAATCTTTCTTAGCATTGAATTACAAATAAAAAAAAAACTGATAATTAAAACAAAACACAAAAAAATTGTACATTGAATGTTTAGTTCCGTGTACTGATACCACTGACAAGATTCATTCATTTGCTGCTGATGTTGTTATTTTTGCAACCTTTTAATTTTCAAATACAGCCCCAAAATATAGTTCCTGTGTAAATTTAATCCAATGTACATATATAACTTATTTACTGTATCAACGAATGTTACGCTCTGTCTACATATCACCCGTGAGTGAGACCAGGACATTTGAAAATTTACCAATTCAATTAAAACTACAAATATAAATGAAACATGATTTCCACTAACCTACGGAAATAGGAATTTGTCAATGTGGAACCATACAGCCTGTTTTGTAATACTTTAAATTTATGTACATCAATAGTTTGAAAAAATTACCCCTAAAATATTTTAATTTACTTAAAATCACAGAAATGCTGTCCAGGAAAATGAAAAAAAGGAAGAATTTTTACAGTAACATAAATTTTCAATTTTCAACAGCCTCCAACTCTAAGTAATCAGCTGTAATAATGTCATAATGTCATTCACTACGAAATTATATAACAGTACACTGATTTTCATAAACCCCATATCAAAATATCTGAAAATTATGACCTGGAAATAAAGTTAAATTTCATTCTTATAGTCAAGTTTAAAAAACATGTCACAGTGACCTAGTTTTAGAGCATGATTTACTAGGAAGAAACACTTTGACCCTGATGCATTTCGTTTGTTGTGTAATTGAACAGAAAATAGAGGTAACAATTGTCTAATTTTTGTTGCATAGCAACTTTACAGAATGGTAAAATTTACTGTATTTATTGTGAGAGGTCATAAGGTCATAAACTTGTGAGAAAGCAATGTAATTTTCTCATGTAATAACTTAACAATCGATCCCTGCTCACAAGACAAAAATAAAACTCTTCATTATGAAAATTTAGAATATATTGCTGATGAATAGAATAACAAATAAATGCTCTGCAATAAGCCCATCCCCTTGAGTTAGATTTTATATGTTGGCTCCATGGGCATACCCCAAGATAAACATCCGTAGACTAGCTATTAAAGATCTAGTGAGCTTTTCCTTGTCAAAAACATAACTTTTTGTAAATTTCAGTGTCAGTTTATCACATCTTCTTTAGCAAACTGTCCTTTACCCTTCAAACGGGTCACAGAGGCCGACTGGTCAAGATATCTCAGACTATCTCTATCACTAGCTTCCATCTCTGGGTCACGGTTTTGAGGTCACTGTAGAGCAATCACCACGCACTGACTGAATGTTGGTAGTTTTCCACTAGGAACATCAGCTGACTGTTAATAGGCTGTACAATGTAAGGCAGCAATAAATAAACTAAACCCTTCATCAGTAACAAGTGTGCTATATCACCTTTGACCTTTACTCTACATCAATTGACCTTTGCACTTCTATCGGTGACAGTCATCCATCATCCCTTGACAGTATGACCTTTGACCTTTGTTCCATTAACCTTTGAACTTCCTCTCCCATCTTTGACTTAATGATGTTTTCTTCTACACCCTTGGTGAGAAAGAGAAGTTCGCTAGTTTTGGCCGTAGTGACACACCGGTATAAAAACTATCTAGAGACACCTCACCTTCCTGAGAATTCCCAGAAGCTTTAATGTGAAATGTCTGTAGGATATTAGAAAGGAAGAGAAACAATAAGGTGTCTGCAGCAATCTTAGCTACACACTGACGTGGACCTGTAAAAGAAAAGCAAGAATTAAATGCTTGTGGTCAATAACAAGAACAAAAGGCATAATGGGCTGGTATCACTCACCATTACAGATTTTATTTCTTTGAATTCAAAGGGGTAAACCAAACTGATAAAAGAATTGGTTCTTTCTCAGCAACTGTAAAATGTTTTGTATTGAATTGACAAACCTATGTAAAAAGTAAGAGGAATATTAGGACACCTTACCTAATCCTCAATAAATGTTCAAAATCTGTCAACCGTGACAAAAAACATCTGGTGTGTCTAAATTACCAATTCACTGTGACTGTACAAATGCATGCGTTCATTTCCATTCAAACTTGTGTCAATTTCTGACTATCACCGAGACACGTGATTGCCAATATATTTGCATTGAATAATTGTTTTTTACAAGCATGTCACGGCTATCCTGATTTCATAGCAGATGGGCTCTCACAATGCTCATGGGAGATAACACTAAACAGCAGTTCATCAAGTATGATGGTTTACCATCAACATCTCAATGTCAAGCATGTGTATGTTATGGTTGACAGCACATGTGCCTAGATGTTTCCCTATGAGATGTTGGAGGTACACGCTCTTCATGGATGAATCTCGACGATGTGTGTACTGCAGTCAAGGAGAGCATTTTGAAGACAACTGGGAGGAATTTCCATGGTTTAAAGACATCTTTAGTGATCATTATCCGGAGTTTAACAGTTGTATGCTATTTAATGACATCATGAGGCCTCAACTATGTTGTGCCATTCATTATAAGGCACCATAATAACATAAGGCCAAACATTGCAAGTGTTTGTAGGGACTTTCATGCAACCCAGAACATTGTCCCTATTGGTTTGCCTCCATATATCCCCGATTTGTCCCCAGTCAAACAGTTGTGGGATGAATTAGACTGATGAGTTCGGAATTGAACAAACATCCCAAATAACATCTGCCAATAAGCCAATTCACTCAATGAGGAATGGAATAATAATTCCCTTTATACTGTCTATGCCTTTGTGAACTCAGCACCACCAAGAATTAGAGACACAATAGCACACACAATATTAGAGACCTGTCTAATATTTCAACTTTGTGTACATTAGGGTATCTTAATTGATGGCATTCTCCTGAAGTACTCATTTGTTAAAAATCTCAGAAATATGATGACAGATGATTTAATATTTCAACATTTCACATCTAGGCATATTGCTCATAAATACCAACCTATTAAACTGTAAAATTGAAATTGTGTTTCTTTTTCCTCTAAGTACATTATTCACATTGGGACTTTGGGACTTGAAAGTGAGACAGTATCAACATTATTCCAACATTCTATAAATATCATTACCCTGGACCACCTTTGACCCATTTCTTATCCTGTGACCATGAAAGTTGGCCAAGGTCATTAATCTGAATAATATTGGCCAAATATCATGATCCTGGGTGGATTCAGAAGGAGTTTTTTAAGATTTTGACCATAAAATTGGACCAAGGTCATTTACCAAAACAGTGGACAGATAGTCTGGAGATAAAAGTTGCATGCATCATACCAAAAGCGTCCTGCCCTCCCTTGGTTAAAGATGGAATGTCCAATATAAAAACTTAACATAAATTTGAGAATAAATTGATTTCGGATGACCAACACGAGACTTCACAAAACTTGTGATATTTCAAATTTCTTACCCATTCCAAATGGATGGTAAGGTTTGCCTTGGGTTGATTCTAGAAATCTCTCTGGATTAAATTTGGTGGGATCCTCCCAGTATTCCTGCTGAATATGAGGCTGACGAAGATCGCAAAGAACAATGGAATCTTTTGGAATTTGGAATTCTCCAATCCTGGTCTCCTCTGTGTTTGTGCGCAATGCTGTGTTGACAACTGTTGAACAAACAAGGGACAACAGTCAAGGACACCTGTTTATCAAGTGTGAAATAAATACTGTCTGATCATGTAATTTCTTGGGGCTCAAATTTAATTCTTTAAAAAAAATGTACTTTTGCATTGTCACTTAATTTTATGGAAGAATCTTGCTAATTAAATCCCAAAGTGCTAAAATCCATGTCCATTTTTATTTTCATCTTTTTGTTGATTCTGAGATCTTCACCTGAGGACACCTTGACCAACACTATACCAAGAGAGTTTTCATGCACACCCCCCATCCCCCCCCCCTCCCTCACCCACATAAACCCTTTCAAGGACACCTACTTGTTCCGGCGGATCTTCCTAGCTCCTTCAGGGTGGCATCAGTGTAAGGCAGGTTAGCTCTATCAGCCGATGTGACTTGTCGGCCTCTGACAACCTACATACCCCAACAATTATTTAAGTAAGAATTTTTATCGTAAGTCTGTAAAATTCTTTCATAGGGTCCATATAGCAAAAGTATCTTTTCACGGGATATGTTTGACAGAAACATAAACAAACTTTCACCAGACAAAATCACAGGCAACATCTTTTTGCATTGTTATAGCAATTAAAGGGTAATAATTGCAAGTAGGATCAATTTCAAGCTTCAAGTGTCCTTACTGATATAGTACAAACCTTATCTATCTCATCCTGACATCGCTTTTGCACATCCTGGTACTTGGACATGTAAACAAGTTGCCATAGCAACATTGAAGTGGTTGTATCAGCTCCACCTAAGAACAAGTCTATTATACTGCGGAAAAAATTGTGCTCTGAAACCGACAACACACTTAGAAATTATATAAAGCACAGACCGTAATGACTTATTACTATAGATTACATCACAAGATCCATTATTTAACGGTAATTTTTTTTTATTGAAAAACTCTTTGTAGACGATGAAATCACAAACGGTGATTTTTATCCTAAAATAAGTCCAGGTGGCCATCACATTATCTTACTTCTTACTTAAAAGTCAGAGAGTTTGGGCTTATTACAAGACAAATAAATAACATTGGTTTGTAATCAAACTCAATAGTAAAATACATGTGTGGGCTTATTATTGGCGGGCACAGGTTTAAGTACAGAAATTTCAGACCTGAGTACTCCTCCTGCTGACGTTCCTTTGGGCTCAGACTCAGGTAAACATCCATATAGTCCCCACACTTGTTCACATCTAGTCTCTCAACATGTTCAGCTAACTTCTTTTTAAAGAAATCAAAGATTTGCTCCTCTCTCAATTTCACCTGCCCAAACTGACAGAGTTATAAAGTATAAATATTTATAAACCGTATATCAGAATATTTTTGGGAAAAGCCGACAAATTATCTTCTGCAATTTTTGCATATTTCATTTTCTTCAATTTTATCATCTCAGAAATCTGAAAGGCCTCATCTGAAGATTTGAATACCTCAGAATGGATATAAGGTTACATGTATATAGTGTAGATTCTAACTGACATCAACTCGAGATCTAACTGCCAACTCGTACTAGAAAAAAAATTTGAATAACCACTAGCACTTTCCGTATTGTTGCATTTACAATAATAACAAGAAAACATGCAAATTTTACGATTCTAAGTTTTTGCAATTTTAAAAAGGGTTTACTAGAATTATAAATCCAGTCGTTAAACTACCAGAAAGATGAGCATTAAGCTGTGAGTGAAAATACATAATTTTTTTTAAAGATTCAGGGGTATCTGGTGGTAGTGCAGGTGGCGGTACACAAGGTCTAACTGTGGTAGGAATGTACCATAGGTAGGAGGGAACTAGAAATTTAGCAGAGGAAAACGTGAGTAACTCCTGTGCCACCCACCAACCCATCCCTAACATTAGAAAGGTAAGTTAAATTTTTTATGAGATGAGATGGAAGGGAAAAAATATGAAAATATGAACCATTGAAATAAAAAACAAAAAAATCTTTTCTTGAAATAAAATGTGAGATTTATAACACCATTGCATATGCTTTTACTATATGTAAGGACTGCCTCCTCCTTCACCCTAATATCATTTCTATTAGCAACTGTTCCAACATTAACTGAAATCAAAACCTTTACATTTTAAAATTTTGATAATAATTCTATATCTACCAATTATATTTTCCTTTTTTATCTTTCAGTCAGAATCAAAATTACTTCTCCGAATCAACTATGCAGGCAATTTGTGGAACAATGAAAAATGAGCAAATATTATGATACACATCTTGTAACAGACCTTAGTGACATTATATTCATGTATGTTTGTGCTACTAACAAGGTCAATAGTTCAACTTCTACCCCTCCTCTTATGATTGGTGTCCATCCTACCCTGACAACAGATCTTACCTTTGAGCTGGCCAGTCTAGCTAAGACAGGAAACATATTGGCTGGACTTGCTGATTTGCAGTTTGTTAGCAGGAACAGGATGTTGTCCTTCAAGGTAAGGAATTCTGGGTCTGAGTGGTCAAACCTGCAGACAATAAAAAACATTCCTGTCAGACATCTTCCCTGTATCTGTTACCATAGAAACAAGACATAATGTCCTTCAGTGTGAGGAATTCTAGGTCACAGTGGTTAAACCTAAAGGCAATATATTAAATACATATTTCTGTCAAATATTCGACATAAACCTGTTGTCATAGATATGTGTTTGATATCAATAAAAAGTGTTTGATATCTTTAAAGACAGGTGTTTGATACCTATATAGACCGGTCTTTTCGATATAGACAGGTTTTTTTTTATATAAACTGGTATTTGATACCTATATAGACAGGTGTTTGATACATATATAGACCAGTGTTTGATATCTATATAGATAGGTGTTTGATACCTATATAGACAGGTGTTTGACACCTATATAGACAGGTGTTTGTGATATAGACAGGTGTTTGATACCTATATAGACAGGTGTTTGATATATATATATAGACATGTGTTTGATACATATATAGACAAGTGTTTGATATCTATACAGACAGGTGTTTGATACATATATAGACAGGTGTTTGATATCTATATAGACAGGTGTTTGATATCTATATAGACAGGTGTTTGATATATATAAATAGACAGGTTTTTGATACATATGTAGACAGGTGTTTGATATCTATATAGACAGGTGTTTGATACATATATAGACAAGTGTTTGATATATATATAGACAGGTGTTTGATATCTATATAGACAGGTGTTTGATATATATATAGACAGGTGTTTGAAACATATATAGACAGGTGTTTGATATCTATATAGACAGGTGTTTGATACTTATGTAGACAGGTGTTTGATATCTATATAGACAGGTGTTTGATATATATATATAGACAGGTGTTTGATACATATATAGACAGGTATTTGATATATATATATATATAGACAGGTGTTTGATACATATATAGACAAGTGTTTGATATCTATATAGACAGGTGTTTGATATTTATATAGACAGGTGTTTGATATCTATATAGACAGATATCTGATATCTATATAGACAGGTGTTTGATATAGAAAGGTGTTTGATACCTATATAGACAGGTGTTTGATACCTATATAGACAGGTGTTTGATATCAATATAGACAGGTGTTTGTGATATAGACAGCTGTTTGTGATATAGACAGGTGTTTGGAAGGTTTATCAACAAGTGTTTTATAATAAACACATCCTTTATTGAAAGATGTGAATACATACAATGTACAGACACCCAGTAAATAGTCTTTCAGTTTAAACTTTTTTTAACAATAAACAGCCTAGTCAAGAATATTGAGTAAAATTTAATTGTCTTTCCTTGACTACAAACATTTCAGGAAATTGACCAGGACATTTAAAGAAAAAGGGAGGATGTACATCATAAAAAAACATAGACACACAATAGTTACTAGGAAATCCTTCACAAATTACCCATTGGGTTGTTGGTGGTGATGAAAGGATTACATAGTATAAATAAGTCCCTCTAGTGTCAGATATCTTAATACTGATCAGCATGTACATCACTTATAGCTGTGAACTTCAGACAGACCAACACATCTCGACAAAATAATTTATCTGAATTTGTGAATCAAAAGAAAAATCTACAATAGCAAGACAACTTCAACTGTGTCCTGACAAATAAACATCTTGACTAGGAGTTGTAACTATGTCTACAACTTACACTTGCTTCCTGACAACTAGGACATTTAACTGGGTACACAACCATCACATATATGTTGGCAACTAGGAGTTGTAATTATGGCTACAACTAAGTGCTTCCTGACAACTAGGACATTTAACTGGGTACGTACCATCACACAGATGTTGGAGATACATGTATAACTATACAATTAGCTTACTAGTACTTCTTGATAATTAGGAGATTTAAGTAGGTATTACAAGCCAACACATATGTTTTGACAACTAGCTTCAGGAAAAGTTACATTTTATAGATTACACTGATCATGTTGAATTCTTCAATATCTATTTCATCGGTGCTTATCTAGTGCCAATACACAGGAAAGGTGACATGACCCTTGACCTCTAAAGGAAGGAAGGATGACCATATTAACAACCATTGTTATTGTGTACTCCCCACACTATATGTTGATATCTAATATACATAAACATGTTATATATAAAATGTCTGACTGCCCTATTGTCTATCTCAATCTGTACATCTGTTGTACTATGTCTGACTGCCCTATTGTCTATCTCAATCTGTACATCTGTTGTACTATGTCTGACAGCCCTATTGTCTATCTCAATCTGTACACCTGTTGTACTATGTCTGACTGCCCTATTGTCTATCTCAATCTGTACATCTGTTGTACTATGTCTGACTGCCCTATTGTCTATCTCAATCTGTACATCTGTTGTACTATGTCTGACTGCCCTATTGTCTATCTCAATCTGTACACCTGTTGTACTATGTCTGACTGCCCTATTGTCTATCTCAATCTGTACATCTGTCTATCTCAACTATGTCTGACTGCCCTATTGTCTATCTCAATCTGTACATCTGTTGTACTATGTCTGACAGCCCTAATGTCTATCTCAATCTGTACACCTGTTGTACTATGTCTGACTGCCCTATTGTCTATCTCAATCTGTACACCTGTTGTGTACTATCTGTACATCTGTTGTACTATGTCTGACATGTCCTATTGTCTATCTCAATCTGTACACCTGTTGTACTATGTCTGACAGCCCTATTGTCTATCTCAATCTGTACATCTGTACATGTCTGACTGTTGTACTATGTCTGACTGCCCTGTCTATCTCAATTGTACATCTGTTGTACTATGTCTGACTGCCCTATTGTCTATCTACATCTGTACATCTGTTGTACTATGTCTGACTGCCCTATTGTCTATCTCAATCTGTACATCTGTTGTACTATGTCTGACAGCCCTATTGTCTATCTCAATCTGTACACCTGTTGTACTATGTCTGACAGCCCTATTGTCTATCTCAATCTGTACATCTGTTGTACTATGTCTGACTGCCCTATTGTCTATCTCAATCTGTACATCTGTTGTACTATGTCTGACAGTCCTATTGTCTATCTCAATCTGTACACCTGTTGTACTATGTCTGACAGCCCTATTGTCTATCTCAATCTGTACACCTGTTGTACTATGTCTGACAGCCCTATTGTCTATCTCCATCTGTACACCTGTTGTACTATGAAAGTGGTAACATACTATAAAAATGTAAAAGTAAGGGTTCTCAGCTTTTCACTGATCTGACAGATATCTATCTAATTACTGTATTGGTTGACTATCAAACAGAAACTGAATTTTCAAAATTCTAATTTTAAGATTGAAGGGAAATTTCAAACAATTTTAAAGATGTAAAGTAAATTTGGTATAATTTCAATATCAGGATCTTTAACTCACAAAATTCATCAGCTTTGATATATTTACTTTTATTTATTTCATATATTGATATCTTTTTAATCTAGTTAAATTTAGAAATGTAGAAATATATGCTAGATAGCAAGTAATGGGCCTCCTGTATGTTGTTCAGTAAAGTAGCCACCAGTTACTACAAGGAGACCCATCTCCAGCTGTTAACTGGGCATTTATGTATAACATTATGAACCATATCATTTTCGCACGTTGTCTTTTATCACTTAGGTAATAGTGTCTGTGGACGTAGGCTGAAAGCCTTTGTGGCCATATCAATTAAATTCATTAAAAACTGTAAACTTTTATATAACATAAATGATTGGTAAATCAATGAAGTTATAGTTCTAGAACTCACAGACTATTTCTTGGTTGTGTATATCCAGCAAATGTTCAAATTCACTAATAGTATTTGCATTTATAATTTGATGGGGACATGATTCCACATATCAACAACTCAAATGTAAACAAAGTTCTGTCTTAGGTCTGTTTTAAAGCAGCATTCATAAAGATTCAATTTGTGACCACATGTGCTGGAAATTTCTTCCCCAGATTAAAGACAGTCAGCAAGGTAAACATATCCTGTTGCTGAGTCCTGCTTTATGATAACTTTACTATGGAAATCATTCATTCTAAATCTGTATGACACAAATTCCTAGCTGGCATTTAACTAATAATTTACTATGCCCCGCAGCTTTTTATTATATATCTAACATGTTTATACATTCCACAAAAATATACACATGCTTCCTTCACAATCAACCATGTTCTGCCTTCAGGCCTATACAGTTGGTTGTTTATACATTTATTACCTTACATTCCTGAAAATCCTTTCATCATACCATCTATTTTTTATGTTCCCTGTTTTACTATAAAATTAACAACAAAAATTCTACTGATAGGCTCATAGACCTTAACAGTACCAGAGTTGAAATTTTGTCTTTAGCAAATGATAAGCACAAACTTAACAAAACTGCTTTATCTAAAATCTAGCATACAGACTGAAGTCTGTAGGATATTGTTTGTAACAAGTGTGGAATTTAAGGACATTGCAGAAATTTGAATAAATCCAACCGATAAAAAACTGCACTGAAGTTTTCAAAACCTCCTTGACAATGAAATTCCAACCTGTTTTGTAATTCAAACAGAAGATTAATACAAATACTAAAACATTTGACCTGTGACCTTGAAAGTGGGTCAAGGTAATTCATTTGAACAAACTTAGTAGCCCCTCATCCCAGCATGCTACAGGCCCAATATCAGACCTCTGGGCTCTCTGTTATGGAGGAAAAGTAATTTGAAAACATTAACATATTCAACACCTGTGATCTTGAAAGTCAGTCAATGTCATTACTATGAAGAAATTTGTAGCTCTTTATCACAGTATGCTATAGTCCCACTATCATAACTTTGGGCCCTCTGGTCATTAAGAAGAAGTCAAAAATGTAAATTGTTATTGATGCACATCCGCGAGGATGGACAAATGGCGATAATCACAATAATCCTTTCCTAGCCCTTCATCATCTTACCTCCAATTTTCACTATTAATCCCTTCCCTGGCCCCTCATTAGCTTACCTCCAATTTTCACTATTAATCCCTTCCCTGGCCTCTCATTAGCTTACCTCCAATTTTCACTATTAATCCCTTCCATGGCCCCTCATTAGCCTACCTCCAATATTCACTATTAATACCTTCCCTGGCCCATCATTAGCTTACCTCCAATTTTCACTATTAATCCCTTCCCTGGCCCCTTATCATCTTACCTCCAATTTTCACTATTAATCCCTTCCCTGGCCCCTCATTAGCTTACCTCCAATTTTCACTATTAATCCCTTCCCTGGCCTCTCATTAGCTTACCTCCAATTTTCACTATTAATCCCTTCCCTGGCCTCTCATTAGCTTACCTCCAATTTTCACTATTACTTCCTTCCCTGGCCCCTCATTAGCTTACCTCCAATTTTCACTATTAATCCCTTCCCTGGCCTCTCATTAGCTTACCTCCAATTTTCACTATTAATCCCTTCCCTGGCCTCTCATTAGCTTACCTCCAATTTTCACTATTACTTCCTTCCCTGGCCCCTCATTAGCTTACCTCCAATTTTCACTATTAATCCCTTCCCTGGCCTCTCATTAGCTTACCTCCAATTTTCACTATTAATCCCTTCCCTGGCCTCTCATTAGCTTACCTCCAATTTTCACTATTACTTCCTTCCCTGGCCCCTCATTAGCTTACCTCCAATTTTCACTATTAATCCCTTCCATGGCCCCTCATTAGCCTACCTCCAATTTTCACTATTAATCCCTTACCTGGCCCCTCATCATCTTACCTCCAATTTTCAAAATTAATCCCTTCCCTGGCCTCTCATTAGCTTACCTCCAATTTTCGCTATTACTCCCTCCCCTGGCCCCTCATTAGCTTACCTCCAATTTTCACTATTAATCCCTTCCCTGGCCTCTCATTAGCTTACCTCCAATTTTCACTATTAATCCCTTCCCTGGCCCCTTATCATCTTACCTCCAATTTTCACTATTAATCCCTTCCCTGGCCCCTCATCATCTTACCTCCAATTTTCACAATTAATCCCTTCCCTGGCCCCTCATTAGCTTACCTCCAGTTTTCACTATTAATCCCTTCCCTGGCCCCTCATTAGCTTACCTTCAATGTGCACAATTAATCCCTTCCCTGGCCCCTCATTAGCTTACCTCCAATTCTCACTATTAATCCCTTCACTGGCCCCTCATTAGCTTACCTCCAATTTTCACTATTAATCCCTTCCCTGGCCCCCCATCATCTTACCTCCAATTTTCACAATTAATCCCTTCCCTGGCCCCTCATTAGCTTACCTCCAATTTTCACAATTAATCCCTTCCCTGACCCCTCATTAGCTTACCTCCAATTTTCACAATTAATCCCTTCCCTGGCCCCTCATCATTTTACCTCCAATTTTCACTATTAATCCCTTCCATGGCCTCTCATCATCTTACCTTCCTATTCACCAGTATCCTTTTCTGGCCACTCTTCATCTTCATCTTACTTCCCATTTTCACTACGATCCCTTCCCTGGCCCCTAATCAAATTACCTCCCATTTTCATTATAATCTTGTCCCTGGCTTCATTATCTTAAGTCATATTAACAATATAATCCCTTCCCTGCCCCTCATCACCTTACTTTACATTTTCACTATTTAACCCTTCCCTGGCCCCTCATCATTAACCTTGTAAGGAAAGAGACCGAATCTGAGGCTTTATGATATCTTCACAGATATGAAAACAAACGTTTTTGTTACAATGAAACTTGCTCACTGATGCATGTTGTATGTCATGACTGAAACATTTTTACACATTTTGAGCATGCAATATTCATAGCCGAACACAAAATCACAATTTATATACAAATAGCCCTGAAGCTAAGCTATAGGGGTCGTTTTGTAAATGGAATTTAGATTTGTGTTCCCAAAGGTAAAATAATAAAGAATGCATCAACTGTACAGAGGGAATGCATGTAATAGTGTTGAAGAATATTAAAGATACATAAGCTGTTTAGTTGACAATTAAATGAGACTCAAACCACCTATCATTTATTCACCTTAGTGTACAATTAAAAGTAAAGTCTACATGAAACTACCAGGTAGAACCATGTTGAGAAAACTTTGGTGGTGTTCTTTAAAAAGTAATGGTGATCTTGACCTTTGACTATGGTTTTTTTCGAAGTGACTTTGACCTTTGAACCCTGATTCTTTCAGAGATGACATGATCAGAAGGTTTCATGAAATTCCCTTCTCGTATGAAGGCATTTGAGGGATGTCATTGGTTGATAGTTTTCTATAAATATTAACCATGACCTTGACTTTGAAACACAATCTTATCCAAAAGGATGATAACTGTGTTGTTGTACTCTACATTTGTACTTTAAATCTCTATAAACTTGGATCAAAATCTATTAATAAACAAAGTTTGTGTGATGACACTGATGGGAATTGATTGAAGCGATTTGTATGATATTGTTTATTGTCCTAATGGCAGTCAGAGTCATGAAAGAATGGCCTCCTGATGAGTGCAAGGAGAATTGGATCAGTTTATTCTATTGTTTGATGTCTTAAAAAGAAACAGGATCATTTATGGACAGTCTCCCAATGTATGTCTGGTGAGTTCAATATGTTTAGTGTAAGTTTTGGGAGGCTCTAATGTGTCTATGTAAGGCTCTTTGAGATAGTGTGGAACTGATGTGAACTTATAGTGTTATCACACTGAATTATACTGCCCAAGGTCTCAAACAGGACACCCCACCAATCAAATTATACTGGCAATTAACAAACCAGTAGTTAAGTAGGGAGTTAAAACTACCATTTTTTAATGACTCATGTATGTCTCGGCCAGGGCACAGAACTGAAAGCCATCCTCACAGAGACCAATGCACAACTTGGAGCCAAAAGTGAAGTAGTGTCAAGGTGGATAGAGGGAACACAATGAACAAGAGACAAAAATCAGAACTCAAAGAAACAGAAAGACTTTGTGGTGTCTGAACTTACCTTTTGCCAAGAGCAATGCTTGCAGTTATATTAAACACTGATCTTGTCATCATGTTTTCAGGTGCCAGTTGTCTCCCTTCAGCAAGTTTTATTTCTTTACTTGTTGCTGCAAGTTCATCAAGAATTTGTTTTTCTAAGTTGTTCTGCCTCAATTCATCAGACTGTGTGGTGATGAGTAGGTTGGTAAGTTTGAGCCATAAATTGCCATTGGTCCAGAACAGTCCTGTAAAGTACCACAGGAGATTTAAAACTCAATCAACAATGTTACATATTGTTTTATCACATTTTCCACATTTCATTCAAAATGTTTTCACTTCTTATCCGTTTTTCTGTTGTTCTATTTTCATCTATTGTTCTGCTTATCCATACTATGAAGATTTCGAAAATAAATACAAAAAAATATGAATTCAAGAAAAATTAAAATTATGAAAGATCCATAGGAGCCATGACAACCTGCCTTGTCTACTAATTTTAATATGTAATATGACACATGTTTTCTAATCTAAATATCTAACACATGTATCATAGTTGTACAACTTTTTTATTAACATTTAAGTCAGCAATCAATTTTGTAAATAGAGACTAGGAACCTACCAATCATCCACCATACTTCTGTGCCTTTTGGTTAATCAGAAGAAGTTGTTATAAGGTTTTAACAAATTTGACCCAATTAACCTTGATCATTTCATTTCACAAAGTTTGTAAGGATTCATCCTAGGAACTAATCAGCCAAATATGTTACTGCACCTTTTGGTATGTCAGAAAAGGTCGTTTTTAACAAATTCAACCCAGTATCATTGAATAAATGTCAAGGTTATTTCTTTTTGCAAACTTTGTCAGGTTTCATCCAAGAAACCTATCAGCTAAATGTTATGCTTCTGTGCCTTTTGGTTAAACAGAAAAGTTTGTTTAAAGATTGTAACAAAAACTTGATCCCTGTGACCTTGAATAAGGATCAAGATCGTTTCTTTTCTCTTTGTCAGGCTTCATCCCAGCAACTAATCTGCCAAATACCATGACATTTGGTTGGTTGCAATGGTTATTGAGAAGAAGTCATTTAAATAGAAAAGGTGATGCTGAACAGACAGACGGATGAATTATGAACAGACAACAGACAGGCCAGGTTATCTGAAGTCCCAACAGGACCCTATTATTCCCAGTAAACAATATTTTGACTCTATAAAACAGGAAGGCGTGTATTATATTTGTGTTTACATTTCTTCTGTTCAACCTAGCCCGCTACCCAGAAAGGGGAATAACTCTTTTTCATAAAACTCAAACCAGAATCACTTTACCATTATTTTGAAGCAATTAGAAGGAATATTTAATGCCTACAGGGTTAGTCATATGGTACAGATATAAAACTTTTAACTTCTACCTTTAACGTTTATCAAGGAGCATAACTTTCATTTCTATAGAGTCTGCCAAGGGACAATCCCTAAAGTGTTCCTCACAGGGACGATTGCTCAATCAAAGGCCAAAAATGAGGCAGTGTCACGACATGAGGAAGAAAAAAGATCATTTTAAAAAAGGAATTTTATAATGATTCTAAGTTTAGTCACCTCTCACAATCATGTAATGAGGACAGCAGGTTCTGTTGCCCAGCAGTACCACTGGGAAATGACATAATATCACCATATAACATATGTATATAAGGTATGTATAACAATACATACCTCTTTAAGAAACAATTAAGCTGGTTAATAAGTTCAGTTAGTTTTTTTTCAAAATTCCCATATTGTTTGCAAGAAGCAATTTTCTCGGCACTTCCTCATCATTTATAATTTATTATTTTTTTCCTTTCTGAGTGATTCATTTTGCAATACAGCGTATCCTGCTTTTCTTGATCACATGATCACATCAGATACAAGTAGGAACAATAAACAGCGAAGTCCTTCACCTTGGCGCTGTTTACTGCCCTCTGTTCAACGATCTGAGCTTGAAACAAGTTGACAATAAGGGTCCTCAGTTCTAGCCTATAGTCAGTTAATGATGGCCCTTAAAAATGGCCATTGACTGGCCCCATTATGGACAGACGTCACACTAATCTGACCTAGTTTGGCTGTTGTAAGGATACTTATACCAAACAATTCCCAGAAACCCATTTAAACTTGTAGTTACAGTAATAACTTAATCCATTGTATATTTCAAACCCAACTGAACCTAATGGTGTTCTATAACTGAAGATCTGAATTTTAAAACTTTTTAACAACTAAGATTTTCCTTCAATCAATTAATTAATGAGTTCAACTCAGTAACCCCTTTATATGATGTAATGCCTATAGTATGTTTGGTTATAAAAATTTGAATAGGATCTAAAATTGTTTTATTTATAGCAATTAAAGAAAGCATGGAATTAAATACCCAGCAAAATCAAAATATCAGATATGTATATTAATATATGCTTGTATACATGGAGACAAAACTACTGTAAAAAATCAGTGTAATAAACGCACCAATGTAATGTGTGCAGGTACTTTTTGGGGTTGAAAACGATGAAAAATTCTTCTACTTGCATAATGTGCGCACCCCAAAATTCTGTCAAAATCAATCTCAGGGAGCCAAGAAATTGATCTCGGAATTTTTAACTAACACGTCAGACCAACAATAGAAAGTCCAAAACTTGAAATTGTTCTCTTCAAAATTTGTTTCCATCTCATTTACAGGTACATCGAAATACGCAAAATTTTTATCATCATAAAGGAGCCCAAAATGTAGCATCTGTGAAATAATAATCCTGCAAACTTAACAAGCTGCACAGAACCTTTAATAGAAATCAACTATATTCAATTTTTTAACAATTAGATAACCATTTCTTAAGATATGGAAATTCTTCAGAAAACCAAACTATTAAGCAAATTACAGGCCCAACACAGAATGTTGAAATATATGTCAAGAATGCAGTGCATGTGAACCCAAGCCTCAAGTAAGAAGTTATAATGACTAGTGATGTAAGTCAAAGGTCAAATCATAGGTCACAGTGACCTACATTGATAAATGACACATTGCCACACCAAGGTGAACCCATACCTCAAAAGAATGAAGTTTCAGTAAATAGTAGTGAAGGAGGTAGGGCTCAAAGAAACTTTTCCTTTTATGTAGGTCAAAGATCTAAATATAGGTCAGAGTGACCTACTCTTGATTCCTGACACACAATATCCATATTCTTAGCATGAGGTTCCATTAATGAGCTAAGTAGCATAGGAGATTGCGTCTAGACACAACAGTGGACAGAAGGACTCATTGTAAAGCTATAGTCTCATAGTCTTCTCCCCTTCATCCCATCTACTTCTGATCCCTCCCCTTCACCCCATCCCCCTCTGATCTCTCCCCTTCACCCCATCCCCTCTGATCTCTCCCCTTCACCCCATCCCCCTCTAATCTCTCCCCTTCACCCCATCCCCCTCTGATCTCTCCCCTTCAACCCATCCCCTCTGATCTCTCCCCTTCACCTCATCCCCCTCTGATCTCTCCCCTTCACCCCATCCCCTCTGATCTCTCCCCTTCACCCCATCCCCTCTGATCTCTCCCCTTCATCTCTCCCCTTCACCCCATCCCCTCTGATCTCTCCCCTTCACACCATCCCCTCTGATCTCTCCCCTTCACCCCATCCCCTCTGATCTCTCCCCTTCACCCCATCCCCTCTGATCTCTCTCCCCATTCATCTCTCCCCTTCACCCCATCCCCTCTGATCTCTCCCCTTCCCCCCATCCCCTCTGATCTCTCCCCTTCACCCCATCCCCTCTGATCTCTCCCCTTCACCCCATCCCCTCTGATCTCTCCCCTTCACCCCATCCCCTCTGATCTCTCCCCTTCACCCCATCCCCTCTGATCTCTCCCCTTCACCCCATCCCCTCTGATCTCTCCCCTTCACCCCATCCCCTCTGATCTCTCCCCTTCACCCCATCCCCCTCTGATCTCTCCCCTTCACCCCATCCCCTCTGATCTCTCCCCTTCAACCCATCCCCTCTGATCTCTCCCCTTCACCCCATCCCCTCTGATCTCTCCCCTTCACCCCATCCCCCCTGATCTCTCCCCTTCACCCCATCCCCTCTGATCTCTCCCCTTCACCCCATCCCCTCTGATCTCTCCCCTTCACCCCATCCCCTTCTGATCTCTCCCCTTCACCACATCCCTTTCTGATCTCTCCCCTTCACCCCATCCCCTCTGATCTCTCCCCTTCACCCCATCCCCTCTGATCTCTCCCCTTCACCCCATCCCCTCTGATCTCTCCCCTTCACCCCATCCCCTCTGATCTCTCCCCTTCACCCCATCCCCTCTGATCTCTCCCCTTCACCCCATCCCCTCTGATCTCTCCCCTTCACCCCATCCCCTTCTGATCTCTCCCCTTCAACCCATCCCCTCTGATCTCTCCCCTTCAACCCATCCCCTCTGATCTCTCCCCTTCACCCCATCCCATCTGATCTCTCCACTTCAACCCATCCCCTCTGATCTCTCCCCTTCACCTCATCCCCTCTGATCTTTCCCTTTCACCCCATCTCCCTCTGATTTCTCCCCTTCACCCCATCCCCTCTGATCTCTCCCCTTCAACCCATCCCCTCTGATCTCTCCCCTTCACCCATCCCCTTCTGATCTGTCCCCTTCACCCCATCCCCTTCTGATTTCTTACCTTCACCCCATCCCCTTCTGATCTCTCCCCTTCACCCCATCCCCTCTGATCTCTCCCCTTCACCCCATCCCATCTGATCTCTCCCCTTCAACCCATCCCCTCTGATCTCTCCCCTTCACCTCATCCCCTCTGATCTCTCCCCTTCACCCCATCTCCCTCTGATCTCTCCCCTTCACCCCATCCCCTCTTATCTCTCCCCTTCAACCCATCCCCTCTGATCTCTCCCCTTCACCCCATCCCTCTGATCTTTCCCCTTCATCCCATCCCCTCTGATCTCTCCCCTTCACCCCATCCCCCTCTGATCTCTGCCCTTCACCCCATCCCCTTCTGATCTCTCCCCTTCACCCCATCCCCTTCTGATCTCTCCCCTTCACCACATCCCCTCTGATCTCTCCCCTTCACCCTATCCCCTTCTGATCTCTCCCCTTCACCCCATCCCCTCTGATCTCTCCCCTTCACCCCATCCCCTTCTGATCTCACCCCTTCACCCCATCCCCTCTGATCTCTCCCCTTCACCCCATCCCCTCTAATCTTTCCCCTTCACCCCATCCCCTCTGATCTCTCCCCTTCACCCCATCCCCTTCTGATTTCTT